CATTGCACGCAATCGATACAAATACACTTGTTTAAATCGTGAAACACGAACGAACAAAATTGATTCTACTTCGCGATATTTTTATTTAAGCGATACAAATATTCGATTTTATCAATGCTTTGCACGCGATTACAATAATGTTCTGAAACAAAAAAATAAAAACAAAATTATTGTTAACATTGTTATAATAAGAAAATAGATAAAATATTGCAGAAACGTGCAACATATAAATAGATTTACCTTAAATATTCGTTGATACTTGCAGCAAAGACATCCTGAGATACATTCGATGTTTACTCGTCAAAAGAAAAAGAAAAACTGATTCGGTAATCGTCCAAGTCTTTAAAAATATCGTATATGTTAATAAAAAAAGAAGGCCAACAAATACGCGATGAAAATTTTAAGTTTCCAAATTTTAAATTAAAATTATTCTAAGTCCCACGCGCGTTATTGTCTTTTTAATATTTAAACGAATGAACTATTGTTTTAATATTACTTTATTGTGCTCCTTGTACGTTAAATATTGTTTAATTAATTTAGAAATTATCGAAATTATTTATTTATAAGTTTACGCGATTAGAAAGAAAGTATTGATGTGCACTAGTCGGAGTGCAAAGGGAAACTAACTCGCGAATCGTCAATATTAATCGAAGGACCGTTTATGTTTATATTGCACAAGGCCAACAACACCGAGATAAAATTTTTAAGTATTGGAATCTTATATCGAAATTATTTTGAGTTATTTCTGCGTTTCTTTCTTTATAATGTTTAAACGAATCTACTATTGTTTAAATATTAGTTTATTGTACTACATGTACGTTAAATATTGTTTAATTAATTTAGAAATTACCGAAATTATTAATTTATAAGTTTACGCGATTAGAAAGAAAGTATTGATGTGCACTAGTCGGAGTGCAAAGGAAAACTAACTCGCGAATCGTCAATATTAATCGAAGGACCGTTTATGTTTATATTGCACAAGGCCAACAACGCCGAGATAAAATTTTTAAGTATTGGAATATTATATCGAAATTATTTTGAGTTCTTTCCGCGTTTCTTTCTTTATAATATTTAAACGAATCTACTATTGTTTAAATATTAGTTTATTGTAGTACACGTACGTTAAATATTGTTTAATTAATTTAGAAATTACCGAAATTATTAATTTATAAGTTTACGCGATTAGAAAGAAAGTATTGATGTGCACTAGTCGGAGTGCAAAGGAAAACTAACTCGCGAATCGTCAATATTAATCGAAGGACCGTTTATGTTTATATTGCACAAGGCCAACAACACCGAGATAAAATTTTTAAGTATTGGAATCTTATATCAAAATTATTTTGAGTTATTTCTACGTTTCTTTCTTTATAATGTTTAAACGAATCTACTATTGTTTAAATATTAGTTTATTGTACTACATGTACGTTAAATATTGTTTAATTAATTTAGAAATTACCGAAATTATTAATTTATAAGTTTAAGCGATTAGAAATAGAGAGTATTGATGTGCACTAGTCGGAGTGCAAAGGGAAACTAACTCGCGAATCGTCAATATTAATCGAAGGACCGTTTATGTTTATATTGCACAAGGCCAACAACGCCGAGATAAAATTTTTAAGTATTGGAATATTATATCGAAATTATTTTGAGTTCTTTCCGCGTTTCTTTCTTTATAATGTTTAAACGAATCTACTATTGTTTAAATATTAGTTTATTGTACTACATGTACGTTAAATATTGTTTAATTAATTTAGAAATTATCGAAATTATTAATTTATAAGTTTACGCGATTAGAAATAGAGAGTATTGATGTGCACTAGTCGGAGTGCAAAGGAAAACTAACTCGCGAATCGTCAATATTAATCGAAGGACCGTTTATGTTTATATTGCACAAGGCCAACAACGCCGAGATAAAATTTTTAAGTATTGGAATATTATATCGAAATTATTTTGAGTTCTTTCCGCGTTTCTTTCTTTATAATGTTTAAACGAATCTACTATTGTTTAAATATTAGTTTATTGTACTACATGTACGTTAAATATTGTTTAATTAATTTAGAAATTATCGAAATTATTAATTTATAAGTTTACGCGATTAGAAATAGAGAGTATTGATGTGCACTAATCGGAGTGCAAAGGAAAACTAACTCGCGAATCGTCAATATTAATCGAAGGACCGTTTATGTTTATATTGCACAAGGCCAACAACGCCGAGATAAAATTTTTAAGTATTGGAATATTATATCGAAATTATTTTGAGTTCTTTCCGCGTTTCTTTCTTTATAATGTTTAAACGAATCTACTATTGTTTAAATATTAGTTTATTGTACTACATGTACGTTAAATATTGTTTAATTAATTTAGAAATTATCGAAATTATTAATTTATAAGTTTACGCGATTAGAAATAGAGAGTATTGATGTACACTGGTCGGAGTGCAACAGACAACTAATTGTATTATCGTCAAAGTTAAAGAAAAGTGCGTTTAAGTTTATATTATACAAAGCCAACTATCCCGTGATTATGATTTTAAAGTAGAGGAATTTTATATTAAAATTATTCTAAGTCCAACATGCGTTTCTGCCTTTTTAATGTTTAAACGAATGTATTATTGTTTAAATATTAATGTATTCTATTTCGCGTACATTGAAGATTGTTTAAATAATAGAAAAATTATTGAAAATATTAAACTATAAGTTTTCGATTGTAGAAAGAGAGAAAGTCGATGTGTGCTGGTCGAAATGCAAAAGGAAACTAACTCAGTAATAGTCAAAGTTAAGAAAAAGCGTATTAGTGTTTATATTATACAAGGCCGACTATCCCACGATTATGATTTTAAAGTAGAGGAATTTTATATTAAAATTATTCTAAGTTACTCGCGCGTTTTCGTGTTTTTAATGTTTAAATTTAATTTACTATTATTTAAATATTGTATACAATGTACATTGTACATTTTTTTAATAATTATGAAATAATCATATCTATAAGATGATTTAATGTAGCCATACAATAAGAGTGTATTTCGATATTATTTCTCGAAATACAACGACGTGGTAACTCTCGTACGTTGCATCTAATCTTTCTTCTTGGTGACATTAGACGAGCGTAGAAGATTGAAAGAAAATTATTTCATATCTAATGCATTTGCGATGTTTTACAGAACATACTATCGTCAAAAGATTATCTCATCGTACTCCGTGTATGCTATATATTTTTAAAATAATTATAAAATCGCCGAAAGTATGAATATTTTAATCTTAGTTGTTTCAAAAGAGAGATCTTTAATGTTTACTCGCCGAAATGCTAAAGAAAACTAGTTCCATAACTGTCAAAGTCAATCAACAATGCGTGTTTGTTGATATAGATGAAGCAATGACTCTGAGTTCAAGATTTAATCGTATTGTAATGTTAAAGTAAAATTATATTTATATTTAACAAGCGCCGCGAGCTGTATAATGTTTAAGTGATTGTACCATTGTTTAAATATTAGTCTATTGTACTCCGTGTATATTATGCAAATAATTTTAATATTAACGAAAATATAAATTATCGAAAATCATCCCTATGAAAAGAGTGGATTTCGTTGTTTATTCGTGGGAATGAAAAAAAAAATTATTTCGGTAACTGTCAAAGTTAGTCGAACGTTCGATTTTGTTGCCATTATAGGCGGGCAAGGAATCCGAATTCAAAATTTAACTCTATTAAAATTTTTAATTAATTATTTTTATACATTTCTAGTATATATAATATTCTACTTCTGTCTCTAATAATTATCCTTGTTAGTATGATATTATATATTATTATTATTATAGTAATAATAGTAGTACTAGTAGTAGTAATAGTAATAATATAGATATGGAAAGGAGCTCATATTTTGATTTTTATGGAAATAATATATAGTATATACACTCAAAACGAATAAATTAATTGATTATGTTTGATTGCATTGATAGAATAAAAATAGAAATAAAGAAAGAAAAAAAATTTACGGAATCGTGCAGTTTCGAACCGACGATTTCTGTATTACGAATCTAGATATATACTTGTCATTCTGTTAAACGTTACTGCTAAAGTCTTTACGTTTCTAATATATTATATGCAAAGAGAATTACAAATTTTTCTAAAATTTAACAATATTTCTGAAATTAAGACCCATTGGCATGAATTTTCTTATTTTTATCATAATGTGGCAAACTTATTTCCTTATATTTACCATAAAATCATCTATCTAAAGTTCCCCAAATTGTCCGAATGAATTACCATAGCATTCAAATGTTATGAGTATTGTGAAAACGCATTTCCTTGCTTTTGAAATGGATCAGAAAATCTGGGCACCAGTTTACGTATAAAATAAATATCGGCAATCACGGAAACGAAACAACTCAAGGGTGCATATAAAAATCATTAATGAGAATACGAGTTTTTTTTCAGATTTCAAAGGGCGCCACTATACAAAACTTATTCGTCGCGAAAAATGTTGGAAAGAGCATTTAGCCAACAATGAGAACAGGCCGATTCTTGATCGATAAACAAGGTCTCATTTTAATGATGAAAGTTTAAACGTGAAGATGACTTTAACGAATTTTTGAAAAAGTTTTATTTTTATGCATAAACTATGTTTCGTGGAAACATCATTTTTAATACAATTTTTTCAAAGAAGATAAATCTTTCTCAAAAATTCTAAAATTCATTCTCTCTTTTAAACGTTCATCTTTAAAATGGGAGCTTTTTTATCAAAATCGGTTAAGAATTGCGTCTGGACTCATTGTTGGCATAAATCATTATAAAACTAAGGATGATGAACACCCTTAAGCAGTACACACACAGACGGAATGGATGAGAAGAAGATTCCAACCACGTCCACATGTGATAAAAGTCGCTTGAATTGCTGTGTCATTTAAAGTGCCCTCTATTTTTACGCTATCATTTTCTCACTAGATGGCATCAACCATTCTACCGCAATGCATATACAAATATATTTTGTGCTCTCCAGTAAATGTGAAGTTCTCTTCAGTTCTCTTCGTGAGCACGAACAAGAATCATGTTTCAGGATGATGCCATTTACGTGTCTTTATTGCTCTCCTGTGTAGCTTTCGGATTTATCTATCGAAATTTTAAGGATCCTCACAAGAGACAATGGATCAGTACAAGTTTCGGTTTGCTTTTAATTATACTTGTTTCTGGAAATCATGTGGTGCACCCCCTCGTCTGCCTGTTAATTAATGCGGTCATCGTAACCAGGCTTTCTTGGAAGTACGACACAATCGATCTATTTAATATTAATAAGAATAGTAATATAAGAAATTTTTTTGCGTGTATCAATAAACAATATTGAAAAAAAAAGATTAAGATAATAAAAAGCATACGAAGTTGAAATAAATGTAACTTGAATCAGGAATTTATAAAATTAAAAGTATTCTTGCAAATTAAGCATTAAATTATAAATATTCTTCTTTTTATATTCTAGACTCTCTGAAGTACCGAATCATATTTTTTCAAATTCATAATGATTATAATAATATAATCATTAATAATAATAAATGATTATAATACTCTGTTAAGTTTGATTAGGTAAAATATTAAGATAATAATATGGATAAATGACTAGTTATTTTTTAAATAGCATGATAATTTAATTTGATTTCTACTACATAAATATAAAGTATATTCTATCGTACATCTACATACTATAATGTGTAAGTGCATATAATATAAGCGCATAGATGTACTATCAGAGTTTATTCCATAATTTCTTACTACACTATTTTTCTTATCTTTACAGGATATGCCACCTAGCCAGTTTATATTTTTCATTTTTTTATTTACTTGTTATTTTTCGATTGGGACACTTGGTTGGGATGCCTGTACCGCCTGCACATACAAATTTAGTTCAAATGATTCTTACATTGAAGTTATCTGGATTGGCATTTGAAATAAACTCTGCAGCTAGCATGACACTACCGGATGATCCTCAAGGGATTAATAGTGCAGCTTTAAAAAAGATTAGCTTTATGGATGTATTTCATTATGGTCTAAGTTACATGGGAGTTTTGACAGGTAATTAAGCACAATATATTTAATTCAATAGTAAAGAGATTTTTATATAACAATGAAAATATTAGTAAAGAATTAAAATTAACATGCATACGAATTATTATATTTCACAGGTCCCTACTATCGGTATAGAACATATTGGGATTCGCTAAATAGACCCTTTTCTAATTACATCGATCCATGGCCTCTAACATTATATAAATTAAAACAAACGACAATATTATCTGTACTTTTTTTGTTAATGAATTATACATTCCCCACAGAGGTAGAAAGATTTTCAATATCAAAAATAGTAATAACATATATAAAGAATGAAGAAGAATAAATAAAATTTATTTTGTTTTTATTTCAGTATACTGTGTCAGAAGAATATGCAAATCGATCGTTGTTATATAGATGGTTCTACACATACCCAGTCTTTGCAACATTTCGTCTAAGACTATTTTCTGGGATAATTCTGTCAGAGTGTGCATGTCAAATGGCTGGATTAGGTGGTTATCCCACCAAATGTGAAACTACGCCTGGAGCAGGGCCACGTAATTACAAGGAATTCGAAGAAATGTAAGAAATTTGTTGTACCTTAAAAGTATACATTTTTAATATTTTTACAAAAACTTAAAGATACACATTATTCGATTTTATAGTTGTGCGGATAAGGAAAAAATAAAACAAGAACAATTTGATTTTGAAACCATACATAACATGAATATATGGCAAGTGGAAACTTGTCATTTAGTAAGATCATGTATGAAGTATTGGAATTCTTGTATACAATATTGGATGGGTATTTACATATACAAAAGATTTCCATTCAAATCATTAAGAATGATAGTGACATTAACTCTGTCAGCGTTATGGCATGGATATGCTGTTGGTTACTATGTTTGCATATGCTCAGTTCCATTTTATTTACTGATAGAAGACCTGTTAATAAAGTTCCACAATCAACACGAGAAGGATAGTATTGTTAGTATGAATTTTTGTTAAAATTTTGTGGAATATATATATATATATATATATATATATATATATATATATATATATATATATATATATTATAATACCGACATGTGAATATTTTTCTAAAAATTCTTTCATTTATAGGGCTGGAAAATCTGGACGTTTATTCTATGGGCAATGAGATTATCCTGTATGGCTTACTTGGGTGTTCCATTTCTATTACTCGACTTTCGGCAAATATTACAATTTTATGCAAATCTATATTATATCGGCCATATTACCTCAGTTATAATATATATTATAGCCAGATTAATGAAACCCATAATGATAAAGAAGAACGTAGAAAAAAACAAATAGGTAGAAGACGAAAAAAAATATTTTTCTATCAATTAGTAATTAACTGTCATAAATAAAAGATTCAAAATATTCACAGTATGATATTAAACACATGTAAAAATATCATCAGGTTATCAGCTATAAAAGAATACACTGCACTCGTATTAAGGAAAATGGATTTATAAAAAAAAATACGAACTTCTGTGATAGATGCCTGCTACAATAGGTTGAAATTCGCCTAAGGAATATCACGAAAATTTCTGGTCCAGTAAGGCCGAACTAATGTTGTCTTCCTGCACAGCAAGAAGGAACATGACATTATATACATACCGTAAGTATGTATTACAAAATAATTGCCTTTTCCGTAGACTTTAATGATTTGCGATGATAATTAAGGGATTAAATGTAAATTCATAATAATTCATAATAATATTATAGTAGTGTACATAACACTAGAGTAAGTTCAAGGATAAAAATGGAGAATAAGAAATTAAACAAAACAAAACAAAAAATATACACACATATAATAAGTTAAAAAAAATCTTTATTAATCGCCCTTACATCAATAAATATACCCTTTGAATCGACGAAGTTGTAAAAGCAAATATATACAACACATATAGTAAATATTTTTTTGGCTTACCTCTAAAACGTTTACACCAAAAATCCTGTTGATATATATCGAATCTAGAAGAAAAACACAAAAAAGAAAAAGCGGAAAGAAATGTGATATTCTTCGAGCACAGTTCCACCTAGTTAATTGTACTATGTGGCGGCAAGTGTCGAAAACGATAGCCAATAATTGTCAAATAATTATTGGCAACTAAGGTAGATGTGGTAACTTATCAGCTGACGCGTTTTGTCGTTCGCGAGGTGTCTGGTGATATGCTCACGTGCTACCTGCTACCCGGATCGATGTCTCTGCGACCAGCAACCGCGTGCTGCTGCTCTGATTGCGTTCTGCTTTTTTATTCTCTGCGCTTGACCGTACCATCCGCAAATTCTGCAGTGCGACCCCCCAAAGAGACTGCTCGCACACTCTCTCGCATCGATCTCTCGCGAACCTGCTTTCACCAGACCACCAACCGCCCGCTACTGCAAACTGCTTACAGCCCTGCTTACTCGGCTTACAGCTTACTCTCAGCTACCCCATCATCGGCTACACTCGCCATGCCACTCCTTTCCACCGCCTGTGGCACCATAAAATTATAACTTAGTTATACCGAGATAATATGATACATCCATGACAGGATTTTAACGTTTCATAAAGAAATAACTCTTGAACAGTTAAGCAACATATTGTTTTTAACTTAATATTAAAAACTTAATATAAAAGTAAGTTTTTTTTTTCTTTTCCTTTTTTCTTCGTTTTTTTTTCTCTTTTCTTTTCTTTTCTTTTTTTTCCCTTTTTCTATTAACCCATTTGTGGACGGTATGGTCATAAAGCTACGTTTCTCCTGGATCTTACGATCCTTTAGGACAATAAATTATCTATCAATGTTTACTGCAAAAAGAACACTTTTTTAACAATCAAGTGTTTGCTTTATTTCTATGGGAACACCAAAATAATGTATTATTGTGTTGTACCATACATCAAAATATTATTCTTACATCCACAAAGAGTTAAGTAGCAATACAATACTACAGGTTATTACTAAAGTCATGTTCAATAAGATTTATCCAATATTTTTCGAACTAATCGTATTCTGATTACAATATAAATTGTAAATACACTATATCTTTACAATAACTACAATATCTATAAACTGTAAACTCCTACAGTAGTACTTTCATTTTGTTTACACAAATATTTTGCACAGATGAAACATTCATGTACAAAATGTTAAAATTTCAACAATCAAATCATAAAATACACGTACGTAATAATTTTGTAATACTCCTTTAAAAATATAGCAAATTAAATTAATTTTGTTTAAAAAAGGCTCATTGAACTATTATAACCAGTTCAGTTAAACTGTAAATTTCAAAATTTGTATACACATACTAGAAGTTATTATAACGTTACTAACATTTAAATTTTGCCGAAAAGTGTAATCATCTATGTCTTTTTACGCTTTATTTTTATCTGGCAAATTTACATTAATAAACCTATATTATTACAGAAACGCATATCTTATTTCTAAAATATATATTGTAAAAAAAATTTTTTATTCGATCAATACGAGATTTTTACTTTGAAGATATTGAAAAATGAAAAATCAAAGATGTTTTGTGATGTAATATTAATTACGTATAAAATTTAGTCAATTGTGTGGTATCTTACATTACCTGTTAATTACCATTATACATTAACACCATTACTATTTCCAGGAATATTATTAGTCCACTTTTTGCCCACTGTGGGCAATTTTATAATTATAATAAAAAGTAATATCTCAATATAACTTAGAAGTATTTTGTAGAAGTTACTATTAATTGCATTGTATTGAAGAAAAAAAAAAAAAAAAGACATGTAAATATGCCAATAGTGCAATTGGAAAAAAAAAATAGAAAAAAAAAAAACTTCTAATAGTTGATACATCTTTTGGATCAATTTATAATCTATCGATATAACAAGTGGAAATAGTCTATTTTAAAAATTGATGATTTTAGAAACATTACATTGAATACTATCTTAAGACTTTTTTTTTCTTTTCTTTTTTTTTTTTTTTTTTTTTTTAAGCTTTCAAAATATCAATTTGTTGTCAAATAATCAACATTGTTAAAACAATATTATATGTACATACACTAATCGACAATGAACATGTCCATCCGCTATGTACAAAAGAAATCGAATGAATCGAAGATATCATTCAATGCTTATACATCGAGGAGGTACAGGTTTATCATCATTGAGTGTATTTGATGATCATTAGAATTGGTTTGGAAAGACCTGTACAATATAGTGGTGTTTTACTACTCTTTCTGTAGATCCTTTCTCTCTCCCCTATCCCCTTTTATGCATTTATATATCTATAATACGCGTACGCGCACACGTGCATGACTACAAACGAACGAGAGATTATTTTTTTGCAATTTAAAAGAAATACTATAACGAAATTACTCATTTTAGTTCTCTCTCAAACCTGATTATGAAATGCTAATGTAAACTATTAGTAGTGACTCTATTATTAATAAACACAGGTTACTATTCATAAACGTTTAGTGATAGGTGATATTTCCTATAGAATGTAGTACAAGTGCCATCAAATACAATATAATTTTGATGATAATTATAAGATATACAGTAAATTGCAATTAATAAGTCTCTTTACAAAGGAAAATTACAAGATTTCTCTCCTTTCAAACATACAAAAGTATTTCATTAAACAATAATGCTTAATGGAGTAAAAATCAAATAAAACATGTAACTAAGAATTTTGTAAAGTTAGACTCATAGCATAAAAGTAATACAATAAACTTGATTTTACTTTTTTTCTACAAAAAAACCGCAGAACAATACGTTGTCAGAATTAATGTATAAATATAAATGACACTCTGAATGAAAATATGTTACAGAGGTGCTGTAGGTATAGAGTAATAGAATACCTTTTTCAATCTCTTCTCAAGACAGATAATATGGTGGATCGGAGGATGTGGATCTTTTTGCTTGTACTCATGCCCTGTTATTCCAGTATCTGCAAAACCCCATAATATTACTGTTAGCATATCGTATTCAATTTTTCACATTCAATTTTTAAAATTATCATTAACATTTGAAGGAGTGTGCGTGATCTGCTCCAATAACTGTACTAATAATCTTTCTTGTCATTTATTATCAAATAATAAAGCAAACAATTTTGCACATTTAAAATAAAAATAAAATAATAGGCAATATAAAGAAAAATTTCAATTAACCACATTTATGTTTGTGTTATTCGTTGCATCAAGAAATATGCATACGTATAAAATATATATTTATTATCCAGAAAACAATATTTGAATTAAAATTTATTTATTTTCATAGAGCTTACCTTATCTTGATTTGGAACGGCTGTCTTTCTGCCTTTCTTGAGACTTGCTGCGAGAGCGAGACTTTCCACGGGAGCTTTTACTGTCGGAACGAGAACGACTACGACTCCGACTATAGGAACGTCTACGATCTCTATCACGACTACGAGATCTACTGCGTGATCGTGTACGAGAACGTCTGCGATCTCTGCTACGACTACGTGACCTAAATATAAAAAATTCAGTTTACAAATATTACTAAATAGAAGAATTTCACTTAACAAATTATTACATGATTCTCAATCAAAACTTTTGTCCTTTAAAAAAAATTAACATCACCTTCCACGTCTGCGACTTCCACGACTTCTATGAGGCGAGGTAGGTCGTCCATATCGTGCCATTTGAACTCTAAGTTCCCTACCATCAAGTAATCTACCATCCATAGCGTCCAATGCATCCTCTGCGTCGCGCTTGTCATAGAATCTGTAAAAAATATAAACCAAATAAATTAATTTGATGTATATATAGAAAAAATAATATTTTCATTGGTACAACCAAGAAAATAATTGTTTCAAAAGTTCCATTTCTTCTAATTCGATAAAGAATAAATATTACATATGTATGTGTATGTATATATATATATACATATATATATATACATATAACCTACTTTAATTTTCTATGGTACAAAATATATCATAAATAAGAACATCTTTATTATCATAATCGACTCATAATAATCTATACGAATTTGTAACTTTTGTAACAGATCATAACAAAGGAATCGCGTCTTAGAAATATGTTACTATCCACCATGAAAACATATTTTCGTTAGAATGAAGATGAATACATCCGGCCTTCCTTCCCATATTTGAAACATTATCACTTGCCAAAGCGGAAAGACGGCGCCATAATGTCGTGCATGAAAAATCTTACGAAAAGTTTAGAAATTGTACAAATTATTACAATGAATTACTATGTTTATGAATTATGATTCTTTAGGATGACGTCATAAAAATGCCATTGCCTGCTTATAAGAGATAGGTACTATCTCGGATAACGTAATATCCATAAATTGATATTCTTTTAAATAGCAAAATGTTGAAAAGGAAATAATGTACATACCTTACAAAAGCGAAACCACGACTTTCACGGGTAAAACGATCTCGTGGTATATAGATATCACCAACCTCACCGCATCTTTCGAATACACGCCTGAGATCTTCTGGCGTCGTTCTATACGTAAGATTATCAACTTTTAAAGACACCATGCCGTCGATACGCGGCGGTGGTCTACCGTAACTCATATTCGCGATGTTTATTCCTCTATTCTATCACAATTTAATTATTTCTATATTCTGAACAAACTTTACTACGAAAGAACTCGCGAGAGTACTGCACGCTACAAGAGAAAATGGCGAATGGAAGCCACGACGGAAGAGCCATGAAGGTGAACGCGCGAAGCATCACGGGAAATACACGAAAGTATGGAGAAAACTACGTGAATCAATTGACTAATTTTAAATATTATTCGATGCATTTATGAAGAAAAAATATTTTATAAATAAATATGTGCAGAACCATAAAAGATATTCTTTATTTTTTCGCAATTTTCTCTTTCTCTCTAAAAATATATAGATATATATAGGTATCACATATATATATGTATATATATGTATATGTATATATATATATATATATGCATGCATATTTACCGTCGGTAAATTACTCGGGAAGATATGAAATTTTATTAATATTTATCGTATCCTTGTTATGCGCTCTTAAAATGTACAATCTTTATCGATAAAGAAGTAATTGAGAATTATTAGATGCAATTACAAATTTCCTATTTGCCAAATTTTATCATATATGCATGTAATTAAAACTTTTGCGAATGTAATAAACATTATAAAATTGTAATGATGGAGGACAAGTCTTTGCGAGATGCTTCAATTATGTACGATAAACAATTCATTGAAAATATGAAAATAGCTAAATATTTCTTAAAACAATTACGTGACAAAGAAGGTTAGTATTGATAATAAAAATTCTTCGTTTATTAATTTTTTGAAATACAATAAAAAATTATTCCATATTTTAGAGATTCAACTAGCTACGAAATGGCTTATCCGTGTTAATAATATCAAGTCATCATCCTTACAAGTAAAAAGAGATCGTAATGCTTTCTTGTGTTATTTGCTCAAAGTTTTAAGAGAAGCAATCTTAAAACATCGTCGTGAATACGAATCTAATACCATTTTCAATTCTGAGAATACTTTAGACCTATATCATTTTTCTGTATGTTCCACGATACAATAGGATATATTAATAGGGTATATTAAAAGATCTATCGTATTAATTCGATTATAGAATCAAAATTCAAAAGTATCTGTAAAAGGACTATCGCAAAATGCTCCGCAAACTTCAAATATTCCTTATCATTCGAAATGGTCGAAAAATCATCGTACATATGTCGCTGTAAAACCATTACCCGGAAGAGGGGCATTAATATATATGGCTGTATCTAAAAGACCAGGACTTGAAAATTGGGATTTGGGTAGTATTAATAAATATACGCAATAATTGACAATGATATATTTCTTTTTGAATTTCAATTGAAACACAACTATCAAGATTATAAATAAAATAGATCTTTAGAAAATTCCTGTCTTTACGTTTTGAGGTTTGGATATATAAAGTTTTTTTTTTTTTTTATTTTTTATAAAGACACTGTAAACGCATTATTTCTTTTTTTTTATTTAAATTTTAATGAAGCTGTATTTATGGTATCACAACAATGCCCTTGTACGAGATGCCCTCTCGGTAATGTAACATCGTTTTAAATTCAACCTTTCCGATCTATTTTATATGATAACCACCATCGTGTTTCATTTGTGAAAAAAAGAAACGACGATTTTGAATCATATCGATCATGGAAAGGACAAATGTATGTATATAAATATACATTTTCACTGTTTTGTCATACATTTCTAATATGGACTCTGCTTATACATTCATACAAAATCGAATGCAGAAAGAACAAACAACATAATACGTACGTAGCTTCGCTTTACACGTTAAATTATTATAATTAGGCGATTTGTAGTTCGACTGGAAATAATAATTATGATTATTAGTCACTCTTTGATAATGATGCAATTTAATAATGCATTACATAATAATGATTATAAGAAGGGCGTGCTCGAATTTGGATATTTCAATTAAAAAGATTTCTCAAAATAGCGTATATAACGTATAACAAATCACATAGCAGCCCAATAAATAGGATTATAAATCTTATAACAGAGTTATCTTTTGTTACTACAATAAGGAGGGGGGGGTGGGGAGAGAGAGAGAGAGAGAGAGAGAGAGAGAAAAGATAGAAAACCAGAGAGAGATAGCGAGAGAAAGATAAATGAGGAGAGGTAAATGAGAAAAAGAAACGGGAAAAGAAATTGCAAATAGGAGGTAGAAGAAATAAACCGAGCAGTCGACCATAAAGGGCGGATTTGAAAAAAATGTTTGATCTGTATAGTTGAGACAATTGTACAGTTCGATGCTTCGTCTTATGCTGCAAGAGGGCACAGTTTAAGTAGGATGCATTGTACCATACAAACTGTCACTTACATTATTACTATTCAACAATTCAAAATACTTATAATAATACACACAACCTTGAATAATCTCAACAGCTGCTGGCCTTTAGCCTGAATTAACTTATCGCGTAAATCGTGGATAGAAAAGTAAATTTTCGCTATTACTATTTTGCATATACCGCCACGCACGGTGATATGTCATGATGTGCTTCGCTGAAATAAGTTAGTATTCAATCGATCAAAGCTTCATAACGCTGTGGTTTCTTTAATGATTCGTATATAAAATATGCCAGGGCACTCATAGTCATCAGTCACTAAAATCAGAATAAAGTGAATACACCGTAAGGTGTATCGCACTTTTCCATCACTATTACTTTTATACATATTATTTTCTTTCTGTACTTCGCATTTACATATCCATCACATAATTTTCATGATTTTTAATTTCCCTTATTATTCATTATAATATTATGTTCTATATAAAAATAATACTCAGTCGATTAGTTCAGATTAATACTCATGTACAATGGGAAAGGGGTTTTGGCGTTTCGAATGCTTCTAATGCGAATAATTATACTTATGAATTAAATTAGATGTGTGTAGACATGACTTAAAATTTCTACTAAAGACGAAACAAAAACATGCAGATGGACGGAAGAGTGCTATGTGATTAGCAAAAAGTATCTCGGTAATATTTTAATCGTTACGCAAAAACCCCTTTTCGATAAGTATACAATTATTTTTTTAGAGGCTCTCGTATACACATATTCATTATAGATATCCCTTAACCGAGACCATTCAGGCACTCCAGCAACTATATCGTATCAATATTTATCGATGTAGATCAAATTAAAAATTAAAAACGAACGTGCATGAATAATCTTGGCTCGTTCTTCGTAAACATTTTTCCTTTTATCATATTGTTTCAAATAGCAATAGTCAACAATGTAACATTTCTTTTGGAGAAAATACGCACGTGCGTATCATGTTATTCGTGTAAATATGCCATCGCTATAAATGGATATAAATAGAAGGTCTAGGTGTGAGAAGGCACCTAAAGCACTGACCATCTGCATAACTGTACATCATAGATTACTTGATTTGCGAAAAAAAAAAAAAAGAAAAGGAATGATCATTTGCGCAGTGCCTGATCGTACATATTAACTGTTTAAAAAAAAAAAAAAAAGAAGCTTGTATCTAGTAAAATGTAAGTACAATGTCAAAACAATAAATTAAGAAAATCATTGCCAAATGTCTTATGCAAATATTGATGCAAAACACAGTGAATGCAATAAATTAGTTTAAATAATATTTAGGGAATTCATAAAAATAGGCGTACAAAAACAAGGGGAGAGGAGATTAACTAAATAATCTAATAATTAAGTAAGAATTCTTGTCATAAAGGGTCCTTTTAAGTAATGTTGATTAAAATCTTAAGAACTAAAATCAAAAACTTGCGGAATACTGATATATAAAAATATCTATAAGAAGCCTCAGCATTATCATCTTTAAAACCAACCATTCGAATCTATGGTGGTCCACAACTAAGTCTTAATCAAGACAACTATTAATAAGATTTAATGAATTTATCGATTATATAATAGCAATACTTCATTCTTCGATCATGATAATTATAAAAAATATTTTCTAGTTTCGGGATTAGTAGAGAGCTCCAATCTATTCTAGTTACCGACCTACGTGATCGTAATAGTAAAAAAAATATGATTATTACTTTTTGAACGAGTTACTCTGAGCCGAACGTAACTGAGAAATGCCTAACAGTTTAACTGTTTATTCTTCTATCGTATAATCCATAAATAAATCGTTTCTTGTAAAATATGATACAGTTAAAATGTTATAGTACACCATCCTGCCGACTTTATTATTTAGTAACATTTTGAAAAATGCTACTTAGAATCTTAGCCAATATATATTCCAATTCTTGATCTTTATCAACTTTACTTTTCACATAAATATGAAAACAAGAAGTTGACACGTATCTTTTAACGCATTTGTTTTAACAAATTTATGTATATTAAGTAAATATTTTGTATATAATAAAAATAAATAATTAGTATATGTATATGTATATATATATATATATATATATATATATATATATATATATATATATATATATATATTCTAATTATTAGTATACATATATATAATAATTATTAGTATGCATATATATATATGTATACTAATTTATTATATATAATTATTATTATATATAATAAAAATCGTGTAAAATATTCTTACAATGTATTTGTTTATAATTGTAATAAATGTTACAATAATTGATAAAAATGAATTTTAAGAATTAACTGGAGAAGAATTTTTAAGCAAATGTATAATATATGCACAAAAGATATAATAATATCTTCGTTTGAAAGATACGTGACTCCCTTGATAGTTTTCAAGAAAAGGATATTAAATATGATAAAAATGAAAAGTGAAAAAAAAAGAAGAAGAAGAAGAAAAAAAGAAAACATACTTCAAAAAGAGATTCTATGATCTAAGATTCTGATCACTTGGAAAAAATTCTTATTAGTATTTATATCTATTCCTCCGATACTCGCACTACTTGTGCTTTATTATTTACTATTTGACAGTACTACACAAATTGTATTCTTTGACATGCCCTTTCATTAGTTATTCTAAAAATTGACACAAATTGTTTTAAGATGTAAATTTCTTGTACCTGTGTTTATATTGTTAAGGGCATGTTTTATATCTTTTGATGTATTGGATTTTTATTTATGTAGCACTGTCCTTTACTATTGTATCGGTCTTACATATTCGTATTTATACGTTAATATAGAATATATTTGTAATACGCTTACGCGTTTATAAGGCTCCTTTGATAATTACTAAACCTAATTGCTCCACATACTATTATAGCGATCTCTTACTCTGTCATAAGTTTGTTAAGAATTATTGCTGATTGAAAAAAAGCTCGCAAAAAGAAATATAAAAGTGTATATGTGTGACTTTATGTAGTATGAGAAATAACATGTTAATTTTTGTTGTATTCTCTTACCTATATTCTATGTTACACGGACTAAATCTATTTTTGGCAAAGTTGTTTAGGTATACGATGTCAAGTATAACAATATATAAGTAGATGCATTGGCCATAATATTATGCTCTATTAAAAACAGCTTAATATCTGTTGCTAATACCTTATCTGTACAATCTTGCAAAAAGTAGATCGGCAATAACTCTTAAAAAATAGAAAGAGCAAATAATTAAAATAAACCATACCACAAACATCTCTATCATACTATAAAACTGCTTATGTTCTTTTATTTATTAAGAAAAAACAATTAAAAAATTTTAAAAAAGAAAATAAAAAAGAATAAAAAAAGAAGAAAAAAAAAGAAGAAGAAAAATAAAAAGAGAAAAACTGCAAACGCAAATTATCAAGATCTATTAAGCTTTACAAATACAGCCATACTAGCAGTGGAGCAATAGAATTTATTCTTAATTTTCGACATATAAACGAATGCTATTCATATATTATTTCGCGAAGATTTTGAACATTTTCGATCAATGTCGAGAAAAAGAGAGCGTGTCAACAGGTAATGTTATTGTAAGACAACAATCTATACCGCATCCATAGGATGTTCTTATTGCTTTTAGAGTCTTAGCTTATATGGTCGTGTACTATTTTCTTTGTTAAGTACAAATTGATTCAACTGTGTACTGTGGCAGTTGAGAAGCGTTTTGACATAGGAAGTAAAAACGAGGAAGTAAACTATTAATAGCATTTACGTCGGCAGTATCGTGTTTGCATAAATCTTCTGCATGTAACTTCTTTATACTTGTCAATTAAAGAAGATATAAGAGAATAGAAAATATAAGTCTCTATGAGAAACATAGAACGCGTAATATTTGACACGATACTGGCATGTAATTTCATGAATTTAAATACCCGAATGAACGTTTCCCTTTTACGTACTATTTGTTTCTTTTTTCTAATTCTGTTTTAAATAGGACATACTTATACATTACTAAAGCATATTAAAAAATACAATTTTATACACTAGTAAAATTCAACGGGGCTGTTCATAAAAAGCTTACTGTAATATAAAACAACGAGAGTATTATGGTTATTATGTCATTTGCAACCAAAAGCCCGTGGAACAAAACGCTAAGATCTTTTTATTAATTAGTTTCTTCAAACATATTCATTTGAAACTACTTGCACAGTAATTTAGCACCGTTTAATACTATTTTACTGGCAATCGAGTTCTATTCTTGCTTTTAAAACAGACAACGATTAGCTTTATGTACGCAAAAGTACATGCACATCGAAAGAACAATTTATGCACATATGTACAATGATCACCCGTCGCTCTCCAGTCGAAAGCATAGAAAATTTTGTATAAAAATATTCATATTCAAATACATATATGTATGTATGTATATATATATGTACATTTTGAGTAATCATTTAATTAATACTGTGTGCTTAATATCATTATACCTTTACACGCTCTGTACCACGGGCCTAATAGCTCAAAAAAATACCTCAACTGTATATCATCTCAATTTTTCGAGACATAAAGAGCGAAGAGATGAGGGAATAGCTAAAAAAAATAGCTATAATAATTAAATATGTTGACAGATAAGGCGTAAAATTTTTACGCCTCATGTACCACTGGGTCGATCATACTGCCTAGAGATTCTTTCTTATGTATACCTAATAACGATGTCTTCAAAAGAAAAAAAAAAAAAAAGAAAAAAAAAAAGAAAAAAAAATGAAAAAAAATGAAAAAAAAATGGAAAAAAAAAAAAAAAGAAAAAAACTAAAATTTTCTCAATGCGTATCTTCGGCTAATGACGTCGCAACCAGATTTAATGGTACATCCGAAACATTTTCTTCATCTCCATCCTCTATCTCTTCAGTCTTTACCGAAAGACGTTGTTGTTGGTCTTGAGCTTCAGTTTTCACATGCTATATGAACGAAAACAAAGTAACAATCAGTTCGGATAACATTAGCAATATTAATAAACTTCTTATTACACTTACATGCATCATATAACTAGACAAAGGAAGTGAATAATTAAGTTGAGCAGCTGGTGGACCGTGATTGGCAGGTATACGTGGTGGCGTTAATGCTGCCATCATGAGATGAGGTTGAATTTGTCGACGCAAAGCTGCTAGCATATCAGCACTTTCAGAGTCCATTTGCTCAGATTGTGGTGGTATTACCGCCGTATCTCCTTTCTCTGCAATATTATCATTCAGATTAGGAATTTAAAAAAAGGTAACAAAATTGTTTTAAAATAAATAATATAACAAAAATAAACCACGTAAATAGATATATTAAAATATTAATAAGTCTAATAAAAATTAAATAATAAAAGAAATAATAGTAAATTCTCATGCATCTCTATTTATTACTTCTATGTCGTGTTGGTTTTTCGCCTTTAGGTCTGCGTCTACGTGTGTGTATCGTGTCTCTTCGCATAGTAACTGGACGATTAACTCCATGAAGTTTGTAATAAAGTCCACACGCATTACAAACCATTTCACCCTTCATATTTCTTCGCCAGATTGTTGTAGTCATGGTACCACAATTTGTGCAAGACATATCAACTTTTTTTGTGATATTACCGGTTTGCTGATCAAATTGTTGTTTTTGATCTTCAACCTAGCAGATTTATGAGAAATAATAAAATAAATACTTAAATACTTTCATTTTTATAAATAATTAAATGACAACACAATTAAATGACAACACAAAAAGGTTTTCTTTTACTTACTTTTCCTTTCATTTTATGTGACCATGCGGTAAAATCTTGTGCTTGTTCTTCACTAGATTCATGTTGATAATTAGCAGTATCTGGGCTTGTTGGAGCCTTACTCGGATAACTTTGTTTCCTTCGACCTTTCGTTTCTTTTCGTCCAATACTAGCTGGACTGGATGGATTACTGTCCATAGAAGTAATCTATAAAGAATAAAATATATTTGTAAAGAATTTTTAACATAAAATATTATCGACATTTGATATATTACTATGTCATATTGCTAAATTTTAATATACATAAATATCTATAAAGATAACAGTAAATGTTCAGATAAAGCAATGAATAGATGTTATTGTCCAAAGGTTGGAATATACCGTACCATTTCTAAAGTCTATTACAAAGAATTTCTCATTTACCTATTACCCCATGTTCTTACCAGGTTTCTTACCTGCTCTAGCAGGTAAGCCATGAATAGTCCCTAAAAAAGGTCTCTAACATACAAAGACCTTCTTACCTACCATTTTCTGAATCTGTGCATTTTTTATACCAAGCAAACTGCAAGACTTATCAATATAAAATTTGCATAGAGAATATAAAATAAAAACCATAAATGTAGAAAAATAAATAAATAAATAAAAAGAAAAAGAATTATTCTAAATATTTCTACAAACTTTTAAATAAAAACAATAATATTTACTCTAATATGAAGTATTAGAATTAATAGTAGGTATAACATAGAAATAAATATTATTTGATATGCAATTGTACATACCTTGTTTTCTATGCACGGCATAGTGGTACAATTCCCAAGTACAGAAGAATCAGGTAATGAATGCTCGATTGTAGTTCCTTGAGTGTCCCTATAAAATCTTATTTGTGTAGATATTCTATCAGAATCGACAGCAGTAATACCGATTTGTCTATTTTTGATTAAAGATCGAAGCAAATTAGTCGCTTCTCCAGTGAAACCATTATTTAATTTATCTCCTTTTGTTCGTGTTATTTCCAAATTCCTATTACTGTGTTATCAAGAAGAGGAAAAAAAAGAAGTTGAATATAATAAGTAGAAGCTTTTGTTTACATATATTCAATAATGCGAATAGCAAAGTTAGTTCATTTTCATCGATTACTTACTTTGCAAGGGCTTGCCACAGCTTTGTAGTTTCTTGGTCAATATGAGTATCTGAACAATTGCTCTCTGGTGTATCCATCCTATTAACTGGACTATGATCAGGTGTATTTGGTTTGGAATTTTCATAATTATTTTCCAATTTTAATCGTTTATTAATTGTCATATCATAACCATTTTCTTCACCTTCAGTTTCTTGCTCATCCCGATCCTCAATTTCGAGTCTATCTGGATCTGAACTATAAGAACACGTATCATCCTCTGGTTCACATTTAATATTATCATTTTCTAATACTTCATTTGCACGCAGCTCTAATCTGTGTGTTTGCGTTTGAGGTATTATGTTTTGATTAATGCTGGCTGGAGAATTTGGTTCCTCATTAAATAACGTTTTATTTAATTGAATAAAAGATTGTACTGGATTTAATCCTGCTATTTTGGCAGTGGAGAAAGATTTTTTCTGTAAACGTTATATACCAGTTATAGAGTAAATAAATACTTTATATATAGCTCTAAATTATACAATAATTTTAAATTGTACAAATCTTAAATGATCTATAAAACAAAAATAGTAAATAACATTACTATTTTACCTGATTATCATTAGATGATAATTGCTTGGCATAATCCAGGTACTGTTTCAATATGACATCAGATTTATGCGAGACTTCACGAAAATTATGTAGTACATCTAACTTGTATACACATCGGTGACATATGATTGGTGGTAAAGAATCACCGTCTTTTACCTATAACAGTTATATAATCAAAGTTATACTTTTTTAATACTTATGATACAAGGATACACACACACACACACACACACACACATATGCGCAGATAATAATTTATTAATATTGTTAAAGTTACCGGATTATATCTCTTTATATTAATAATATTAAATAGTTCATTGTATATATGTGTGTTAATTAACATTACAAGTAGATTTAGTTACAATTTAAACAATATACAAAGAAAAACAAGAGACAGCAATATTTTTCAAGAGAGCACAGATGGGAGAAAATAATATTGTATAAAATAAAAAAAATTTCACAAGAAAATGTAGAAAAGTAATGAAGAATTTATAAATTTAGGCTAATTAATAATTAATAATTAATAATTTAGGCTAACTTTTTCAAAATATTGGTTTGGTAAGAATGATATCAATTCTTTAAACAATCATCACCTTTACAATATGTATTATTCATTATATTTTTTAAAGAGCCACGATCTTTGTTTAAAAGATAAAGCTTGTAAAAGCCATACGTCACAACATTTTGTGGAATCCGCGTGTGAAACCTGATAACAGGTCGTCCATATAAGGAGCTCCCCACTCTCAGAGGACTGCATAAGAGTGGAGCGAAGCTTATCAGTGCCATTTTAAATGCTCCCATGAATCGTTACCTTATCTCGCGGTCACATCTCTTGCCAAACTTTCTCTTGCGGCACACACGCGCGCACGGTGTGTGGACGAGGATAGAGACAGCAAGTGAGTAAACGAATGAGAGAGAGTGACAGAGAATATACATACACACAAATATATATCACGCGCATGTACACACACACATATATAGATGGATACATATATAAAAGAAGGAGAAAAGAAAAGAGGGGAAGAAGGGTGATGGCGGCGTATAGGGACAAAGGGGGGAGAGGAGAAAAAGAGAGAGAGAGAGCGCACGACAGAAAGAGAGAGAGAGAGAGAGAGAGAGAGAGAGAGAGAGAGAAAGAGAAGCGGACAACATTATACAAGTGCGGGGTCCACAGATGGTTGTGTTTAATTTATCATGATATCAACACGAGGACTCGATAGAGATGTTACCCAGAACTCACCGTGATTGAGAGACATGTTAATATCTTGTCGGCGAAATTTCGCTGGGCGCCTTCCTCCTCGAATATGGACAATTTGACACCGTCCGACGATAAACAAAGGCGACACAGCTCGTAAAACTTGGGCGGTACATCAAACATAATTGTAAACTCCGACTACGCTGCGCGCCACGTAAAACACGAGTCATCAAGAGGTACACTCTTTCCTCGATCGACGTAGTATCTTTCTCCACTGCCACTACGCGTTTAACACGACAGGGAAGGACACACGATCACTTATCACAGCCACTGCCGCTGCTGCTCATTGTCAGCGGCACAGTACACACAGGCACACAATTATGACTACACGTAGAGAGGATACTACGAGATTGCAAAGAATTTCGTTTAGAATGGAAGGCGCATACACACTAGAATCCCTAGAAACGAAGAAAGTGCCAAATTTAACGAGCAAGTAGCGCCATAACGAATACAAATCGAACGTCGATGAAATTTTTCGAGATAAATCGCTTTCCAGAAGAATTGGAAATTAATCGTTTACGTTTTAAAATAGTTTAGATAAAAATTTGGCATTTTAAATAAAAAATTTACTACTTCCTGTCACATTACAAAGGCTACTAGTCCTTCAATAATAAGATCCAATCATATGGAAGTACACTGGAAACTCAATATTGAAAATTTAAAACACTCGCGCTAAATATGACGTTGATCGAACTAAAAATCAATATGGCTACGAACCGCTGAATTTGAATATTTCTAGGATTAATACGATAAATATTATGAAGAAGATAAAGAAGAAAAAGAAAAAGAAAGAATAATAATTATTCTCGAAAATATAAAACATTATATTATTGTACTCGTTAATCGTTTTTCTATTTAATAGCGCCTGCTGATAGAAGATATGTCTTAAAAGTTATTTCATATCTATTTTGTTGATATAATTACACTTTATATATTTATATTGGAACAATGTCGTTTTAAAAAAAGTATGTATTACAAAGTACACGATTTTTTATACCTTTATTTGGAGAAAATATTTGTCGACTCCAAGTATAAAATAGATCTTCAAAGTATGTTAAAAATTGGCTAGATTATTCGAAATTGTGATGCTATGTAATATGATTCAAAATTTCTAGATTACAATCACAACTAGATCTATAAAGACTCTATGAAATAACGGTTATTTTAAGCATATTTACTGAATATAGTCGGACGCCTCATTTGCGACGCCATTCTACGCACTTTATAGCCCTCTGCATACAGTTATTCGATCCAACGGACTCCATCTACCATCTTTAACACTGTTTGGCGTGCTGCGTGACCGGTTCTATTACTGTTTCAAAAGTTTATGTTCATATTTATGAATTCTGTGCCTTTATATTTCACTACAACGCAAGCTTTATCATGAGTACAGATAGCATCGAAAAATTGTATAAAAACTTTGGCATTTTAGCTGATGCCAAAGATAAGTTAGCCGAAGTAAGTATTTATTTGGTTATGAAAAATAATCACGTTTGTATAAGTATAAACTTACAACTTTTAAGGAGCATGGTAGGACTCGAATTTTATGAAATCAAATTACTTCTTATATTTCTCGATGTCTTAATTCTTTATATTGTTTATTTTTTTTTCAAATTCTACGAATTCTTAGACGCAGAAGTTTCATTCTGTATGCTCCTTTTTTGTAGTAACTAATGTTTATCTTTGCGCATTTTTATCAAGTTACAACATTCCCATATGCATTTATTTAAGAATTTTTAATACTTATAAAAAGCTTGGCTACGAAACATTTATTATCTATTTTGATTGTAATATATTTGCATGTGATTAACTTATTACTTTGCTTCTTATCTCTTTATTATTTATATCTTTTATTTTATTATTTTCTATAATAGTTGCATTTAAGAAAGCAACAATCAATCAACCATTCATTTTTTCAGCATGAAAAAGAATACTTAGAAATTTTGACCGCTGTCAAAGGATCATCCAAAGAGAAACGTTTAGCATCTCAATTTATTGCAAGGTTTTTTAAATATTTTCCAAAATTAGCCGATCAAGCAATAGATGCTCATTTAGACTTGTGCGAAGATGAAGATATGGCAGTAAGTAACTGTTAATTAATAGATATAAACATTTTATATTGAGTTAAATATAATTATGTATGATTATAATACAGATAAGAAAACAAGCTATAAAAGATTTACCTACTTTGTGTAAGGATAACAAAGAATATACTGCAAAAATTGCTGATATTTTAGCTCAATTATTACAAGCACAAGATCCATCTGAATTAGCAGTTGTACATAACAGTGTTATGTCTCTTTTGAAAAGTGATCCAAAAGGTTGGAATTTAAATATATTATGTATACATACACACACACACACACACACGATTTTATTATGTATTAATTATCTATCTTTTACCAAGGTACAATAAGTGGATTCTTTAGTCAAATTATTAATGGAGATGATGGAACAAGAGAAAGGTGTATTAAATTTTTAGCTACAAAGTTGAGAGCAATAGGCCATGATATTATTACTAAAGAACCAGAAGATTTATTAATTGCAGAATGCAAGAAAGTCCTACAAGTAGGTTTTTCTATTGTTTATAATCATTCATGATATTTCTTTATTTTATATTTATTATCGTTTAAATAATCTTTATAGGATGTAACAGCCGACGAGTTCCATAGTATCATGGAAGTTCTTAGCTGGACTAGATTAGGCTCTACTATTACTGGTCAGCAAGAATTAATTGACATCACGGTAGAACAAGCTGAACTTTCTGTGCCATTTAAGCATACAAATATTGAACAATGGAGCCGACTGATACAATGTATCAAACATGCTCTTCCATTCTTTAGTGTAAGGATATAATGTTTAAACATTAAAGTATTTTAAAGTGGTATTGCAAAATTAATATGTGAGCTGTTAGATATAATAAGTAATTGATTTTTTGTTTTTCCTTTTTTATAGTCTCAGATTGATTCATCAAGATTTGTTTCATACATCTGTGTTCAAGTTTTACCACATTTATCATTAATTAATGCATCTGATGGAAGGGATAGTCAGTTGGAATTGTTAAAACTTCTTGCAGAGTTAACTGTATTTTGTGGAACAATTGAAAAACCAGAAGAAAAAGTACAACAATTATATAACACACTAATTGTATGTAAAATTACTGCGTTAATTCTTTTCTTACAATTTTTTGACTGTTGTAATCTTAATTTTTTTTTTTTTTTCCTCATTAGACGTATATGCCTCTTCCGCCAGCTACAGAGATAACAGATGTCCCAAAGTTACAATTTAGTCATGTGGAATGTTTAATGTATGCTTTTCACAAACTATGTAAGCAAACACCTGAATTTTTGGTAAAAGATCCAGAACAACTTAAAGAATTCAGACTTAGGTTGCAATATTTTGCTCGGGGGATTCAAGGGTATATAAAAAAATTGCGTGAAGCAATTAGTGGCAAGTCTGAAGAAGAATTAAATTCAGAAGAGAACCAATTAAAAGTAGTAGCATTGAAAACGACAAACAACATCAATACTTTAATTAAAGATCTATTTCATTCGCCACCCAGTTTTAAAAGCATTATACATCTATCTTGGAAAACATCAATGAATGATAAAAAGGTAACTATATCGCAAATGGAAAGTTATATATTTCGTGTTATGAAAGTATATATAATCTCTACATATAAATGTATACTCATATGTTCAAAATTTTGTTGTATATTAGAGTGAAAAAAATTCTTCAAGTCAAAAAAGACATACTCCTATTACATTTGGAAATGATAGTAGTTCCAGTAAACGGAATAAAGATGAAAAAAGTAATAAAAGAGAAATATATACACCTCCAAGCGGGAAATACAGTTCAAATATATCCTCGAATTATGGTATGTACTTCAATTGTCTTTATAACTAATTTGTGACTTTACTTATATCGATTAATTGTTCACTATTTTTTATTTAGGAAGCCGTGGTAGATTTAGAGGTAACAGGTCTGGTGGACGAGGTGGCTACAGGCCAAGAGGGCGTAGTACTTGGAGAAAAAGTTTTTACTAAATATCAGATAGTATGAAAAAGGGAGACATTTAAAACCGTGTAATCATAGAGAGTGATTCAGTCAGACCTGAAAAATATATGTGTACAGAAAAGTATCTAGAAGTGTATTATCAACAGAATGTGGTGTTAACGAATGTGACGGAACGAGTAAAACATTCTGTGTTCCTTAAATGTGTGAAGAGTGTTTATGTGAATGTCTCAATTACATAAAAACCTTATGAAAACAGACAAGAGAACACAAATGTTTTCAAAGTGCAGAACAAAATATGAATACTATTGGAATGATTATTAAAAAACCAACAGAAAAACTTTATTTGATATAAAATATGATACCCACGATAATTATACATTCATGATTACTCTGCTAACACCAAACAAAATACAAGTAAATACTTCAATTTGATAACATCTATATATAAATGATATATAATGGAAGCCAGTTTAAATGTGTACAGTACATGTACACATAAATAATATGGCTATAAGATGAAATCATATAAAAGAAATGAAAAACACGAATATGATGGAGTTTAACTAAGAAGAAAGATACTTCTGTTTCTTAGTGAAATAAAAAAATAATGTCAAAGATACATTTTTCTATTGAAAATTAAAATAACATAATTATTATATAAATGTGCTTGATAACTATTATGCACAAGAAGAATAAGTTCCACAAAATTGTAATATTCTCATCGAATCAAGAAAGTCATAGTGTTTGTGCAGTGTCAGCAGATATATTAGAAGAAAGAGAATATTACTCTTTCTAAAAAATATGTAATATCAAATTATTAGCAGTCGTAACATTTCTCTGTCTTATCTTAAGTAAATTTTGTATCTTGTGCCCTACCCTGTGAATTTATTTGTTGGCAGGAATAAGATGCAGCTCATGTTGAGGAAACAGCTGTTAATGAGAGACAAAAAAATATTTAAAAAAAGAAAAAAAGGAAAAAAAAAAAAATACAAAAGACGTGATCAAAAAAACAAAAGATGCTATGATCATTATACTGATTTATATAAGCTTCAAAGCTTATAACTTTCCAATATAATTTTTCTATTATTTCTATCCATTATTTTAATACTTTACTTCATATATTTAAGACAAATTATTTAATATTTCGAAGGATCTTCTATAAGATCCCCGAGTAAATAAAAATTTCATGTGTGTTAAGTAAAAAGTATATAGATACTAAAGTTTCTTTGATCATGATCTTATAAAATTTATTTAAAATATTTTCTATTTTACAGAAGCTGTACAAGAGTGGAAGCTGAAGGGAAAAAAAATTTATGTAAAAAATAATCGTTTCATTTTACAGATATCTGATGAGGACATCAAAAAGAAGTTTCCAGATGTTTGTAATATTATAGATAACGTTTTTTATTGCAGGAGGTGTTCTAAAATTTGTATGTATTGTATTGTACTTTGATTATAGCTGCTCATAAGGTGAGTTTTAGGTACTCCTCCTTCCTTGTCCTTAATTGAATTCATTAATTCATTTTTTGTAATTCTGCAATATAATCTTATTAATATAATAAATAATGTTATACTCTATACGCTATATGTTGTTCTTTATATCCATTATAATACGATTAGAAGGATGTTCTTTATGTCCATGATTGAAAAAATATATAAAGAAAATATATAATACGCATTTATAAAAGAAAACATATTTAATTACTATGTATAAAGTAGGATTTTATACGAATATTTAATATAATACAGATGCTTTTAAGGATTTACATTATATTTATATCTTAAAATAAATTGTTTGATGCTATCATATCATCTATCGTTTTACACATAATACGATCACTTTGACTACATGTATCCATATTTTGTTGCTCGGCACCTAAAGTATCAATGGATTCCATTGCATCAATGTTAATTGCAAGCTTGGAATCTAGTTCAGAAGTATCTGGAAGCATTTGTAAAGCATGCTGTAGTATCTGTTGAACCTGAAATAAAATTAATAAATTTCACAATATTATTACTGTATATGTAATAAATTTTAATTTTGATATCAATCTCATACCTTCTCAAGGTGCTTTTGAAATCTTAATGCCGTTTCTATACGTTGTCTACGTTGTAATTCCATCATAACTCTTAATGTTTCTCTTGCCTGATGTGGTCTAAATTCATTTAAGAGATGATGAATATGTATAAATAATAAACTTAAATCTTCTACCTAAAAAATATATTAGATTATTTTAAGTACATTAAAACTAATAAAAAGTTAAAAAAGAATGTTGATTTATTATTATCAATTTTGTAAGTGCATACTTTTTCAGCACGTCTTGGACTATCAGGACATTGCACTAATAGATCTATTAAATCTAAAAAGTTTACTAGTAAAGAATGATTAAGTTTTTTTAATTCACGTCGTCGATCAAAGTGTTGAGGATATAATCTTTTGATCCCTTGAGCTTCTAAGGGTCTGATGATACTATCATCGGCATTAAATACATTGCCAAACATTGAATAAGTATCATGAATTGGAGGTGGAGGCTTGGGTGCTCTTCCACGACGAACATTTTCATCTGTATATAAATTGATATATTGCAATGGTGGTAAGGGCAATGAACTAACTTGCATTGCCTCTGGTGCTGCCATTTTATAATTATATCAATACCATAGATTTTTACAAAGAGTAATATTTTTATAATGTAGTATTCTTATCTGAAACAAAGTAACGATGAGGTTAGAATAACGTATCGCTTTAATTTATCTTGGATACCTTTATATCTGGAACATACTTGTTTGTTTTGTAACAGAATATAATTCTTTGGCTTATTTATAAATATATATGTATATATATATATATACATATGTATATATATATATATATACATATATATATATACTTTTATTAACTAACAGCTCTATTCTCTATTTGATAATTTTCCTTCGTTCGACAAAACACAACGAGATGAACGTATCGGTATTTGAGTTTACAAAAAAGATCAACAGATATTCCTCTTTATAAAGTCATTATTTTATATTAAAATATAAACATTGGACAAATTAAATCTCAAATAGATAATATTAATATTCAACTAATATTCGATAATGTAGTTTTATTAAAGCTTGGATTTATTTAAATTGATAAAAGGTTGCAATTTAAATTTAATATTGACTATAGTTGTATGCCATTTCCTCCTATATCACGAACGTTCCTCGATGTTCGGGTGGTCTCGGATTGACAGATTATAACAGTGTGCATGCGTTCGTCCACGTGAACTCTTTGTTGCGTCTGGTGTACATTTGTGTGTGTCCATACCGGTCATGTTTTGACAGCTGCCAAAATAGTGCAAAATAGATGCAATAAAAAACATCAATAGCAGATAAGTATGTACTACTATATGTTAACGTCTCAGTTATTATTTACAAAAACAGTTGTATTATGTTGATTTGAATAGTTAAACCTAATGTCAGTTATAAAAGCGTTGCAACGGTGTAAAATTCGCTACTATTATTTCCCTTTGTGTTTAGCAAAGAATACGTCTATATTTATAGTATAAAAATCTTCATTATTCTTTATATAAAAAGTACATAATAATGTTTAAAAAGAAAAAAAATTACGAAATATTTTCGAATCATAGTTTTTACATTTTTGCGAAGGAACTTTGTTATTTTATAAAGAGTTTATTACTTTGAATTCGACTAGATGTCATTTTATTTCAAAACAATTTATTCAAATTTGTCTCTAAATATTTAAAATTAGTATCATGTGTAGTATGACTGCTAGGAAGAATAAATGTTATATGAAGGTATTGAGAAAGTTATTAAAAAGTATAACTTTTATTTGAACAAAAGTTTATTCATCTGGATTATAGATATAGAACGTGGTAACAATGATATATAGTGGTAAAAACTAAGTAATCATAGTCTTATATTTTTAGGATTAGAAGAGCCGCCGTTACACCTGTATTTTTCAACACATAACTTGTCAGACAAGATCTATTTGCAGAAGAGTTAAAGCACAAAAGTCTTGTCATGATTAAATTTTTATTTTCTTAAAGATTATTGCACTCCTAAACGATGCAGGCTGTAAAATCCTCTTATAAGCTGCATTTCACAAAGTGTATGAAAACAGTTCTTTTCTCTTATATGTTTCCTTGTCAATAAACATTTCCAATTGAGTTAATTATTTATTAGAATGATTTATTTATTAGAATTTTTATTGAAATAAAAATCTCTTTTTGACAAGGTCTGTCGAGAATGGCAGGGAAAGATGCAAAGGTGGAATCAAAATCAACAGACGTGGTAAGACAAGGATTTATGGTTAAACGTTCTCAAAACAAGAAACGTTTCACTCCTGTTAACTACAAGCAACGTTGGTTTGTACTCACACGTCGTCATCTCGTGTACTATGATAGCGATAGTGAGGTAAAGTACAAAATATTCTATTACGAAGGATCGCAGTTGTTTGCATTAGTTCGCTTAAAAATCGCATAAATATATAAGCTTTTCAATGGGCTTTGTTAACTTTTTTCTAATTTTATATTTCTGCGGCTATAAATAAATTAATTGTGGCATATAAAAAATGAATAATTAGATTGAATATTCATATATTATTATATCCATTGTGAGAATAATTAACAATCAAATAGTAAACAAATTATTATTTCTTTTCTATGTGTTTTAACTAAGTAGAAACTTAGACATAATAGATATCATTAGAAAGAAATGTCGGTTCTGATTAATTTCTGATTAGTTTGAAGCAGACAATGAAATGTAACGCTATAGTAATCTATGAACCATTAATCTATCATTTATCAGATACATTATTATCAATTCAAGAATTTGAGGAGGAGATATTTATGCAATACGTTTATTACGCGATCTTTTGCTCATTTCTGTAATTTCTTTATTTAATGAGCGTGGAATACTAAAGAATCGACTTATTTCTTGTTGCAGCGGCGCAAAGAACGAGGTCGTATTGCGATTGAAACAGTCCATGTGGTAGAAACAGCAAATCTTGGTAATAATCCTGGATGTGGGAGTGGGAATACAAAAATAGATACAACTGGTAATGACTTAGGTAGTAGCGGAGGTAACGTACCACCAGGACTACCATTCCAGATAGGATATCGAGAAGCTGGACAAGAGTACACTCTTTATCTTCTTGCTGCAAGGGAGCAAGATCGATCTGAATGGATACGTGCTATCCGTGCTGGTAAATATCCATTTCTCTCATAACTTATATACATAGATTGTATTATATTATATTATGGATCTAAGGGACTACTAAGGAAATAATAGTCAAATTAACTATTATTCATGTTGTTTTGTTTTAGTTTGCTGTGAAAATCCAGGTTTAAGCGATCGTTATCACTTGGGCTTGTGGAGTGGAAAACGTTGGTCCTGTTGCCGTTTATTAACGCGGTCTGCCGAAGGTTGCGATACATGCAGCTCTTGGTCTATGAATGTGACAAACGCTCCAACGTGTCCGCTCCGAACAATAACTTCTGCCACGGGAAATGTTACTGCCTCGATTGTCAATTCATCAGCGGATTCTACAATTCAAATGGCAAACGCTGAAACGAACAACAATCCGATCATTCAACCTCAGGCGTGTTCTACATTTGGTACGTAAATATATAGATTTTAATCGATCTTTTACTTATGCTTAGTCAAATTGGTTCTTTTAAACGAGACAGTTATCTCTTATCTATTTAGTTCAGAAGAAACGAAAATTGTCTGGTCTTTCAATTTAAATAAACAATGTATATAATACATACAGTTTATTGCAATGTAGCATGACGTTCATAATAGTACTGTCACTGTGTTTCTTTTATTTCTTTTGAATAGATTGCAAGTAATTAAATTTACATCATATGTATTATATCTCTTTGAGATAAAAGGTGCAAGTCTCGTTTATAAAATGGATTACATTTACTGTAATATCTTAGAAAGTCATCGAATTATAGAATCTTTGGTGTTCAAGCCAATATATTTTCTTTTGCATTTAGATCATTTTTATCAAAGACATTTTCTATTCGTTCAGCTTGTCGCGGAATATACGTGTGCAGACATATGCATATTCAATGAGAATAGAGTGTAATGAGAAAAATTAATGAAGCGAATTATCAGGGAAGAAATTGAAAATATATTTAAAGGATAAACGAGCTCATCGAAGAGGCGAGCGCGCGTATTCTCCCAATATTCTTGTCGCGATTCGCAAAATGTTTGGCAAAGGTGGTCTCCTATAAAGGTGAAAGTATGGCAGAAAAGGAGGGGATCCTCGATCGCTCGTTATATGTACTTTCGAATCATTCGCGAGTATTAGTTGCGAGTACGTAACCGGAGCGTGTGCTTTCGTCTTTCTCGCTGTGTATCGGTTTCAATATATTTATTGAATATATTTAAGTTGTTCAAAAAACAAAAAAAATGCTCGTTTATCGGGCATTTGGTTGGTGAAAAGTACGCTTTAAATACCAGTGATCAGTATTCACGGGTATGATGGTGATAAGTGTTCTGAAACATGTCGCGAACGCTGCCACCAACGCTGTTCACTCGGCTGCCGTTAATGCCATTGGACATAGTCTCACCAATGCTGGTACGTCGAATTTATATAAGCAGATTTGCGATCTTTAGATTTTTCGCTGATTTTTGCTAAATCGATAATCGCTCGGATGCTCAATAAGGTCAGCGCTTCATAAAATCGATTGGCGATTAGTGCAGGACATTGCGGGAGAAATCCGTTGAAAAATATATATGTATCGTAAGATGTATGTCTCTCTCTCTCTCTCTCTCTCTCTCTCTCTCTCTCTCTCTCTCTTCTGCTCTGTGTGTGTGTGTGTGTGTGTGTGGTGTGGTGTGTATACATATATGCGCGCGCGCGCGTGTGTGCGTAACACACACCTATCATTCCGATCGAACTTTCGCTTTTACGCTTTCTATTTGATCTAAAATCTAGAAATCTAAAATAGAAAATTATATCGTTATGATAAAAAAAATGCATGAGCACACAAATATTCACATATCTTTTTTATATTCTTCTTGTATACGTATTTACAGTTAGATTAATAGAAAATTACTTTCAATTTTTATTGTATAAAATTAATTCTAACAACAAAAATTAAAAGATCAATTTTTATATTGATTCCGTTAATATCCGTGCCTTATTTTTTTTTTCACACTTCGCATACTCCTTGAACGTGGAAGTATTATACACGGTAGATTTTCTTTTTTCTTTTTTTCCTTTTTTCCTCGTAATGCCTTTTAAAACGGACATTAAAATTTTTTCAGCATAACGAAATAGACAATGGCGACGAGCAATTGAATTTGTTTCATTCTTATATTTCTATACAAATTAAAAGTACCAAATATTATATTTGGAAGTACTCATGACAGTCGAATTTATAAGATGTTTCCTGTGAGGGCGTAGCAATAGTACGGGTGCATCGAACGCGATCGGTAGCTGGCGCCGCCCTCATAATTAGTGCAAAAGACTGGAACGTTCAGAATTTTTAAGACGATCATAAACGGACGATTATGGTCGGTTACGTTGTCAAACGAACCACGTGCCGTTTCACTTTTATTTCCCTCATCTCTTTGCATAATAAAATCGTATCGCGATATCTTATTTACTTCTTTTGCGACTAAAATATATATAGCATTGAAAAAATTTCGTTACATATACACAATAATTCTTTATCTCTTAGAAAAAGAAAAAAAAAGAAAAAAAAAAGAACTATGAGAGTTACCATCCATTCCTTTGGCTCTTCTTACGTTTTCAATTTTTTATGAAATGTTATTTTTTCTTTTTTTCACATCACTCATTCAAAGTGTTTGCCATTGATTGGAATTTTTCCAGTTCAATGACTCTCATACATTAGATTATCAGGTAAATTTAATAATTTTAATATTATACAAAATTTGTTTTAGCCTGCTTTCTTCTATTAGCTCTAAGACAATATTGCCCTTTAGCGTGTAAATGTGTCTTTAATATAATAATTGGATGCCTTTTAATGTATTGTAGTTACATAGAATATTGAGTATAATTTTTTTTTTGGATTATGCCTATGATTTTATTAGAATAGATCTCTATTATATAATTTTTTTTTTTTATGATAATTCGATTCTCTATTTTTTCTTATTCTTTTATTTTTATTTTTTATTTTTTTTTTATTTTTTTTTATTTTTTTTTAAATCTAGAAACACGGCCTAAATAGCATAAAATGGATTATTTTGCGTGCATAAATATTGATCACAATAGACAAACAATGAAACAAATTATATTCAGTTCATATTCAAGGGTATCTTCCTTACACACTGCGAACTATTTTAATATATATTTTCCGCGCATATATTATTATGTTATTAGTATCAATAACTGAGTACAGATAATTGCATGTATTTTAAAATTCTCATGCATGCTGCAAACTTAGATCAAGAAAATTGCAAAAAACATGAAATTCGGAAATGAACAAAAGGAACACATATACACTCCAAACAACAAATGATGAATATTAAGATGCCAACTTCAACAGAAACGTTCCATTCGGCAGGATAAATTGTGCATAATGATCAAAGAATCGGTACTGGTATGTATAAAATCTATAAATGTAATTATTTCATCAATTTTGGATTATTTTGTGTTAGCAGCAATGATTCAGAGTTTACCATGATTTTTATCGAATGAACCACTTAAAATAGACAGAATATCTAGAATTTAAAGATATTAAGCCAAATCGTAACTTTTAAGTAGGCTTTCCAATAAGGTATTCCATGCTTTGTAGGGCTTCAATAATTCTGATCACAGTACTTGCATATTTGATCAGTGGTCATGTATTGAATATGCTTTTACTTGGCTGATGACTTCATCTTAATATGGATAATTTTATTTAAATATGTTATTCAGAAATAATTTTCTTGCAACAATAATGGTTCCTTTACTTGAAAGCATATATTAATTATAAATTATTATTCTTGTTACAGGTACTCCTTCAACTCCAATAATGCCGGGTGGAACTCCTGGTACTCCATCTTCTAAAAATAAAGTACGTTGTTAATTTGTTTTTAATTCATTTGCAACGAGTAGTAAAACAATAAATATGCTTTCAGGACAAAGTAGTTACAAGGGCCAAGGTTGTGGTGGCTTTGTATCCTTTTCGTGCAATAGAAGCTGGAGATCTTTCTCTTGAAAAGGTAATAGTAATTTATTTAATACTGATAGATACAAATATTTTAAACGATATCCATGTATTACATTAGTTCATTAATTTCATAGGGTGCGGAATATGAGGTATTAGATGATTCCCAAGAACATTGGTGGAAGGTGAAAGATGAGCATGGGTAATTTCTTAAACGTATATCAATGAAAAAGGACATTTACATGATAAATGTAAAATATAATAAAACTTTTATTTCAGATCAATTGGTTATATACCTAGTAACTATGTGAAAGAAAAAGAACTTTTAGGATTGCAAAAATATGAGTAAGTACTTTACCTGCCCTTTGTTGTTGATTTTAAGGTAATCACGATAAGTTTTATTTTTTACTTTTACAATGCAGATGGTATGTGGGTGATATGTCAAGACAACGAGCGGAATCTTTATTGAAACAAGAAGAAAAGGAGGGATGTTTCGTCGTTCGTAATTCCTCAACGAAAGGTCTTTATACACTTTCACTTTATACAAAAATGTAAGCATTTATTAATTTAACTTGGTTAGTCTAATTGAAATTGATTATTTCTTTATAATATGTTCGATTGTACTTTTTGCAGTCCACATCCACATGTAAAGCACTATCATATAAAGCAAAGTTCACGAGGAGAATTCTACCTCTCCGAAAAGCATTGTTGCAGTTCGATTCCTGATCTTGTGAATTACCATCGACATAATAGCGGAGGACTTGCTAGTCGATTAAAGACGAGCCCTTGCGATAGACCAGTTCCACCCACCGCCGGCCTCAGTCATGGTTAATAAAATATTCATTTCTTTCGTACATTTGAAGAATGATTAAATTGATGTAAATCACGTATCGTTTTATGATTGCAGATAAATGGGAAATAGATCCGGCAGAATTACATTTACTAGATGAACTAGGCTCCGGTCAATTTGGAGTGGTACGAAGAGGAAAATGGCGTGGTTCCATCGACGTTGCTGTGAAAATGATGAAAGAAGGAACTATGTCTGAAGATGATTTTATAGAAGAAGCAAAAGTTATGACGTAAGTATAATACTACTGCCTCGTCATTTAAACTCTTCTGAACTCTTATGTATTCTCATATATCGATTGATTTTCATTAGGAAACTACAGCATCAAAATCTCGTCCAATTGTACGGTGTTTGCAGTAAAGACAGACCGATATACATTGTCACAGAGTATATGCGGCATGGATCTCTTCTCAACTACCTCCGTCGTCACGAAACCACATTAGGTGCAAATGTTGGTCTTTTGCTGGATATGTGCATACAGGTGAAATTATTATATAGCACGTTTTCATGTTACATTATATATCATGTTAATAATATTCTTTGTTTTTTTTCTAGCATATTCAGAGATTACCATATGCAAAATGGAAAAATCTGATCGAATAAAAACTTTCCAAAATACTGGTTTCAGGTCTGTAAAGGAATGGCATATTTGGAGAGACATAACTATATCCACAGAGACCTTGCAGCACGCAATTGCTTAGTTGGATCTGAAAACGTAGTGAAAGTGGCTGATTTCGGTTTGGCAAGGTAATTCTTTTATATTGCACGATTAATTTTTTTTTTTTTTCCCAATTGATGAAAGAGATTTACGATTTGATATAATACAACAATATGCCCGTACTATTTACGTGACACATGCTTTTAGATATGTCCTAGATGATCAATATACCAGTAGCGGGGGTACTAAATTTCCAATTAAATGGGCACCGCCAGAAGTTTTGAACTATACTCGATTCAGTTCTAAATCGGACGTCTGGGCGTATGGGGTATTGATGTGGGAAATTTTTACCTGTGGAAAAATGCCTTACGGTCGTCTCAAGAATACCGAGGTTGTCGACAGAGTTCAACGTGGAATTATATTAGAAAGACCGAAGGCTTGCTTCAAAGAAGTTTATGAGGTTGATTATTATTATTTCTCTAGTTTAGAATGAGTGTGCTAATGTAGAAAGAGAAAATAATTTTTATGAGACAAATTTCGTGATATTTTAGGTAATGCGAAAGTGTTGGGCACACTGTCCGGAAGTTCGACCTTCCTTTCGTGTTCTTAAGGAACAGCTCATTAGCGTTTCTCAAGGCCTTCTCAATGATTGACTCAACCTTCTCCGGTGTATGCGCCTTTCTTCACCCTCTGGCCGATCAATACAATACATAAAGTCTCCATCGTCATTGGAGCAATCGACTTCCGTTCTAGCATCCTCTAATTCATCGTGCAATTCTGCGACATTACCTTCATCACATAAAACTCGTGCACCGGCCTCTTTGCCTTCCTCGGTCAACTTCCTTCATCTATCATCGACCATATCTAGACCGGAAGAGGAAGAATCATCTTCGCAAAGCACGACTCATCACTTGGCTAGTCAACCATCCGCAAGTTCGTCTAACGTTTGCGACATTTGCAGTTCTTATGGACATCCGTGGATAGAACTTTGCAAGGCAATACGGGCTACTAAAGATAAATGAACATTTTCGTTTATTTGTAATATAATGACTACACATCGTTTTTGCTTCATAAAATGCTTAAATACAGGCTGCCCTCTGTTTTTAGTCTTCACAACGAGAAAATTAGAGTAAAATTGGAAGGAAATTGAGGAAGAAAAATACAATAAATATTAAACAAACAAAAACAAAAAAAAAACAAAAAAAAAGAGTGCGTGTAAAGATGAGGTTCTAAAAAGCTTCTTTACTGAAATATCGCTATTAAGAAAAGAATTAGTTGTACGTTTGAAACATCTTATATTACACAATAAATGTTTAAGATATAAGCGAGTTGTGGCATGTGTAACCATTGATATAATAATTTTGGTATTTTTTATTTTTTTTTATCGTTTCAATATTGAACAATTAAGAAAGTGATATATTTTAGACTGTGTAGTAATTCACTGATCAATGTAGTTTACAATATCTAATAGAATAATGGCCTCGATGTAACAACGATATTCGTCAGCATCTTTAAATCGATCTACTTTCATATTTTTCTCTGCTCGTTTATGTTTATCCTATTATTATATTATTATTATTATTATTATTATTATTATTATTATTATTATTATTATTTTTGTTTTATGTTTTATTTTTAAAGCGTTTATAAAAATTTATGATGTCCATAATGTTTGTTAATATCTTTCTCTCGATACACCATAATTTCATTAAATCTATTTGCGGATTATTACAGGTACTAAATAATTATACAGTACAAAAACGATCGTGGTTACGACCAATAAACTTAATGTAACGTCCATTCGATCGTTTAAACATTTCTTACTTTTTACATGAAATTATATTAAAATATTTTAAACAATTTTATACATGCACCAATTTCCAAGGATATAATGACATTTCCTCGAGTCATAACACATTTATTTGAAAAGAAAATGTTATTCTTTATTATATCATACCTTCTTATACACTTCGGGAGAGACTGAACGTGATATATTTAAAACGAAAGAACTACCATGGTAGTATACACTGATGGACTGAGGCAGAATGACATATTGAAGCCAACTGGAAGCCAGTGGAAAATGCTGAAACAAAATAACATTTCTAGGGGATCCTGCCAATATTCTTATAGCATGCATACACTTAATTTATATAGTATTAGCATTGTATTAAATAATAATAGAAAATAAGGAAAGACGAAGAAGAGAAATTTCTCTTTGAAAATATCTTTCAGATTAGAAAAAGAGATATTGATATTACACTTCATAATATAAATATGAATAAATAAATAAATAAATAAATAAATAAATAAGTAAATAAATATATATATATATATATATATATATATATATACACATACATACATATATATGTGTGTGTGTATGTATGTATGTATGTATGTATGTATGTATGTATGTATGTATAAAACGTAGATTTTGAAAGTGATAATAAAGATGTAAGACATGTATTATTTTTTGGAAAAATCCAGCATTTATAATTAATATTAGCGCGCAATAATAATCAACTTTTAGAATTTCGCATCACTTTCAAAACGAAAAATTTGTATGGAGCACGTAATACTCCTGCTGATGTCCAATGTAAGTTTGATCAATGCAATCGTATAAATTTAACTCTTTTTAGCACGATAAAATGTCTGGCTATTGCGTTAATGCAATCTTTGAGAGATGTTGTGTTGTATGGCCATAACACATACTATTATTTTTTAATACTTATTGTTAGTATAAATTTATGTTAAATTGAAAATACATCTGAATATCGATAAAATGTTATGTATTAGATAGACACAAATCGATACAGAGAGCCAAATAATAACAGGATGGATAAATTGTTTTGTACGTTTTTGTCTTTTGAGCATAAAAATAAAATAAATAGCTTTCTGTATGAATCTGTTCACGATATAAATATGAATGTATATACAACCTTTGCTTGAAGTTGAACAGGCTCAATTCCTGAATCGATGCGATGACTTCTTACCATCACGAGTGTTCCATTGATGCGACTTTGATTGCGACCTTCTACGATCCCTAGATCTAGATTGACTTCTCCTTCTACTTCTAGAAACATAAGATCGCGATCTGTGACGATCTCGCGAACGGGATCGTGATCTTTCTCTGTTTCTTGAAGAGGACTTTCGTTTAACCCTTATACGCGATCTGCTACGCCTTATCGAACGTGATCGACTTCTTCTTTCTCTGGAATGCGAATGAGACTTCTTTTTTCCGTTAGAACGCGATCGGGACCATTTTCTTGATCCTGACAGAGACCTAGATCTTCGGCAGCTTCTGGATCGAGATCTTAATCGCTTTCGATTTCGTGATTTCGATCTGCGCTTTCTACTGGACCTGTAATTGCTCGACCTTGAACGCCGTCCCTTACGGGACTTTACCGATCTCGATCTCGACGAGCGTTTTCGCGTACGTTCCGATGAACGGGATCTCGATTTCTTGCTTCTTGATTTACTTCTACTTTTAGACTTTCGTTTCCTTTGATCTCGATCGCTTTTTTTACTTAATTTTTTGTTCTTCTTTGTCGAATTATGACTTGTATCAGAGCTCGTAGATTCAGAATTACTAGATTCAGAATTAACTGATGCTGAAGGAGTACCGGCTTTTATCACATCCGCAGAGGCATTTACTTCTCGTGGACTTTGTCCGTCACTCGACAAACTTTCAGATGCTGCTCTTTGAATATTTACCGTTTCTTTCTCATCAACTAAAGTGTGATGTTATGGAGTTATACTTGATAATGCAATAATCTCTTTTAGTTTTATTATTTTCAATACATACCTGTATCTCTGCAGCTAGTATTACCAATATGATTATCCTGTTGTACATTGTATTGATCTTCGTTTTCCTCTTCTGCCGCAAGACGTGCTTCTATCTCCTTCTCTGTCTTTTTGAATGCCTGCTGCCGACGTCTCAAAGTTTCCTGTAAAACGATTAATATAAAATATAGACTGTTGTTTTAGTCTCTTCTTTCCCTTCCTTTTCTTTTATTTTCTATCACCGAAACCTTTACGATTTAAAATACATATTAAATACCATCAGTTCTTCATCACTATCATTGTTTTGAAGTTGTTCTTGCTCATTCTGTTCTTCCTCGGATTCGCTATTACTGTCGCCGTAGATGCCCAGACCTATGACACACAAATATTTAGTTAAATCCATTTTAAAATTCTCACATTGATCCTTAAACGTGAAAGAACATACGTTGAACCAATAAATTTGCTCCTGCTATTTCATTATAAAATGTCCTGAGAGACATCTTCATTTTGCAATCTGTCAGTAAATATTGAAAGTGCAACATTGCACAAACAGTAACTTTTTCAAGCGACTGTTTCTACAACCATCCTTAGGGAAACACAGCACGTGGAAGATCATAAATATATATATAACTTACCAAGTTTTCGAGTGATCTGAGCAAGAGGGGCCGTGTTGTTGAAGGATGCGACTGAGTGCTCTCCTGCAGGGGCTTACAATACACACGCATTTAGTAATCAATCGCTAAGAGTTACTTTGCGGATACCATCCCTCCCCCCCACCCACCCACCCAACCCCACAAGAAAGACATATTGTAAATAAACGCTGCTCAGCGTTTTGTAAGGAGAGAGACAACTCTATTCCTCACATAGCTGAAAAAGCTTTTTTATTCTTATTATCTCATTAAACTATCAAAATTGAGATTTTTCATAAGTTTAGATTAATAAGATATTATTTTACAATATCTTAAGTTTACAGGTATCAACTAATAAGGATGTAATATACCTATACATAAGCGTGCACGCGCACGCTCTTATATTGCACTTTAATAATAATAAAAATTATTAAAATCTCTATTAATTACAGCATGTTATTAGATTTAAGATCATTATTATAGAAGATGGTCGATATTTTTAATAAAGTTCGAATAAAAATATTTACGTTAAGTTCCATGAAATAAGTATAATTGAAACATTCTTTTGCAATTAATATTTCATTGAGAATGATAAGTCAGTGTCATTTAATCATATATATATATATATATAAATATATATATTATAACATGTAACATGCTGTAATTTAGTAAGTCGTATTGATGAATCATTATTACTAATAGAAGAATAAAAAAATGAATTTTTCATAAGAGTAAATGTGACAGTGACAGTACTTATGTATGAAACATGAAATTTATGAACTTCCAAGCTAATATGTCAAACGTATTGTACGACCCCACCTGTTCAATTTTCGTGTGAAAGTAATCGTACGAAATTAATCGTGCGCTACTTATCGCGCATATACAAATATATTTTGATACATCTTTTCATACGTTTTTATGTACTCTCCATTAGTTTTATGGAAGAAGCGTACAACTAAACTCTTATCTTTGATACATAATAATATATCATCAGATAGAGTTTTATTTTTATTATTATTTTTCTATTACGAACTTCTCTACACTTCATCGATCACATATTCGACCAGCATAATATGTTTATGTCAGGACGTGTTGGAACACGATAAAATAATATATACTATAGTATAAGCATATTTTATAACACATTGCTTCTCAAAATTCCGTGATTTTTTTTTCTGAATTTAATGAAAAAATTGTACGTATGGCATTCTGTTAACGTATAATGTTTAACCTAACCTATACAATCACAATAAACTAATATAGAAGTAACACACTGGAATACTCCTGGAAAAGAAAATCAGATGTCCTGCAACTGTCAAATAATTAAGCCTATGGATTAAAAAATCTTTGTTTAATGTTGTAAATATTGCATTATACAATGGGGCCGATAATGCTCTCCATGATATGGCACAAAATTCATGTAAATTAAGTATTATATATTGACGAGGAAAAATATGAAGTTTCGTTATGTTAGTGTTATCATGTGTATCTGGAGTACCTTTGGCACGTGCGCGATTCCAAACCTCTCTGCATACTACCCCAATTTCTTCATTTGTTACTTCCAAAAGAATTTCTGTTAGAGATCTTCGAACTTTCAACATCTATGGCACAAAATTAGCTGTAAATTTGTATATGACTCATAGTACGTTCAAAAAGAAAAAAGGTGACGTTCAATTATTTACCACATCCTGCAAAATTTCCTCTTGCGATCGTTTGACAATAACAGGTATACTACAAGAAACAGGCGTTGGACTATTATCAGCGGCTATACTTGGCTCAGGTGAATCAGCATCTCGAAAACGCGACTTTCTTGGACGAAGAATAACATCTGGCGTACGTTCGTAATTCTTTTTGTTAATATTTTGTTCGGTCGAACTTGTCTCGAATTCTTGATCTCCTTCTTTTTCCGAATCTGAATCCTAAAATTAGAATATCAACTTTTAATCATACATCTATATAAAAATTTTATTACTTTATCGTATACTTACAAATTTACTTTTCGAAGGATTAAGAACTAAACGAGCCTCATCCTCGGCCTTTTTACGAGCTTCTATTTCCTGTTTTCTTAATATTTCTTGTCTCTCTCGTTCTACTGCTTTTTGCTTTTCCCTTTCCATTTTTTCTAATCCTTCTCTAATCCATGCAGGCAATTGACGACGTTTTGCTGCATCTATGAAGTGATTATATTTATTGGAATCATGCTTTTTATTATATCTTAAAAATTATTTTGAAAATTCCTCTATATTTACCAATAGTAGTGGTTGTATCTTCTTCTGGTGTTTTTTCCCTATTGTTTCTACATCTTACTGCATCAATAGGTCTCATATGTGGTATTCGATTTGTATGCCTAATACCCTTCATATAAAGTAACGGCTGAGAAGGCACTGCAGTTGAAGATTCGCCAGACCAGAAATTACTGACCTAAGATTAAATATTTTTTATAGGTATTATATGGTTGTAAAGTTTAAAAAAATTCTTTTATTATTATTATTTTTCTTTTCCATCAAGATATACTAACTTGTTGATTATAAGGTTGTGCAGACGGAGGTGCAGAATTATAAGAATACAATGACGGCGTTACTGGAGGTGGTACATTAAATTCTGTAGTCGATATCGTTGGGCCAGGTGGAATGATGGGTAATGTAGGTACTCCTACTGGTTTTCCATCAGGACCTATAGTAACTCCAGGAGGTGGAACACCGGTCCACTCCCAAGTTCCAGTACTAGAGTTAGAAGTATTCCAATGTCCCCATTGACTCCATTGAGCCCAAGCATCTAATGACGTTAAGTTTTTTCATATATATATATGTATATATATATATATACATATGTATATGTATATATATATATATGTATATATATATATATATATATACATATGTATATGTATATGTATCGTTAAATTACCAGAACCACTAATTGTGGGAGCTGGTGGTGCTGGTGGGATATCGTCTTCTTTGGTATCCATATCCATAGGTGCTTCACCGCTACTATCATTCCCTGGACAAAGGGAATCGATTGATGGCGGTGGTGGAGCAGGTGGAACAACCGTTTCTTTCATTTTTATCCATTGCTGAGCTAATGCAGCCCAATCAACTACGGTAACATATAATTCATTATTTCATTATTGCCATTGATTACAAAAGTAAGTAAAACTCAAAATGAATATAACAGATTTAACATAATGGTACCATATATTAGAGAAAATAAAATAAACAATATTATTCTTGAACTTATAAAATATTTGAGATTACAGATAGTATAGTGACAGAACAAATAATTCATATGTATATACAAATTTAATATCAAAACTGCACTTTTGACTCAAGGCATGATAATTAGGAATGAAAATTTCATTTGTTAGCCTACCTTGATCATTACTCATATTTTGATATGCTGAAGGATTTAACGCCCATTGTGTTGGATAATCTTTCCCTTCAAACATGTCGCCACTCATTTTCATCCGTAATATTTAACAATTTTATCTATTTTGGTTATATAGCATTCCACTAATCGTTGCAAAAAAATCCAACATTGGATTATTGCTACATACGTATAAACTACATGCGTATATCCTACATACGCGAGTGCGCGCGCGCGCGCGCATTGCTCCTATGTAGACATTCTTATTACATCACGATTGCGTGAAAATTGATTTTAATTTTTCAAGTGTTTTACTCTATTGACCGAATATCTAAATTATTCGGAACACTAAAGGATTGTAGCACAAAGTACATTCCATGCGCGAAAGTTATTGTTGATGATTCCAAAGGAACGAATATATTTGATAGAGCGGTAACAAATTATTGTTTACTATTGATAACGGCGTAAAAAAAAGTTACGTATAATTTTATTGAATTGTTCAAAAATTACGTATGGCTTTTTTCAAAATTATTATAAGTATTTCAACGACTAATATATATTCTGTTATAATACAGCCATAAGGCGTCCCGAACACTGTTGCCAACTTGTCAAATTTTTATTACATCTTCTGATTCGTTCAGGGTTATTCTAGTAAAAATGCTTTTTATTTTTTACGAATTTTTAAATAATGAATATTCATGTTTGAATTGAAACTACATAATTAAGTAATACAGGAGAAATGTATGAAATCAATGATACCATGGAAATTTTTACCAAAGATAGAGTTACGATTTGTCGATTTCTAACATTGTATTGGATAATTTAAATCACGTGAGACAAATAGACCAATCAGTATGATTTTACAAAACGAAACCTTTTACGTTTAAATTATAGATTTTGAACAATTAACTTTTATTATCAATATTTTGTACTTGAAATATTTTTTATTTTATTCCATTATAGTCACTTTGATGGATATTAACGTATATGTTTCTTCTAAGAGGTTATATATCTTCCCTTGATTCTTTTTCTGATTGACAAAAAAATAGACCCAATTTTAATTGATATAATTTTTCACTATCGTTTTATTTACTTTTTCACAAATACAAGAACGACAAAAATTTAAACGATTCATTCGTTCGTTTTAGTTCTACTGACCAAACGAAATAATATAAACACTTGTACAATTCAATAGTGGTTTTATCGTATAATGATGCTCTATAAATGTATTATAGCTTACGAAATAGAAGATAACGATTCATTACTCATATTAGCACATAAATGACGTACAATAAAATACGATGGAAGACAAATAAATTGGTACTATGAACGTAACGTTCAGGTATTATGGAGTAAGTATCAAACAAAATATTCATTTTAAAAATATTTTATCAAGTTTTGCTAAATAGAAAGATGCGAGTTAAAATATGTGATATCTTATATATGTGTATGTATGTATGTATATATATATGACATCTGATTTATCACTTTTTCTAGGAACTCTATATACGATATTGACACTTCTCTTTATCATTCTCTTTCAATAGAAAGTAAAAACGAAGATAAGGTACACCTTAATTTAATTCTAATTCCATTTTCTTTAATCATACACAAAATATAATTACGGTGTTCGATGCACAGCATCATAATATCCTATATCTACGATTCTACGTACTAAAAATATTCTTTTTATATTATTTTTATTATTATTGTATCTATTGTCCTGCAATTTTACCTTTTTCTGTCAATCCATCTAGAAAAATATATATATATATATATATATATATATATTGTATATATTTTATGTATATATTTATATTTTATATATATATATCTTGCTGAAAAAAATATTCATCTACGAATTCAGGGATCAACGTTTCTTACTTTCTACTTATTGTTAGATTATATTCAATAAAAATATTTGGTCGTGACGCAAATCTCATTATCGTTATGATATTTAATATTCTATTAAAGTCGAGGACGACGATTGCGAGTACGCTTTCCGATGAACGATAGATCGTATTAAATAAAACACGTATGCAACAGTATGGAAAGGTCACCGTCGTTTAAGCTTCAAAAAAATAATATCTCTCGACGCCCAGTTTACGGCCTACATTTGTACTTTCGTTATGTATTTTAGAATTTAGCGTTCTGTCTTCTAAGATCGTTGGGTATTATCGTTGTGAGAAAGGCTCCAATGGCTAGGGCGATGCATAAAACTATATTAGCCCATAAATCGCTCACTAGTTTGATCAGATAACCATAGAGGATCGTGAAGACTATACCTAATACCTAAAATAATTATTTCTTCGTTATTTACATCGATCAAATTGATTCGACATCGACCTAATTGGCATCACCGATGGACAAGCAAAAACCTATCGAAGAATTTATTAAAAAAAGAAGAAGAAAGAAGTCATAAGATAATGAAATCATTGTATACCTGTGTAGTGGCGTTGAGCAATCCTGCGGACGTTCCTTCTGGTTCTGGATAGGTTAATTCAGCAGCGAGCTCGAAACCTACCGGTAAATAACCGGTCATGAAAAATCTGCACAAATAAATCATTATTTTGGTCTTTTTCTCGATGGTATTTTTATTTGAAAGAGAATTATCGTCAAATTCGTTAAATTCTTAGCATACCCAAGTAAAGCGGATGTAATGTAAACGACGTATATCCGACCGATGTCCAGAGTAAACGTGAAAACGATCATACCCAGGAAGGAGAAGAAATAAATTCCAAGAGTCGTCTCTCTGCGAATATGGGAATCGTCGTTGACAATTTAGTACCTTTCTTTCGTTATATATGAGACAAACAATCCGTAATATCTATACACACTTGAACTTATGCGTTTTATCTAACGCGATACCACAGATTACCGAACCCAACATTCCGGCACATACGATGGTCAAGCCGATTCTACCAGCATCTGTTTCGTGTCCCTGAGGCAAATAAAGAAAGGATCATTGCGAATGGATTCGCATAGATGGATTCGTTGCATAGCTATAGGACTTACCGGGAAATATTCTAAAATGATTTGATTGAGAAGTGTACTGATCGCGTAGAATATCCCGACGTTTATACCATAGCTCAATAAAAGCAACAGGTATCCCACATTGGTGAAGAGCCTCTTAATGGATTGTATAAAATCTTCTGGCGTATCGTTCTCTCTTTGTACGGCTTGCGCCGGACTGGGAGGAAGGGGTGGTTGCGCTTTAAAGACTAGAAGAAAATACGCATTAAATAATAAATATTTTCATTGGAAGATTTCTTAATCGAATCAATTCTAAAATTACTCACAGAGAAATATTAATACTAATATGATAGACGTGAGGGCTGCAACGATGTAGAACATGATTTGAAGGCCATGCGCGACTACGGCAATATCATCGCTGTTTGGTACTAAGATCGGTGGAAATAGAAAACCTATGGCTATACCCAACTGCGAACATAAGAACGATCATAGCAATAAACAGGATATATTAATTGAATAGTAATTTAATAGTAAGGATTCTTACGTTGTTTTTTATATAACAACGTTAAAATATCCCCTAAAATGAATTACAAGTTGTTAGCACGAGATTTAAATTGTCAAATGATTATGTGGGAAAGCTAGCCAAACTCTGCACCCACGATTCATTGCACAGAGGGGTTCGGACCCTAGCCTCGAATTATAATACGCACAGACGACATCATTTTCGCACACGAATATACGTACGCACTTGCGAAGTGCAATCGAGTTTGTTCAAAGTATATGTGGATGATGCGAAAGCGTTTCATTATTACGATGAGCCGCGGAATTGCGTGCGGCCACTGGCATCAATTAATTACGATCAAAAATCCGTTTGATCGTTCAACGAGCCGCTCGAAACTTCAAAGTACCAACGTATTCCTACTTGACCTCATTGACATTTTTCGTACTTACGGGAAATGTCAAAGAAAAGAGAAGTTCTCTTCTCGCTTGGCACTTGAATTATATATACGTATCTGCTATCAAGAAAATTTTAATTAACGTTATCCTTACGTATTTAGAATCTATGTAAAGTTAGGACATTCTTTCTGGTTTAAACGATTAACGAGACCCGTCTGACTTCTCGTAACCTTTAATCGGTTCCGGTCTCTGAATTACTGTCATGATGGGCTGAAAAGAATAATGATCGCGTCCCTTTCTTGAAATAATGATAATAGTCGAATAATAGATGTTTCAAGGACCAGTCTGTCCTCGTGATTTAACGTGGTATTATCTTCGTCTAATATACTTGTGATATCGTCACATAAATTATTCACGACTCTCGAGTAAACTAGTATTTCCGTCTGTTGGTAATGAAAACGGACAAATAGACATAAATGTCTAGAAACTACATCGTGGATACTTGAGATTCGATATTGATTATATCGAAGAAATCCAGATAATATTACTAGTTAAATTACGATGCATTATTATTCCATTAGATCGATGAATTCTTTTTTATTGATATCTACGTTTTAAATTCAAAATCAAATAATTTAAATTTTTTCTTTCGCGTAACATCGAATCCAGGATATCGTCTTGATCTATCTAAGATTTCAATCGCTACATCGTATTTCGTAAAATCAATCGAGAGTGGAAAAATTTACGATTGATATTAAATCTTTCCTATACTTTGTTCTATCGCCAAGCTTACGTACTACGTTGATCCATCGGATTCCATATAGGTTTCTACTATTATCGTTCCCGACATGCATACTTTTGTAGATATAAAAATAAACGATACGATAAAACGAGCTTTATATGAAAACAAATATTTGTTCCTAATATCTTGGTTTAGTGCAAATCGAACAAAGTAAACAATTATATCATATTTCGATAATTTTAAATCTCGACTGGCTTGAAAGAAAAAAATAAAGTCAAATAAACCATGTCAAATATACCTGATTTCCAAAAACGCCGATGCTACAGGCGCTACTAACTTGGTCGGGACCGAACCAAACAGCTGCTAATCGAGCAGGAACGGATAGAACGAAAGTTTGGCTAACGGCGACCAACGTGTGACCAATAAAGGTAAGCCAAAATAGATCTGGTGAAACACTAAAAACTTTTATCCATGCACCGAGCGCCGTTCCGACTGCTCCAACTATAACGGCAAATCGGAGTCCCTGTCAAAGAAGATTTAATAAAAATTTACAAAAATTATTAAATTGGAAGGTTCGATTAAGCGCTAACGTATTTATCACGCCGGGCGTTCATAGTATTATAGAACAAGGTCAATTACATTTTCCGAACAGCTGTTTCTCAAACTTTAAAAATATTACCTTTGGAATCGGACGTAAATGACTTTACAAATAAAAAGAAAATAAAAAAAAAAAAGAAAGAAAAAAGAAACTAATCGAGCAACAATAATAAAGTCTAAAAGCTTATTTATCTTTTGATAAGTCCTATTAAAGAAGTCTGCTTAATTAGCCTTGGATCGAATAAAATCATGCTCGTCAGTTTCGTTTATTCTTATTAAATGCTGTGATATTATGACTAACCAAAGTTACACAGAGTATCATCGAGTATTTCGCCTATCGACAAGATATAAACTCTATTCGAGTGGAACTTTCTTTTTCTTTCTTTTCTTTTCTTTTCTTTTCTCTTTTTTTGTTAATTATTTTTAAATAACGATCGATAAAAAATGCCGTACTTACGAATTTATCGAGAAGATAACTAGCTGGAAATATGAATGGAATGTACGTTATCATATATATCATGCTCGTCATATCCACTAGAAAACTTGAAACTTTGTAATAACGTTCGACTATGTTCGCGATAATACTGTATTGAATCCATTGCATTGCGTTGCTGGCACTGTATATTACGAAGATCATCAAGATCAGCCATCTTCTCGCGAAGATTTTTGTTTCTATAGTCTGAAAGAATAAAAGATACGAATTAACATATATATATATATATATATAAAGTTCATTTTTATTTCCAAATGACATGGACATTTTCATTTAGACGAGTGAATACGTGATACTTTCAGGCTGTTCAGAGATAAAGTAAAAAATTGTGATATGAATGAACGATGCGAATAAGCTTCTTTTTTGGTTCTGTTCTTAAAGAAGTATGCGACGAAAAACTCATCAGGAAGATATTGCTTCAAAGTAAATAAGTTTACTTCTCTATATCAATGAAATATGATAGCCTTGAGAGAAATGTTTGCAATAAAGTTCGAAACGTATTATAAATATTGTAAGTTTTCCCTATAAAATACGAGGTAGGAAAGAAAGAAAAAGAAAAAGAAAAAGAAAAAGAAAAAGAAAAAGAAAAAGAGAAAGAAGAATAGTTTGAAAGAAAATGTAATTTTCGAATCTTATATCATGCATCGACGATTGTTAATTTATCCTCGTATAATGCATTTTCACCTGCGTTGGATGTACGCCACCCTCGATGGCTTTAACATAATCCGGTGACATTTTTGGCATTACGATCAATCTTTGTATTTGATTTGCCGTCCGAAATCAAGAAAAATCGTAAATAACTGTAAATCAATCGATTCGTTTCTCCAGTCTTCTTTAATTTCCACTCGTAAATCCTAAAATATGAAATATTCCGTTCTGAAAATGAAAGATATCTCGACGAAGATTGCCGTAAAAGAAAATAAGATATGGACATTCAATAAGATATTTTCGAAAACTCGTTAGCGCGAATATTTAATTAATGCCGAATAACTTTTCGAGTCATTGTTGTTACGCACGATCAATAATTTCTTTTAATTCGACGTTCTACCAAAAAAGTTATTATTTTTAGAAGGAACACCGATGAAATTAACGTAAATAAGCTATGTCTTGAAGGTTCAAAAATGAAGGTCAAAGAATGAATGCGCGAGAAAACACTCGAGTATTCTAAAAGAAGTAGACTAATTGCGCGACTCCATTATATATACGAATTTGCGCTCAATTATATGTAAGAGATTGGAAAATCGATCGTTAAGTATTTGTTAGTATTTCATTAAAAAGCAGATATAGATATTATAAAGATCTAGTTGAGAACAAAGCGACGATATTAGAGCGAGATTACATCTCTCAATTAATGCTTTCTTTTTTCACGATATCCAATATCACTTCTTCCCGATTAAATGTTTACTCATCAATAATACTTATACTTTGATCAAAATTGATTTCATTCGTGAACGAAACAATATCTCTAAATATAGCTACGTATTAAACGCGAGTTGTCCCTCTGCAAATTTTAGATCGCCGTGAAAAAGTTCGGAAGGTCTTAAGGTCAAGGATTAAACGAAAATAATAATCGAAGACGGAACGGCATCGATAACAATTAATAGTTCATGCGATTGTTCATTAATTATGCTTACCCCGTTCGATGATAAATAACTAACCGCCGATTTAATAGAGATACTCGATTTAGAGATCTCTCTTATTTATTTTCTTTCCTTCACGTCACGTCACGTTGATCGATTTCATTGATTCTTCGTTTCTTCGATCGTTCTAAGGAATCCTTTATCCTTATTATTTATCACTAAATCAATTCACGATTGATGCATTGATCAATTCACGATTGATCCAAAAATCGAACTATCTTTTGGAATAGATCTCCGTTCTCATAAGTCACACGTGGTTAACGGCATCGCGTCAGCACAAACACAGGGGTTTTTTCTTTCTCTCACTCGTGTGCATTGCCGTGGAGAGAGTGAGAGAGAAGATTGGAAGGGGGAGACCACAGAGAGATCAACCAATGTCTTTCGACTTTGAACTTGCTCTTTGCTTTTTTTCGAAGCTTACGACTGAAGGATCGAAAAATACGAAAATCTTTCCTTTTGAATTTCGCGCACCCTCTTTCTCGACGAATAAGCGAATTAAAGAGATGTCAGGAAGAAACATTAATAAGATTAAAATTCCCAGATGTAACGTGGTTCACGGTGACGAGAACCTTCCCTTTTAACCCGATGATATCGATCAGCCTCGTTGTTCGCGAAAATCGTGGAAAGCGGAGCAAGACGTGAGAGGGTTGTTTTGCCAGCTCTCTCTCTCTCTCTCTCTCTCTCTCCCTGTTTAGCACGGTCGAAATTCGATTCTTATGTTTCTCTTTCTCTATCGTTTGTCGAAGAGTATATCCTGATGAGGATTAAAGGATAAGAAATTAAAAGGAAGAGATATGGAGCGAGCGAGAGAGAGAGAGAGAGAGAGAGAGAGAGAGAGAGAGAGAGAGAAAAGAAGATAGGAAAAGTGAAAGCACAGCCAAGAATAGGTGCGCGTCCACCGAAGATTAGACATAAACTAAATCAAATAGCTATACGAAGAGATTCGGCGCTACGAGTAGGAGACGCTTACGCTCGCGTGTTCACACGCCGACTCTTCTCTCTCACGATTCTGGACACGTAGTGTATGTCCATCGTGTGGTAGGACTACGTTGCACTTTCAACGTGCATGTGGTACGACACATAATCCACGTACATATATACGTACACAAGCTTCTCATTTCTCAGCGCACGCGCCTCGACTCTGCGCAGAATGATTTCGCGCGCGGCACCGATCGACGAAGACGGAGGGAATTCTGTGCATTGAAAGCAACATTAAAGATAAAGAAAATAAAAGGAGAAAGGGGATAAGATGCAAATGATAACTACAATTGGGAGTACAGCGATTATATACATACACAATTATAAAATTGCATTTGTGATATAACATTTTTTTCTATACACAAGTTTGATATATCTTATCTCAGCCATACCACCTATCGATTATCTTCGATATATCATCTATTGATATCGCTTAATAAAATGCGTACGTGGAAAAAGACAAATGCAAATTTTCGGATCATCGATGGACACTCGATGAATCATTTATTCCATGAAATAATCAACTGGAACATGTTGCTAAATATATGCGCGATTAAATATGTATTTACGTAATTATAAGATCAAGATTTTTACCAAAAATTCGTCGATTTATAATATTGAAAAGAACCTTATTTTTCATTAACAATTTTCATCAGCAATTTAAGATTATCGTTAAAAGGGATAAAAAAAATCTTTATACGACACTCGATTATCCCATGTATCGCAGAGTACACAATATCACGTTTGGATCAGCCATTGAAACAATGCACATATACGTAAGAGATATGACATTTCAAAAGTGTTTATTCCGTCCTCGTTTATTTCATCTAGTTAGATTAAAATTTGTGCATGATGCGTGTGCTACAATATTTACGTTTTTTTATTTTCCATAGAAATTCATCTCTATATTGCGTAACAAAATGTAATCTGGATAATTCATAATATAAACTTATCCTTTTGTTTCTTTTTGAAATAATCGATCGATCGATCGTTGATCTTTTTTTGTAGAAAATTGCTATACTTGACCGGATATACCAATTTGGAGAAGACAAATATCGGATAATGAGTAATTCATATTGGATAGTGAGAACAAAATAGGCGGGTCGAATTTACTCATTTAATTATATCCAGACGCGGCTGTAAATTTATATATGTTTAATCGTCTCATATATATTTGAAATTTATGTCTACGAAAAGTAATTCTTGTTTTCGTGTTAAACGTGAAAGAACGATATGTTAAGGCAGCTTGTTATTAAAGTTAAATAAATCGATTTACCTGACGATGTGACGGAAGATCGTGCGTGGAAGGAATGAGCTCAGTTCTCTGCTCGATACAATTCTGAATTTCATCCATCTTTTGTTCTACGTACGTAGGTACGTACTTACGTATGATAATTTTATTAGTACCGTCAAATCCTTCGATTGTACGACACCGAACGCTTCTTAATCACCGTTTAACCTCGGATCTAAGGTCCTATATCGAGGCAATCAAATTATAAATGTTGTCGGACGTTTAGTAAATGTCGAGATGATAAATCGTATTACGTCGATAAACGATGAGGAATCTCCAAAATTTAAAACTGACGTACTCCTACGACTTTGCTATATGAGACGAAATTAATCGACTGACATCAGTATTTAAAGTTGTCGGTCACGTGAGACCATGATAATTATATAATAAATGTTTGCATTTGAGATAGTTTTTCTTTTATTTATTTTTTTAATAATTTTAATCTATAAATACTATATACCACGTTCCATTTTGGACGGTTGAAAAATAATATTAATAAATTGAACGATATTAAAAATCATAAAAACAATTTATCGAGGATTTTATCATTTTCACTTTATGTTAATGCACAAAGACGTACGTTTCGTCTCCATTTTGTACGATAATGCATTTGGACGATTAAAACGTTTAAAACATTTTTTACACGTAAACGTATAAAGTACGGGCGCAATACTGGAAGACGAAGAAGATCGAAGATTCTTGATAGATCACTTTAATTATCGAATATATTTATTTACGAGTAAAATATGTTTCGATTGAAGAATAAATAAATAAAACTATGAACAAGAGAAAAAGTGTTCGAAGACTTGTGTATTTACTGAGCAAACACCGAACAACCGTTCGAAGATACGTATGTCACGATAATGGAAATAAAAAAGTTAATGCGAGCGCAACGTATCCAACTTGAAATATAAATCTAACTTGCGATGCGTTTGGAAAAGCTAATACATTATCGTCGAGACTAGTTACTCTTTGATTCATCATCTTCTATTTTAGATAAATACTTTGTATGATGTTGATCGTATAATGAATGCCGATGATTATTATTTATCCCGAACGTATCACATTATACTAAACGATTCAGTTTGATCAACCTACACAATTTCTTATATTGTCTCTCAGAGATAGACAGAGATAATAAGTATATTATTGTATATTAACGATATATTATTACGTTTGATTATTAAATCGTTCCCGATATAAGGACGAATGAAAACGTTAAATACGAATGTTTGTTTTCTTGGTATCGATAAATGGGTATCTTTGTATGATAAGGTAGAAAAAGTGATTATCGACTTGATGACATATAAGAGGAACACCTTAATATTGGCAACTGGATATACGCGAGAGAACATTCATTATATATATTACGACGTATGTGATGTGACGACAGTGAAAATAATTAACAATATATTTATACGACGAATGTCTTAACATTTGGTCCAATTTTATTATTATTGTATTATTATTAAATTTTTATAAACCATTCTTATCATCTATTTAAATATTTGTCACGCAATCTCTCGTATCGCCATTACGATTATGTAAGTAACTTTTGTGTAAGCACAGAGCCTTACCATTCAGACTCGTATTGTTAACGCGCAATTGTTAATGTTCATGCAATAAGTAATTTATCCTTTTAAGAGATGACATACGTTTTTTTTCTTGAATAGAATTGACTTAGAAAATTTAAGCGTACGCAATGATATGCGTTTATAGCCACGATGCAGGGTGCATGTAAAATCCACGTACATATATATATATATATATATATGTTATATGTATATCGAGACAAAATTGAGAGGTTTTATATACATCGTCGCACGAGAGAACAACTCTTCAGCTTCTCTCCAGTCGAATCTTATCGAGCGTTCCGTACGCATCACGAGCGTTTTAATGCTCGATACGTCGCATACGCGTATAAGAAAATCATCATATACTTAAAGAAAAGTCCGTCAAAGTGAGGTATTCATTTCAAATCGATTTGCGATCTACCGAAGTGAGATTTCTATATAAAATTTTCTTTTTCTTCTTACGACCGACCAGAAAAAAGATCTATGATCATGAATTCTGAAAAGAAAAAAAAATGAGCTTTGGACCATGATCGGAAGGCAATTGAATTTTGTATTCATAAACGGACCTTGATTTTCAAACGGTTTAATTTTGGCTCAATTAAAAAGTAAAAGATTGTAAAAGATTGAGATATTTTATATTGAATGGTCAAGGTAAAAAGATGAAACGTTTTATGACGTAAGACACGGAGGAAATAAAAAACTAAATCATTTAGAACGTTTAGAACGTGATAATAACCGTGCAACGTACAAGAAGGAGAAGGTCGCGGCGCGTAATTTAAACTTTAGTGAAATCAATCGAATGGTTGTGAAGCTTTTTATCCAAAAGTGGAGCAATATAAAGATAACAGTTTACGGTACTTTCTACCGTGTACTTGTTATCTTCTACCAGATGTGATACTTTCGAAAGGAAGAATGAAAAATAAACGATATTTATTAGCTTCTAGTTGAATAGTCGCTTGTTTTTCTATCGTTTTATTGGAAAACGATTTGTTGGAGAATACGAAAGTCGTTTGAATTAAAAGGAACCGATTTCGTTGAGAATGTAGGTTAGAAACGTTCGAGTATAAATTATAAATAATGAAAAGAGAATGCGCGAGAGTCTTCTAGACGTTTGCGAATTTTGACTTTGAACGACAGATCTATCGGTTCATCGATATTATCGTTTACATCAGATAACTCGAATGAATCGTGAGCATCTCTCTCTCTCTCTCTCTCTTTCTCTCGCTCTCGCTCTTTCTCGCTCTCTATCTGATCGAGAAAAAGCGAAGAACCGACAGTCCGTAAAGATACGCGTTACCGTGTAGCACACATACAGCACTTGATATTCTCCTACTAGTTTGAAAGATCATTTGTTGCGATAGATCAGAGATATAAATGTTTTTATTTTTCGATGAATTTAAATGATTCGCGAGAGAAGTAAGGATCAATAAATGCGGGTATAATATCTTGCTTCATAGGCTCGCCGAGCCTCAAGCGTCCATTAAATTCAATTACGCCAATCAAACAACGCGTATAATTATATTTACAATTATATTACGAGCATGATGATCGTGTCACCGAGCCTGAGCTTAATCGCAGCCGGAGTGGCTTCTGGGCTTTGCTTTATCCTCTTCAGTACCTTACGGAAAGGGTGAGTAAAGAAAAACATTTTATTTTCTTATAGTTTGAGTTACGGACCGAATTAGAAATTGACGATACATAGAGTCATCTTGTTCGACAAAATATATTATACAATATGCAATGTTAATGAGACAGGCATGTAGCGTGACCAAAGTAGGTCGATTATTTGAGGCACGTCGATCGTGACCCCGTTTAAAGCCAATTTCTATCGATACCATGTGTTTTTCCGCGAACGTATCGAGAGACTTTCCACTATTCAAGATAGATCAGTTTTATTCGGCTAATTTGAAAAAATTATTAGCCACGAGTAATATATAAGATAATGCGGCGATAGACGTCAATGGTAAATGACATTTTCGAATGTAATAAAACTCCAATTTCATATTCACGATTAAATTTAATCCTCGAGAATGCCACTCAACATCATTTCAATGTACGATTTCGATTTCTTTCGTACGTGAAAACGTTCGATCGGAATCGCTCGAAGAAGGTGAAATTATCTAAGGCAATCGCAAAGAAGATGACTCAAGGTTACCGTCGTGGTAAGTATTACATCGTAGAAATACGATAAGATTTTCTAGGCGCAATAGGGATCTAATCGTTTCTATCTGTATAATTTTAGCAAATATGTCGTTTCGACATCGTTCAAAATGCCGTGGAAGAGATTTTACACGTCATTACGAGTCCACGGTCAAAGTAGTCCGGGCAAAGGCCCCGCGAGAAGAATCTTTGGCCGTTATGACCCGCGAGCCAGGCCTGGATCTGTCTGTATATAATATGTATCTACGTATATGTATACGTATACGTACGTATACCTACATATAGAACGCAACTTTGGTATGCAGGACTTGTTTTTATTTACTCTCTCCCGTTCTGACCAGTCCGGCAAGTGTCGATCCACATTCTCTCTCTCTCTCTCTCTCTCTCTCTCTCTCTCTCTCTCTCTTCTCTTTCTCGTGCGCCAGAGTAAATTACATTTCGCCGATTTCCTCCGTGGTCCGAGCACGACGGAAATAAAAGCAAATATCGACCTAAAAAATGTTTCACTCGAGCACCAAGGGCGTGTGCCCTTCGTTTTCCTTTCCTCTGCTACGACTTCTTACTTTTTTAACAACATTCACTTTTGATCACAATTATTCAACATAAATTATTTCACATGAATTTCTCCTTAGTTCATTTAAAAATATCTCACCTCTTTTCTCTTTGTTTCCAACTCCATCGTTGATTATCGCAGCTAGCCGATTAGTCGAAGATTACGATACAAAAATCGATCCGTTTTACGTTATCGCTTTTGCGTCACGGATCGAAACGTTAACAAGGTATTTCGATCTATTCTCTTATCTCGATTATAAAAACTTATTTTTACTATTTGCAAAATGTTTTTTTCTTTATCGTTGTCACGTCTTCGAGGAAAAATTTCGAGCCGGATGAACGTCGTTTTTCGTTTTCAAAACAACATTACGCCAGTAAACGCGTATTACGACTGAAGTCTTGACTTAATCATAATAGGAAGAGGCTCGTTTGTGTGTTACACGTGAAAATCGTCGACCAAGGTCTTCGGTACAATTATTAGATAGTATAAAAGGTTAGAGTCTTAATATCGTAGCGTACATAATCATAGCGTTAGGAAAATTAAGTTTTTCTTGCTTTCTTGTTCTTATAGAAGTTTTCCGTTTAAATGAACGTGACAAGAAAATCGATTAAAATATTCTTATCTTTTGATATTTTTCCGCTTCTTCATTGCTTTCCGCTATATCTTTTCTTGCTTTTCGAACGACTTAAATGTTCTTTTCAACGAAAAGTTTTTGCAAACGAAGAAAAATGTCGAAAGATAATCGACAATTTTCTTGGATTAATTTTAGTTTTGTTAACGGCGTTATTATACTCTGATAGAGCGTTAGTAACGAAGTAACGCAAACTGGGTTACAGAGTGATAATAATCGAGCGAGGAAGAGAGGAAAGAACGCGGAAACGGTACGTACGTAAATAATTCCTATTTTCTTCCTTTTTTTTCTCTTCTTCTCTCTCTCTCTCTTTCTCTTTCTCTCTCTCTCTCTCGATCGCACGGCCTTACGGTTCTTTGGCTATTCATGCGTGTCATTCGCGCGACTCTGCGTGTCTACAAGCGTGGTAACTACGCATATGTGAGCGTGCGATGTTCCTGATAATTTGCATGAACTGTAGTATACGACTGTTATCCTATCGATAGGATAGAGCAATAATTTTTCATTATATTTTCCGTAAGGCTCGTAGGTACCTTTAGACGAACGAAAAACAAAATTGCTCGCTCTTCCACGGCAGGAAACGCGTCGAGCGTTAGTCATGCGTGCGTCGACCGACGGTTCAATAACTTTGATAAGAGAGCGAAAGACAGTAGAGGAAAGAGATATTCGGACGTGGGTAGGTGAAGGGGAAAGACATTAGGATGCGCAAGGTGGGTCGAGCCATAGAGACACCAAAGTCGTTAATGGTATAACATCGTTACACAATGGACGGTATATCAGACCATATTAAACAATGGCGTCGCTGACCCACCGTGTAGGGAGACCGGAAACGAGGAGGAACCGAACGGGGATTCGAACACAACGGCTGAACGGCTCTTTCATTGTTGAAATGTTAGTTTGTCCTGACGAGTAGTCAGTCAACCACCGCATTTCATAGTTCGTGCAACGTGCCGTGAGACTTGTACTCTTCTCTTCATTCCTGTATATATATATATATATTTCAAATAAAAAATCTATATCGAATCGTCCACGTTCAGTCAGAAGCTTTTATTCTTTCTTTACAATTTCGCAACCGGACCGTTTCCGTGGTGAAAATGATCGTCACATCGATAGGAACTCCTTGAGATACGTCCAGAGTAGATCGATACGTTTCTTCTTATTTCATTTTCTCTATCGTTTGTCATTGAATGAGAATACGTAGAAAAATTCTGATAGGAGATTCTTCATGAGACCAGGAGAGACAAGGCGTTTGATCAAAATTTTTCTCTTACGTACCATTCTATGCAGAAAAAAGCAAGACAAACGGTAAGACTTCCATGTTTATTCGCATAATTCGTATAATTCTCTCTCTCTCTCTCTCTCTCTCTCTCTCTCTCTCTCTCAATTTCTCCCTCGATTCTTCGTCGATAACTTTATAATATTTTTCGGAAATCGTTATAACGAGGCCTTGAATATATCTAATTTTATTGCAAAATCATTACATGATCGAAATTAAAAAAAACCTGCAGGGGAAATATTCTTACGTAATTGGAAAGTTATAAGCTATGATATAACGTGTTGCGTTGTTGTTCTTATTCTCAATATGTTTATTTTGGAATTTAGGATTTGTATTTAAATTAAAAAATAAATCATACTTTCGCACGAACGAATGAGATCTTGAATTCGTTTAAGGAAGTAAATATGGATTTCCTTCGAAAGGAAGATGTTATGATTTCGATTGTTACGTCAACAACAAATTATAATTCACATAGTAAAACTGCTCTTACGTAATGTTGCGGTGTGTTGTAACCGCATAAAAAAAAAAAAAGAAGCGAAGAAAGAAGATGAAAGTAAATAAAGAATATGCCCAAGTATTTTCGTATCGGTATATTCGAAGACAATCGGCTAAGACGATTGGTTCGACCGAAATCCAGTGAAAGTTAACATTAATCGTTCGCAAAAATTCTTAAACGTGTAGTATTATGTCGACGATCAGTAGTGTATCGAGTTGCACGAATGAGCTCCTACCGTCGAAAGAATTACGTGCATAGGCGAACCGCCGAACAGATCACTACGAGTTTCCCCGAGCAAAAGGCACTGTCACTTTCAAACCGACGCTTCGCCACAAAGGACGGATATTCGCGTCGATCGTCGATCCGAGTCGAACGGCCAAGGATGTACGCGATCATATCCGAGACATCGTCATATTTTAAGGAGAGAAAAACGGGAAACCGATATTATTATTATTCCATTTCCCGTTTTCCAAGCGTGAACGATCGTAAACCTCTCGATGGCTCCGACGAGTAGTTATCATCGTTGTTTGCGATAAGATCATCGCAACGATCTTCGCTTTTTATTTCAATGTAATCGTGAACTTGAGGGATACGAACAAGAGGATACGAAAGAAATACCAAGTTCACTTTCCAGTTAAAATTTCGCGAGTGTTAAAATCTCACGAGAAAAAAGAAGAAAGGAGACAGAAGAGAATGAAGGAATTCCTTTGGACTCAGAGTGGAAGATTAGAAATAACATTTAACTCGAACGAAACTCTTGCTTGAAGTTTCTCGAGCGAAAGTTTCTTAGCTGGTTATCGTTCGTTAATATACCCATACTATTCCATTACGGTGGACGGTTTGTAAGCGTTACCATACAGTAAAATTTCCACGAGGCATCAACGTGTTTGAAAATCGACGAATGAAAGTTACGAAAATTACGAGAATCTTATCTTTTCTTCGATCCAAAGAAGGATTTCTCGTTAGAGGAGGAGTCGCGTTCGATCATCCGTAGCGAAAAAGAAATCATTGCGCCAAAAAGTGAAAGGACCGTTAAGGAGTGGGGGAAAAAAAACGTTTCTATATTAAACGACGACACTTCAACTCCTTACGTGGCTACTACAACGAACGATAATACCTATGAATTTTCAAGTGAACATAGAAGTAGAAATTTGATTACGTTTGTACGATCGGTAGTATAGAAACGGCCAAGCGAAGAGAAAAAAATGATACTGGTGCATAATATTCGGTGGAAGTTGTGCGATTGGAACGATATTTCTCTAACGGACATATACGGCGTGTTTGCGTAAGCGATCGCCTACGTAACTCGCGGTCTCCAACAAATTGAAATTTTTTTATCGATAAAAAGTTTCTCCAAGAGGAGTATCGATACTTTTTTCAAGATCCTAATGGAAAAAAGAAAACTCGTTCCACGTGCCCGAAGACTTATACAACTTCCTGTCCGATGCGAGTACTTCTGACTTGAATTGACCAAGGACGAACGATCGAACGCAAGACGTAACCATTAGAAAAAATTTATAATTATATCCATTGTCAGGACGATACGTAAGGATAACAACGTAAGGATAAAAGAATCTTGAGAGAAGGAAATAAATTAAAATTAAACAATTATGTTGGCCTGCATCTCTATTATAATATCGACACTCTTGCTCGAAGGTGATAAGTCCATTCCGAGTCAAGAGAAATACAATATGGCCACGTTTATGGTTCTCTTTCTTTTGATCACCATCGAAGTCGTCGTGGTGAAGGTTGTTACATCCGACATGGAAAGGGACGAGGACAGTCATTCCGGGCTCAGAGCAGCAGCTACGTTTTTCGATCGCGATGAGTGAACATTTCTTTTTTACTTCGTATAGTTCATCGACTCTTACCCTTCTGACTTTTTCATGTGTATCTTCGTTCTTCGTGGAAAAACGAAGGGATTCGACGACGGATCTGATTAAAACGATACCGAAGCTACCGAGTCAACTTTGTAAAATTTCGAAGATAGCGATATCATCGATACGACGCTATCTATGCAAAAACATTATATCGTAAAGTCGACACTTTTGATCACGTAATAATAACTTGAGATGCATCTTTATCATTCCATTAACGCGCGATTTGTAATTCGAAAAGATGAAACTATCTATTCCTTCTTAGATATCTTAGAGATATCTTTCATTCCTAATAATAATTTTCTTTATAATGCATTTATAATTAAAGTTCTTGATTCGTCCTAAAATTTTTTTATACTGTATTAGATATCAATCGACGAATATAATATTAATAAATTGTTATACAATATATAAGTAAATTAAATATAATATATATTTTTCTCTTAGATTAATACACGATACCGTTCGACGTTCCCCTCTTAGATTAGCATACAATACCGTTTTTCATGAATTGCCATCTTTTTCAAAGACGAGAAAGATGTTTCTCTCACCTGCAAAAGTTGAATGAATCAATTAGCGTACGACAGGTACGTATCAAATATACGAACGGAAAGCGTACAAGAAATGGGAATAAAACAGATGGGTCCTTACTCGCGATACTTGCGTAAATTCTCGTTTCGATGCCACGCACACTAGAAGTTACGTGACCGTTGTTGATCGTAAGCGTATTATGTGGGCTGCATCATTTATTCGAAAGGTCAATAACTATGCTTTTCCGTTCGTTTCCCAAGTAGGTAGGCAAGTTTACGAGGTCGACGGTAACTAGTCGTTCGAGTAAGCATTGCACTCGAAGAAACAATGCGATCTAAATCGAGCTGGGAACTTTGATATGTTGATCTCCGACTATGGTCTGTAAATTAAAATAAAAAAAAAAAAAAAAAGAAAGAAAGAGGAAAGTAAATAAAAGAAAAGAAAAGAAATAAGAGAGAAAAATAAAAAGGAAGTTTGTTTGAAAATTTAAACCTATTACCCGTCCTCGCAACCTCCTCCTCGTTCTCATTACTCGAGAAAGTAAGTTTCGAATTTATTATTGACCGATGATCAATGCTTTCAGGAAAGAAGCAGACTTACGAAGAAAAACGAAAGAGATCGTAGTTACGGACGATGGGCGGTGCGCTTGCTGCCTGAAGCCTTTCTTGATCGGACGCGGTATAAGTTGCAACGATTGCGGCGTCAGATCCTGCAGAAAAGTTTGTTCTCGTTGGGATTGCGAAGACAACGCCTGGCATTGTCTCTTCTGCCAACAGCAAAGGTTCCTACTTGATATTCTTAAAAATGTCATGGAATATCTTACAAATACGAATCGTCTCTTTTTACGAACGGATCCACGTGAATACATCTTTCGCGATTCACCATGGAAATTATTCGAGAACGCGGCGGACTTGACGAACAATACGATTCTTTGGAGATTGGTATAAACGACGTGGTATTGGCCAAGCGAGAATTAATCCCAAGATAAGGACGAGAGACAGTAGCCAATTAGATCCTTTCAGCCGCGAGAATTCGTTCCTTTCGCAGCGGGGAAGAACGGATGGGTGGGTGGGAAGGGGTAGGGCGGAGGAGGAAGAGAGAGGGCCATCTTGTGTGTAAAGAGAAGAATCGTTCGTGAAGATCTTCTCGTTAACGAGATAATTTCTTTTGCAAATCTTCTTCTCTTATCCAACGAAAGATCTATACGTAGAAACGACAAGGAATATATGTGATCTTTCTCAATGATTTTTCAGGTCGTGGGCGAGAAAAAAGGAGAAGTGGTTCGAAACTTTTGGCGGCACGTTCAAAGAGGAGGAATTACATCGTTACTTCGATACGGCTAAATCTCGAGTCTATCTCAACGCAGGTTCGTCCTCTTTCATTATTTTTATTGTTTTGGAAAAATGCATAGCGCATTGCATGATATGAGATAAAGTGAGAGAGAGAGAGAGAGAGAGAGAGAGAGAGAGAGAGAGAGAGATCGACCATTTAAGAGGCATTAAACGTGCGTCTAGTATCTTCTTATAAATAATTTAGTTTAGAATAAGTGTTCGCGCAGCGAGAATTCTTAAGTGTATCGTGGAAAAAAAGTAAAATGGCTCTTCCTCTTAAAGGAAGACTACGTGTAAATAAGCGTGAAATGTTTTGTCCATGCGCGATACGTCCATCGCCGAGCGAACGAACGCATTTTATCGGTCAATCGTTTTTCCACTTTCGATCGAGCGGTCAACGATTCTTTCAACCGTGCATAAGAAAAGTTCATTAATTGGATCGAATTATAGGCATTGGGAGCATCGCAAAGGCGAGGAATTTTGCAAACGAAACACTTTCGCTTACGATCGTTCGAAAGGTCCAATCGAACAAATGACAAGATAGAAAAGACGAAAAGAAAAATAATTATTCCAGTTATCGATGAGAGAAGTTTGGTAAGAGAGCAAACTCGTCATTCTTACGTGTTCCAGTCCTTGTTCGAACATAAAAAAAAAAAAATCATGTAACGGAAGAGAAACAATGAAGATAAGATAGGTCAAAAAATATCTCACGGTAAATTCTCGGCAATGCTCATTGTTTCGATGCACTCCGAACGCGATCTTAGACCGTTGAATCGTATCAAAATGTTTGATCAGGAACAAGCCGAGACTCATAGATACGTTCGCAAGATACAAGGATTCTTTAAAGTTTTTCTTTAAATCGTCGAAAAGACGAAGTAAGTAGATGAGAGAAAAGAGAAGGATGAAAATAAAGACGACCAGGATGAGAGATCGTTTGCGGCTATGTGACCCAAAGAACGATGGCATCCTTTCTCTCAAAAGTAACGCGGTCGACGATTATCATCGTAGAATTTTAAAGCGATTAAAAAGAAAAAAAAAAAGAAAAAAAAAGATCGAACAAACGTGGATTTCTTTGGCGATCCAAATTGGCGACTCCATCGATCTCTCAGGATTCCCAATTTTCAAACATTGCCTATCCCAACCGATTAACTTACCTCGAGCAAATATGGTCGGGTCGCATAATCTTCATCGAGTCTACTCGATTCCTCTTCCATTGCCGTACCAAAAGAGGAATATCTCTTTCGTCGTGCTTCTCCCAGGAAGAATCATTTCTATGTAGAAGAAAACAAAACGAAGGATCCTTTTCTTAATAGTAAGAGACGCAACCTCTTGTTTTGATTTGATTTTTCTTAGAAATAGTACTCGCGATGTATGATCGCGTATAAAGAGGTTACGATAAGGTCGAAAAAGAGTGTCGTTTGTTTTGAATTCCATGAGCGGAACGCGCGTATGCGGAGAAAGAGAGTAGGGGGGGAGAGACACGGAGACAGAGAGAGAGAGAGAGAGAGAGAGAGAGAGAGAGAGACACGTAACGCATTGAAAAGACATAAGGATAAATACACAAGTATACCCACTCGATATACGTACGTACACTAAGCGCTTCTCCGCTAGTACACAGAAAGGCACGTTCCTCTTCCTCCCGTTGTCCTCTCTGGTACAAGGTGGTGAACCTCAGTTCTGCTCCAGTACTCTTGGAGGCAACGTCGCGCGTTTCCTTCTCTCTTCTCGCGACCTTTCTCCGAGTGATTCGTTCCTCCGTTATTCGCGTACTTGCAGATAAAACCATCCTTTCTCCATCTCCCTTCCTTCTCATCGTCCTCCACGATCCTCTTTTCGAGTTCCGGAGAAAAAGAAGCATGCGAATAGATTAAAAAATACGTATTACGGGTACGATGGAAAGAAAATTAAAAAAAAAAGAAAGAATTTATTTCGCATTATTTCGACATTTTTCACCTCTAAATTACGATTTAGCCATGATGGATTTACAAAGGAATTAGATATAATAAATCGTTTTAATAACATAGCACAAGAGGAAGCAACGATCATAAATCACGAAACTGTTTCAAGCAATTATCGGCCAACCGGAAAATCTGCTCTCGCTAGATGTAAATCATTCGATCGTACGAGTTAATCATAGACGTCGGTTTGCGGCGTGCGCGAGGAGTAACCTACGGAGAGACTCGAAAATGAGTGCGACGACGAAGAATTCGGCAGACGAGAGAACGTTATTAGTGAATAAATATACGGATGAATAAATGTATGGACGAATTAAAGATGATTTCGTGAGGGGAAAGTGAGGAATTACGTGAAAGTGCGTGCGCGTGTGTGTGTGTGTGTGTGTGTGAAGTTAAAAGAAGAATGGACAAGTCAAAGAATACGTTAACGTGCTGGTTAGACAAGAAGACGAATTGAAATGCGCGCGCTAAAATGCCGGAAAAATGAGCTATTGAGGATTGTGAATTTGTATGAAACGACGAAAAGATACGAAAATGCGTACGTTACCGCGAAAAAGGACAAACATTCGACGGCGAAATACCTTCACTTTAAGTTAGTACAATCGACAATTTCATTATTTTATTCGTCATATAAAAAGAATTAATCGAACGTAAAGCGCAATAAACAACTCTCCCGCATGTTGATTTTCTAGACAGGGCGATAACAGAAACGTACGCTGGCCTCGCGGTGGTGTTTGCTAACAGTTTTGCGGTCGCAAAAGCGTCGGAAAAAGAATTGTGCGGTTAATCTTTAATGCTTATCGATACTTTCGTTTAGAAAGCTGTAACACCAGATGATTCTTTACACACTTAGCTCGTAATATTATTGTCGTTCTACGACGTACCGGTCCATTATTGTCGTCATATCTTTAAATCGAGAACGGATCGCCCATCGAAATTCGACTACTAACCTCGAAATTGAATTACGATTAAGTCTTATTATCGAACGATAATATATTTTTTAACGTGTTATACTGAAGGAAACCCACAAAAAAAAAAAATAAAAAGACCCCGAAAACTTCCAAAATTACTACGTTTCTTTATATCTGCTAAGGCACAAAGTTGTGCGTACCACAAGCGCATTTGTATGATTTTCCAAAGATCTAAGTCTATTAAGATTTTTGTAATATAATTTTAAAACGACGTTTACACGCGAGTGATAATTATTATCTACAGGATTGGAAAATGCAGCTACTGGTTCGAGTTTGGACCTGGCCGCGGGTGGTCAAGAGGACTCGAACACGATGGAAACCGTTAGAGTCTTTATCGAAAAAATAATCGAAGATCTGATTGGTAACGTGGACGACGCGTCTATCGATCGTCTCTACGATCATCCGGAATGTAAGTACCAAAGATTTTTTTTGCTTCTCATACTTGTAAATTATTTATATTTTGTAACTTTATAAATGGATACTAAGCGAGCTTGATTACTGGTTCGTGCTGCCATCTATAAGCAAAATTTCAATCTAGAAATATGTACGACGTTCCTACTTTTTTACCTTTCCAATCAAAGCTCAAAGATCAAAATTTGATCGATCGCGATTGGTTGAATATAAGAACGAGAAACTATTACCTATCTCAGCGGATCGTTTTTATAATCTTAAAAAACATGTACGATCGTTAATCACTCATGTCATTTTTATTATTCAACGGTCTTTCTTTTTTCTCTTTTTTTTCTTTTTTTTTTCCTTTTTTTTTTCCATAAAAGACCATTTTGCTATCATCCGATATTTTTACATCAATTTTTTATTATTTCAATAAGCAGTAACGCATATAAAAATAATCGCATTTTCATAGAACTTTTGTACAGTCGACTATATTTCTATGAAAACAAAAGTGAAAATGAAATTAATACGATTAATTAGCCAATTGATTTTTTATTAAGATACGATAGATCGTTTTTACCGCCAGAGGGTATTGTATTCGCAAAGATATTAGTCTCGTTCGAACAGGTTGTCCGAAACAGTAATTACGACGAAGTGGCGCATAAATTATAATCGTGTGACGATAGCGATTAAGGAAGTGGCCTGAAATCTATTTAAAGTAATAATATAATTTACAAGAGCGAGAGATATCGTTTTCTCTCATACAAATTTACCTGCTATATTCCCATTTAATTTAACATGTTAATAATTCTAACGATCATCATTTTCTAACGTTAATATTAACGGCATCGCTAACGCATATTAACAGATGACAGGCTTTTGGCAACGTACAGCGTGCAATTGGCCGATGCTCTGGCTCGTTTGGCGGTCTCCGTACATCTCAGTATAGCGAGTAAGTACGACGCTTGAATCATCGAACTTTCTGTCTTATTTCATTTATCGTCTGATCCTAATCGGATAATTTAGAATTTGATATAATTCGCTTGAAATAATCAATGTCGATATCGGACGCGAAAAGAAAAAAAAAAAAAAAATCGATTGCAATGGCCAACACCTTTGTCCTATTAACTGACATGAGCTTCAATTCAATTATGTTCCAACGTCCTAGTATCTTAGAAGTACATATGTACATAACTATATACGCACGAAATTACATAAGTGGCATAGAGAGAGAGAGAGAGAGAGAGAGAGAGATTGTAATTCCTGTTAGCGAGATATCGTCTTATTTTATTTCTTTTAGAAATAACATAAATCCAAAGGATAGAATTTCATTTTTATTTTGTTTCAAAAATAAATTTGTAATAACGTAGGAAGAAATAAAGAGATTTACAAATCTCGCAGGCAGAGAATTTCCGTTTCTCATAAATCTACGAGAATGTATGTATTTTATAAATCGATATGAGTCTGATCCGATAGAAGCAAATGATTGATATATGCACTGGATAAGAAGGTCGATATATAGTACGAATTTATCGTAATTTCGTTTTTCTCTTCGTTAATGCTTAGTGTGGCTTCTTACATACCCTTTTGCATCCTATTATCTAACTGTAACAGCTCTTTTTTTTTCTCAAGGCAATCGATCGATGCGATTATGTATTTGATATAACAAAACTTGAATTGTTGGTACATTTTTTTTTTCGCGCGAAATACGAACGAACCTTCTAATCGCCGTGCGCTTTGTAACGAGTCCGTACAAATGTTATATTGTTTTCTTTACTCGAGGTAATCCTATGCTTACTATATACGTAAGATGCGATAGCTTCTTATCGGAAGATCGAGACCATGTTCGAGGTATTTTATTAGTAGAAACATTCCAAGAGAGAGAGAGAGAGAGAGAGAGAGAGAGAAAGAGAGGGGGAACATATTTATGTACATACGATAGTTAAGTATACATTGAAACGTCATTTTTCTTTCGCCGTGTAATAGCTCATAACGATAATCGCAAGATTATTTCTCTAGAGTTTACATATATAAATATTAAGTTCATTTGGAAGAAATAATGTCTGCAGATTAGAAAGGCCATACATTTATATGAGAATATGTGACGTCAATCGTGTGCCGTCATGTCTTCATTAAAGATTTTTTTGTCGAAAAGGAGCGAGAGCGAAAGATATATACAATGTATGCGTATATACTACGCATACAGGTGAATATAAAGTTAGGCGCGAATTTAGAAAACTCTATTCTCCCCCACTAAAATGTAAAAGGAAGCCGTACGGAAGAAGGCGTCGCATGTGGGGTATACGTCGCTCGCATATCACGTCGCTGCTTTGCCAAAGTCTCGCTCTCTCCCGAGTTCTCAGTTGCTCTCGAGCGCGCGATTATGTTCGTGTCGTGAGTGTCGTTCATTTTACGACTCCTAATCTCTCGTCGTTTAATTTTTATCGCTTCTACTTCTAGAACGTTTCTTCTTCTTCTTTTTTTTTTTCTTTTTTTTCTTTTTCCTTTCCTTTCTTCACCCTTCAAAAAGCAACGAGATTTTCCTGTTCGAATTTTCTTCGAACGTACGACCTAAATCTAATTCAAAGGTGAAACTTGTGTGATTTGCAAAAGTCAATCGTGTTATAAGGCAAAAAAAGATTTTACCTTGATCCTTGCGCTCTCTCATATTTCTCGGCGATCGTAAGAAAACGTTGAGACGTTTGTTTTTTGAAAAAGATTCGATTCCTATATTACTTACTTGTATACGCGATATTTAAATGCAATCGTTAGATTTCTATCTTCGTACTTCTTACTTTAGGCTATCAAATAAGGAATAGGAGTCAAAGCATTAAGAAGTTCCTTTTCTTTTGCCATTTAAAGAGGAAACGAAAGTATTCGTTTGAGCATCGCTGAGAAAATATTTAACTTGGCTCGATTGTTTAAATTCTTGGAAAGAATTTCTACGAGAGAGTCCTCTCTCGAGATAAACGTTGTATTATATATGTAAAAGAAATCGCGACTTCGTCGGCATCGTGGCGAACATTAATTTTAATTATTATTGCTATTATATCTGGTTAGACATGCGTGTGTCATACCAATGATCGACGAGAATTTACAAGGATCATCAGAGAAATCTTATCTCAAATGCGAGATCGTACGGGAAGTTTTCAAATCAAGGTCGAGGCCGCAACAGTGAGATAATGGAAAAACATTAAAAATATCTTTTTTTTTAGATAAAAACACGCGAACCGACTATATCAATCAAAGACTAATTAAAATTTCGACTACATTGTCATTTGCAACGAAATGAAGAAAAAAGTGAAAAAAATGAAGGAAACAATATTTCAAGTCTCAAAGTTCGAGCGATTATTTAAATGAAAGTTTAAAGGCCATTTAGATCGGGAAAATGTAAATGCATAATCATCGAAAGAGTATAAATATATGGGCGACATACGTTATAATCAATGATTCGATGAAACGCTATGTAATTAATGGAGTAATTATTGGAATAATTTTCTTTTTCCATAAGAAAAAGTTATCGATTATGTTCGACGATTGCAAAGAGATTTATTTATAGTTATTTCATCGACACGTATGACAAATTGTTTGCTACGTTCTTTATTATTTTTTCTTGAACTTATCGAATAGAACTCGATATTAGAACTCGATAAGTTTCTAGTATACGTTACGTGCTTATTTGTAGCGATAAAGGAAAAGTAATAAAGTTAGAACGAACCGGTAACGACGAACGTTTCTCGTTGCTCTTTTTAAAGACATTATCGTTGAAACCTTTCATTAATTTCGATCCTGGGAATCGAGAAAGTTATAATGCCGAGTAAACTCCTCTCTAATACGATTGAAATATTCTCTGAAAGTGGTTGCATGCAAAAACTTAAGACATTGTTCGTTTATGGCCAACGTCGAACGTATCTTTGATAACCGCAGAACGATAATGCGTAACTCGCGCCAAAATATTATCAGGAAATTGACGAGCGATGATTTTTTTGATTAAATAAACGAAAAAAGAACACGGACTTTGTGCAAATATGATTTTTCATTCCTCGTGATCGTCTTCTTTTTTTTTTTTTTGATAAATAATTTCATTTAGATAGAAGATGTTTCCCTCGATCGATCGCTGAATGAGAAATACGACGAATTTGAGGAAAAAAGAAAGAGAATTATGAGAGAGTGAAAAACTCTAATGTTGTGTTTATCGATCGGCGATGCAACGTGAAAGGTACGTCAAATGTTGTCGGAACTAATTGGAGAGATGTTGACCCTCTTCGGCGGCCTAATCGTCCTTTGCTTCATCTATATCCTGATAACGAGGAAAAATGGTAAATAAATAAATCGTTCTATTAAGCGGAAATGATGTTGCAAACATTTTCTGCACGTAATTCCAACTTATTTTTATTGAAAACGAACGTATGTAAATTGTTGCATACGTTTAGTTCTCATGTTCTAGGCATTATTCTTGATTTCTTGACATATTATAATTTCTACTTGTAAGAAAACTTATTTAATCGTCACGTGGACAAAACCAATTAAAGTTTAAAGGTCAGTTTTTGTTTTGTTTCTCTTATATCTCATAAGTTATATTTGCAAATGCACGTGATCGCCGTTTTTTTATCAATTTTTTTTTTTTTTATCAATTTTTTTTTTTTTTTTTTTTTTTTTTTTTTTTTTTTTTTTTTTTTTTGTTGAAGAATCGAGTACATGCACTATCGCTTATAATTTATAAATCGGCAGATAATCGAACATTTTTCAAATGCATCCTTGAATGACTCTTGAATGAAATATAGCAAGTTGTTTTATATTATTATAAATGATACGCTACCTATATATGTTTGTCTGGATTCGTTATCGTTATCGACGAACGATTCGTCGTAATCGACATCGAGCACTTAACAAAACGTTCGTAATGTTGGCTACAGCCATATTATTCGAGCTTATCTATCGTTTCAATACATGCCGTTATCATCGAAGAAACTTTGGTGGCCATGGCACCTTTCGCATTTAACGCTTTTATTCTCGTAAACCGGCAAGACAAGGGACTTTAAGGAAATGCATGTATTATTTTTGATACCTGTTTCATTCTCTTGGAATGACCCTATCTCCCTTTCTCTTACTTGGTAAAACTAGTTCAGTAACGTTTTCGCATTCCGATGGCTAATTTATCACGTGAAATCGTTAACACGGGATGGGTGGAGAAAAAGAGAGAGAGAGAGAAAGAGAGAGAGAGAGAGAGAGAGAGAAAGAACAAAATTATCCTCTTTCGTACAACGGTTTGTAATTTCCGTTAACCTGCTTCTCTTAAGTTCAAACGAATCATCGAATAATGCGTTTCTCTGCCCCCTCCCCCCCATTTTCCCCCGTTTCGGCAAGTTTAGGCTCGTTCCACCTTTAAATTATCTTTCAAAGTAAGATTTCTCATTTTCCTGGAATTAAAGTAGAATGAACATCGACGAAAGAATATGAAGCACCTGAATATAATGTAGAAATCCTTCTCTTGAGATTGTTACGTATATACAGACATATATTATAATTCACAGTGATCACTGTGATTCCATTACATCACTCGTTTGCGTTTCGTATAACATTGCTCTGCGACATTTTAAGTAAATTAAAAGAGCACGAGTTTTACGTTCGTTTTACTCATTTTCTTTATCTCGCGCTTCTTCAATTTATTTTCGTCATAAGAAAGATGCAATTATCTTTCTTGCCCGGTGTTCTCCGAAACGTCAAGTATCAAAATAACGACGCCATTAGAACCTCTCGGTTTTATTTAATATCACATTTCATCATGGAATATTACGTTTATTCAAATTTTCCTTTTTAATAAAAGTCTATTATTATATTTTGTTACATTAGTAATCGACTCGAAGAAACATTAATTGAACGAACAAGATAATAATAGGAAAGAAATTTCTATGCAAAGTTGAATTGATCACGATGAATCACATCGTCCTTCTACCATCTTTGAGAATATTAGAAAATAGAGAATTATGCGAATCGGTTCCCTTCACGTTCAATCATTTTCTTTAACCAACGAAGACAATGACGTAGACGATGCATTACGAGGAAGCACGTACCGTTTAATTAGAATGCCTGACGTACGATTGTCTTTCATGAGGAAAGTAAAAGCTTCGAAGGAAGGATAAACGAAGGAAGGATGGAAGAAGGATCTTCTATCCAAACATACAAACATAAATATAATCATGCAAGAAGGACATTCCGTCTTTTCGTAGTCGCATAGTCGCTTTATTAAAGCTAAATCATTCGCATACGTTAGTAACGATAATATTTACGATAGCTCTCAAGTAGTAATAGAAAAGAGAAATAACTGTTGATGACCTTCACCTTCTTACGAGAGATCAGGGTTAGAAAGTTCATTCGTCAGGTAATTGAACGTCCCCGTAACGAACGTCTACGACACCGTTTTCTATTTTCCCTATATATTCTAGTTATTATAAATCTCTTTGATTATCATTTATTCGCTCAATAATTCGTTGGAACACGATCATCACCAATAAGAAGCTTTCGTGCGAGCACTCGTACGTAAGAAGAATACCTCCTACTTTAATCGCATTCTGATCCTATACTCGCGTGCGACCTTGTAAAAGGCCGTCGTCTATCGTTACTCGTGGTTTCACGTGGAAAGAGTTCAGGAGGTCGATCGATCGTGAATTTCACTGGGGAACTCGATATGAGAGAAAGAGAAGAAAAAGTATAGAAAAGGATGCTGAGGAATCGTCGACAAGGCCGCGCTGTGGAGGTGAAATCATTCCTCTTGCTTGCTTGGACTTAAACGCGCAGAACAAGATTTTTCGATTCGATCCATTATCGGCATGACTTGGCCGCTTTAAAGAAAGTGCCTGTTCAGAAGTACCGCTTTTCCCTGCAACTAATCCTGCTATTTTATCTCTCTAACTCTTTGGAAACTTTCGCAGTACGCTCCGACACTTTCGACGAAAAATGTCAAACGGTCAGGCTTATCCTTTTTCTTCTTCTTTTTTCTCAAAACTTGAATCCAAGACAAGTAGATTATGACATAACACTTAATATTCGTAATTACGTACGCATATACGAGTGATCAGTATCTTGAAATTCGAAGAGACTTTTTGCGTCTGCTGCATATATCCGTATTACTATTGCAAATGAAAAATAGACGGGGGGAGAAAGATGTAAAAAAAAAAAAAAAAAAAAGAATAACCAGCTGAGAATCTTCACGAGAAAATAATAATCACCGATGTATTCATATAATCATCGCATAAGGAAACCCGAATGGGCCGATTCAGGCGTATAGTAATAATCGATCTTCGCGAATAGAATATTATTCGAACGTTATTAAGAAGAAAACGTTTTGTTGGTTTTGTTGTTGCAGACAAACCTTCGACGGATTCGCCAACAATGGCACACTCGGCTCTTCGCGAGCTCGTCGAACGGGCCGTCGAAGAGGCTAAAAAATTACCTGGTCTCGCTGGCTCATCCGTCGATAATCCGAGGACGAACGAAGAGTGTAATATTTCGGAGCACAGCTACGAAGATCTTCTCGCCACTGCGATATTGAATAAAGTGAGCGCGTTTCTTTTTCTTTTTTTTTTCTGTTTTTTTTTCTTTTTTCTTTTTTTTCTTTTTTTTTTTTTTTTCATCATGTAACGTTAAATTCAATCGAGATGATATCTACGAATTCTTTCTAGGTCATCGAGAAATTCCAAAGAGAACAAGTGGATGGAAATAGCAACGTCCTGCATGAAAAGCCTTCGGCTAAAGCGGAAAGTATGTTTCCTGCGACTGACAAACGATGATTATACTTAACTATCTTCACTGAAAGAAAATATTCTCTTAGATCTTTTCGATAGGCTACATTTATTACTCGTAAATTAGATTTTACGAATTTTCTTATATAGATAAAAATTTAGATTTTCAATTCTAACGGGGATATCGAAGTAAAATATATAAATAGTGACGAACGATGTATTCATTATTTTAGGCGAAATCGAATTAGGTCTCGACGAAGGCGTCGAAGAAGGTAGCAGCAGTTTGGAGCCTTTATCTCAGGACGAATGTAGTAGCGATTGCAGCGGACCACGTTCGAGGCACTCGCGAAATCGTCAAGAGCCATTATCCCTTACGGTACGTAATCGGAGTACTCTAGTAATTGTTTATTAATCGAACGTCTTTGGAGATGAGTGACTGTACAGGTGTTGTATAGGTGTGGAAAAGATATCCGTCTGGATATTCAGCGATTTAGTTACGTAAAATGAACATTTGTCATTCTTCTCGTATCGCATATTGTATTTATATATATATATATATATATAGATATATACTTACGTCAATGATTACTAGCTGGTCAACACTCTTTACCAAGACATTCATACAAATAAAATAACGGGTATAGAATTTGCAGTTTATTGAAATGGTAATTATTTGCCTCTGATGTCGCCTATTGATTTAAGCAATGTCCTCGAAAAATATTATTGATTAATATACTAATTAGTACTACGTTTTCTTGCAAGTTCCTTTGAATAAATGCCTCAGACGTGACACGTTTATTTAATATTAATAATCGGGTTTTATATTAGTAAAATATAACAGTAGATATTCATGAATATTTTTCAATCGGTAAGTAAAAGAAAATTTTTTAAGAGATATGATTCTTGAACTTGTCCATCAACAAAGGTCACCATTCACCTTTCGTATGCGCGCTCGTTTAATCGCTCGTGCGAACAGGCACGTGAGATGAATCGATCATTCGTATCAATGTGTTACCAACCCTTACATACCCCTCGAGTACACGTTTGTAACTTTGTCGGACTAAACATTTTCAACTATTGCATCTTCATTAATATTCTACGAACTCTTTCGAACGTATTCCTCTGTGTTCAGATAGAGGAACGGATAGAGGAGGTAACAACCACTTATACATCCGACGAAGATCCTCCGGAATGTGTAAAGAATGGACTACGCATCACAAATGTTCGTCGTGTGCCATTTCCGGAGCTTGGTATGGACATAATCGATCGTAAGTACATATAATTCGGGCGTGACAAAGAATAGGTACTTTGACACATTCTTTTTCCACGAATAAAAATTTCTTTTACTAATTTCCAGCCTCTCAGGAATCTTCCGATGAAAGCCAAGACGAAGAGTATGTATCGACGGTTCACGTCAATCTCGTATCACCGTTTCAATCCTGGGAAGAGAATTGGCTGTTTCAAAAGAAAAGAGTACCGATTCAATCGGATCCTGTTGCCATGCTCGTACCAAGCTCTAGTGCCGATTTTAAAGCCTTGATCGGCGATAAGGATGCCGAGGATACGTCCGATCTTTCAGAATGTTCATCGGCGCAATCTGACGAAGAAATCGAAAAGGAACTCATAGAAGCGATCAATAACGTCGTACCACGATCACCGAAAATATCGGAATCCGAGATGGTAGAAAGTTCGTTGAATGAAAATGAAGTTGCTCTTAAGAATATTGAAGATTTTCATTCGACGGAGAAGTCTGGCGAATTTACTGAAACTTTATTCACGTTGGATGATGAAGATGGAATTACTAGAGAATTGTGTAACGGTGACGTTAAATGCACCGAAAAGATGAACGGCGAAAAAAATGCGATCGAGGAAATTCGGGAAGAGACGAAACTCGTGAAGAATTCTTTGAACGATGGCTTAGAGAAGGAAGAAACGAATTGTAAAATAGAAATGAATGATAAAATGTTTGAGTTAGGGTCGGCGAAATGCGAAGTCGAAAATAAGCAAATGGTAGATTCGAAGCGTGAAATACAAAGAACGGATATCCGATTACTTCAGTCTCAAAAGGATACCTTGCCGGATGTGCCAAAGACACCGATTCCGTCCACGTTGGAAAATAATTTTGAAATTGTAACGAACGACGTGACACTTTTAGATTTCAACGAGAAGGAAATTTTTAATTCTTTGGAATCGACTCGGTATTATAAAATAATGGATCAGGATATCGATGGCGAGGAGGATAAGACGTTGTACTCGTTAGACGTCTATTCTAAGGAAGAAATACACTGTAAGTATATACATGTCATTTGACATATATAAGTAAAAACCTTTACTCGAGATTACGCTAATTGTGAGATATATCTTTTACTATTCGTACGATTTATCTATAGTTGAAGATGGTGCTCAGCAAGAAAGCGAATATACCGAACATTATGATACGGCAACACAGAGACACTTGGACAGTTTAACGAAAGATGACATCTACGTGTCACAAAATGACATAATTAACAACGAAGTAATGGAAATAAACAATACCGAGTCAAATTTATTGTTCAAAGACGAAACCAGGTAATTTTGTGATATCTTATCTTATTTGTCCTTTAGAATTGTTATTTTTAGATCTTATCAAATCAAGTAATGAACTTTCTAATCATTGCAATTCAAATGGCATAAGGACTGTGCTTAATAATAACGCGGCTTATTTTCAAATATTTTTCGCGGTAGTCTTATGTTATCTCTAAACGTTCGATAGGGCGTTTACTTCATTGTGACTTTTTAAATGTTGTATGAATTTTCGAGAGACCGTATATCATGCAATAAACTTTCTTTTCCTTATGACACGATAATAATACGTTACCAACATTTCTCTGTGCAGCAAGTGCCGAGAAGCTGTGGCATTTGCCAAAGATGATTCGGTTTCTTATTTGTCCTTGGAAAAGATAGCCAATAAAGATGTACACATGGCTACACCTCCACGTCCAGGTAATCAGAATCAAGTGACGTTCTGTTATACTATGTAGGAGCGCGTCCCTACATAATGCATTTATTTTATTGAATAGGTACGATCGCTGAAAGAGAACATAGAAAGTGGGAAAATGCACCACCGATTGAAAATAATCCTTACAGCGAACAGAGCATTCAAAAAAGACTTTTGGAAAGACAATATAGCAGAAGGTCGGCGGATATTCCAGGGTAAAAATCAAGCATGCACGTTCAATTATTCAATTAACTTTTGTTTATATTATTCGATTACCTTTTGTCATATTATTTTCTTTACATTAGAATTCATCCCGAATTGCCGAAGAGCAACGGAACCGATCTTGTTCTAGTACCGAATGAACCGGATATTAAACGGTAATAATCAGACTTTCATTCGCATCATTTTTCAATAAGTTTTTGATTTCTTATGAATTTTTATCGAATAGGTTTGGCAGAGATTACTACATCAATAATGCAAAATCACCATCCGGAGATAAGACACGAAAACCAACAACCGCGTCAGCAACGAGCAGGCCTAGCAGTGCATTGTCTCAACGTTCGGCTTCGACCGGGACTGAACAAGAACAACAGGTGAGTTTCGAACTTGGAAAGTTCGAAGAGGCTTCATTACATGGTAGCCTCGCTAGACGGAGTTATCGCGATCGACACGCCAGTCCAAATTTTGCTATCAATCCTCTGTTGCGTTTGGAATTCGACAAAGATTTTAATCAAACGAAGATCGCGGACGAACCAAGATTATTGATCGAGGAATCAGAAGAAGATACATTTACTGCCGATGATCAAAGACGCATTAATAATGATGTTGAAATACTTACCGGTTCATGGGCAAGCAAAATATCGAGCAAATTTCAGAATGATATAACCATTATTGATAGTATCGAATCGGACAATGTGACCATGAATCCATTATACCAATCTCCTAAGGATGAACGTTTATTGCCAATTGGTTCGAGTCCAAGCGATCGTGATTCCGGTATGGATTCGATCGAATCGAACGATCTGGGATCTAATAAAACGAAGGACGATTATTGGGAGAAATTATTGTGTTCAAAGGATGAAATTAATGCTAAAGAGAATCAAATAATATCGACAAATAACAAAAGGTACCTTAATACGTTCAATTACAAATATCATACTTTTGGTGGAATCCGAAATTCGATTGTCCATAGGCAAGACCGTATAATTAACGAATTCGAAGACGACGATTTTGAGAACGACGTCGTGAAAGATAATTTTCTTTTCGGTTCACCCGATTTTGTTAATATGAAATTTCAAACGTTCGGTGGAATAAAAAACAGTAAAAAGATCAATAGTAAAAAGATACAAGCTTACGATAGAATAAAACTAAGGCCAACTATGCAAATGACGAAGAGATCAAAGTTTAAACATTCCGTGAATAGATCTATTGTTAATAATAATGGAAATAAGTCGGTGGATGTAACAAAGAGCGAAACTGTCGACGAGGACGATTGGTTGGACGAAGTAGAACACGTTGACACAAAATCTCTTGAATGCAAATTCAAATCAAACGATAGGGATTCCTTGCGTCTTTTAAATTATAATTCTAATGTTAGAAATAGATGTAAAAAGGCCCTCAAAAGGCAAAAGAGAATAGAGAGTCTACAAAATAAGGAATACGATGAAGGGACATGTGAAAATGTAGATAACATGGATGAAGTAACAAATTTTATAGACGATACCTCGAGTAGTAGTTCGAAATCATTATCGTCGACCAATTCTACACGTTATCAATTGGTAAATTTGTCAAAAAAAAGCGGAACAAGAAAGATGATTGCCAAAGGCAAATTAGTAAATTCACGTTTCTCGAAGGAAGAAAAGTTGAAATTGGAACCTCCTATTATACCACAAGTCATCGAGCAAAACTTTAAGACGTTGAAAGACCTTAAAATTTCTAATATTCGAAAAAAGAAATATAAAGATAATCCTACCAAAAAAATATTAAATATAAGAAGCTTGAGTAATATTACGATTTGGTAACGACGTAAGATTTGTAATGAACGAACGAAGTCCCATTATACTTTATAGATATTTTTATATCAAAGTCAAGTTTCTGTAATTATCAAAGAAAATCGATGGACTTTCCAAAGAAAAAAAAAATTGCATTTAAAGAGTTAATATAAAGTGAAGTATCTCGTATTCTAGGAATCATTTACAAATGATATATTCCAAAGAAGTATATACCAAAATCGTAGAATCTTTTTTTCAAAGTTAACGCGGTGAAATATTTATAATTTAGATGTGCCATTATTCTTCTTCCTATTTTGTTATTTTTTTTTTTTTTTGAACGTTGTTTAATCTTGTTTTTTTTTTTTTTTTAAATAATACTAATGTCATGAATTTTATTCATCTCAGGAATATGGCGGAATATTTATATTATTTTACGCCTTATACTCTCATTTAAGATTTAATTACAAATATCAATTGTTTGGGAGTAAACCGAGGGCCTAGTTGTAGTTAACTTTTAATATGTACTATTATATAAAAGTTATAATAATTTAAATATATTATTTATGTAATATATATTTTTTTTCGTCGTTGTTGAAAATCGCATGCTTTAGGTGTCGGTTATTTAATACATCGTTATTTTCAGATATATTCGATTTATTCTTCTGTTACGCGTGCACTTATCGTAGTTGTAAAGTCACAATAATAATTTATTAATTATATTGTATATAACAGTGTATATATAGTACTGCACCAACTTGTCTAAGAGTCACTGATAAAATGTGAAACTCGCTGTCTCTACTATTAATTTGATATTATACAAAGCAACACTCTATTCGCGCTGCATATGCATGAAAGCTGTGATAAAATAAATTGGTAAGTACACTTTAGAAAAATTCATGCTCGTTTCGTGTGCGTTATTCGTTTACTAACAACTAACCTAAATTTATTTTTTTGGATTGTTTTTTTTTCCTTTCTTTTTTCTTTTTTTTTTCTTTTTTATTTTTTTATCAAAGGAACGAAACTTTTGGACAGCTTAATTTTGCCGATTTCTATCCTAAGGGTAACACAGAATGGATATGAGTATATACTTTTTTGGATTTTCAATTTAATTCATTATTTCTTACTCGAATTGTTATGACTAAACAAGAAATTATGCTCTCCTAACACTGCAGACAATATTTGGGTATATGCTTCTGTTTGCTTTACTCAAAGAATACGAGATATGATCTAATCAAAAACTATCGAATCTTACGTGGTACGGTATGCATGGTTTGATCATGAAAACTAACTTGTACGTATAAAAAGGGTACTTAACGAGAACTTTCTTTTTTTTTTGTTTTTGTTTTTGTTTGGAAAAAATATCAACGCTTTCGATCAGAGTTGGCACTAACATTGCACAATCATTCATTCGCGTCTGTTTCAGACTGAGGAGATCTTGGACAAGGACGTGACATACGATTCTATCAAATCAAGAATGGAGAAATGGCGAAGGAACAATTCTAATTCCTCTACGGAAGGTAGCGCGAAAGATGAATATTTGGAGAAGAAGAAGAAGAACGATGCCTCTTTGATCAAACGTCAAAAGTCTTGGAACGATCAAAAAGTGGAGGATCTTTTGGAGAATGAACGTAAGAATAGTAAAAATGAAATAAACGCGAGGCTGAACAATCAGGACAACAATTGTGGGATCTTCGAAGCGAAGAAATCTTATATTCAGAGCGATAATCAGAAGACGATACGACGTATCGATTTAAAAGCTTACGGATTTGCAAACGAGTTCGATTCTAATAAAGGAAAAATCGTAAAACCGACGAGACCGCAAAAGGTTGTGAACAAGCTCGATCTTAAATCGTTTGGTTACGATGGTGGGCTGCGTCGTACTCAATCGCACAATCAGATCGATGGAATCGACATAAAGCCGAGAATCGTTAGGGTGGAAAAAAAGTCGAATCTAAATCATTTCGGGGATCATCGTAACTTCGACGATCGAGATATCTACGAAGGGCAATGTTCTGACGATCGAGGCCTAACGCAAAGTACAGGAACTCTTAATGAAATTTGCGAGCAAATGGATCACAATCTTTTCAGTACGATGACATCTGCCAAATCGGTACCGAATATTGCGAAAAGCGAATATTATGAGAATTCAAATGAGGATTCGAAAGACGTCGAGAGCGAGGAAGAAAATGCTTCAAATGATCCAAAGGATAAAAAATTGAAAGTCGATGTTGAAAATGACAGTGGCTCGTCGAACGTTAGCTCGGAGATAGACGCGGAAGAAAAGGATCGTTCTACGGAGAAGTTATTATATGAAAATCAAGAGGAGGAGGAGGAGGAGGAGGAGGAGGAGGAGGAGGAGGAGGAAGAGGATTTTTCGGAAGAGAAAATGAACTTGAAAAATATTATTGAAAACAAACTTCCAATGCCGTCGGTCAGAAGATTGGCCGAGGCTTTCAACAAGCCGTCGGTAATCTCTTCAATTTCTGTTCCACGAGTAAGACAATTTATTTTTCTTTTTTAGTTATTTTCTAATATATATAGATAGATATATATATATATATTTATATAAAAAATTCTTTTCTCCTTCAACGCGATACTTTTTCTCTCTCCCTCTCTCTCTCTCTCTTATAGACAACAAAATCTAATACCGCGCTCAATGAGAGATCTCCAACGCCAGAAGTGCAAATAATCGAGACGCCCAGGCAGATGCACAGCTTAACGGCCAGATCTCTTTCGAAACAATTTCGAGATGGTTTACGTCAAATTCCAAATAAAGTAACTTCACCACCGGCTAGTCACGTAACGATGGAGCAACCGAATGGTCGCGAAAATCAATCGGAAATCGTACAGACTAAAAAGGATAATTCGTTGAAAGACATAAACGTAATAGCGCCTGGTAAGTTAAAATCTAATATCAAATTTTGGGAACAAATGCAAAGGCGGAGTTAGAATTATTAATGGACTTTTCAATTGCATCAAAAGGCAAAATATTACCGTCGCCGTGGCGACGATTTTTAAATCATAACATACACATAATGTATTTGTAATAATATACACAACACTATTTTATATACTTCTATTAGAATTGCGTTTCCCGCAGACCAGTCATAATTTTATATGAGATAAGTGAAAATATGATGAAGCATCGTATTGAAACGATGAAAATACAAAATGATTGCATTAGTAGAGAAGTTACCATCCTTACCACGTGCAAGAATGTGTTAACGGAATATATTAAACAATTAATTGTGAAGTTACATCGAGTCAGTTCAATTACTTATGTGATTAAATTTGTGCCAAATGACATGAACATGTCATTAGCCAAAGAAGATATTGTAATTAATTTCTTTACGATCCATATACCCTGTAACATTTTTCAGGATAAACTCTCTTTAATAAAGAGCATCTTTTTGTATATATTGTTGAATTTTGAATGTTAAATATTAAATAATTATCACTGATAAATATAAATCTCAATTTTATTATATACGATAAAAATATTTGCAACATATTTATTATTAGTTATTAAATATGCGTAAGAGCAATTGCGCAGGTGTTCGTTATTAAATATGAAATGTTAACGTTCCTGAAAATATCGCGTTAGAAAGATATAGAATTTTTTTTGCAATAAATTAGATCATTTTTATCATTTACTATGATTTCTTGTATCACTGAATGTATTTCTTTGTATCAAATATTAGTAAGTACATTTTCACGCGCTTCAATTTTTTTGTCTTTTCTCCTTCTTTTTTTTTCTTTTTTTTTTTTACAATATACTGCACTTCATTGAAATATATTCTAAATTTGAATATGATAATTTGATTAAATATAAAATAAGTTTAATTCATAAAAATAAAAAAAAATGAGTATAGTCAGAAGGAAATTAATAATATATACATCTAGTTTTATGAAATGGTATGCTTTCTAATTCTTCAGCATGTTGTCGACGATAGTCCCACAAAAAATGATCGATTAAGGTATTATTAATATCAGGTTCCCTCAAATTTAACTCTGGATAAGAACCAATTAATTTTCTAACTTCATTATTTACACGCTCAATAACATCTATCGAACAGCCACGGATTTCTACTTCTTCCGGACTTCCCGATTCCAATTCTAAATCTACATAAACGAAGTATTTAAAAAAAAAAAAAAAAAAAAAAAAAAAAAAAAAAAAAAAAAAAAAAAAAAGGTTTATTAGAATTCATGAATATGCATAGTATTTATAGGAAACACAGATCTATTATATATTAAGCCAAGTACGATATATTAACTTACTCGATTGAAGTTTGCTTAACAAGGGATTACTATATCTGATAGCACCAAAATGGATAAGAACCTGAGGAATTCGATAATCGGCAAACATGGTAATGTAATCGATATCATTAAAACGACCATAATCGTGTCCTTTAAAGCAAGCCCAAATATCTCCGATTAAAATTTGAGCTCTTTTATAAAAACTAACTAAAATAAAAAATTGTAAAAAAAAACATATATATATATATATATATATATATATCATTTTAGTTATCAATTATAAATATATATTTTAGAGATCATCCTCGAATTCACATGGTAAAACTTACCCTTATATCCTTTGTAATCTGCTTCATCTCGAAAAGAATCAAAATCATTGATAATAAGTCTTAATAATTTCTCTGCCGAGCCTGAGCAGGATTTTACGCATTCGACAAATGTACCTGTATTATGATAACAATTGTTACTATTAACGATATAACGCAAATATTTGGAAACTGTACCTTGATATTTTTTTAATAATACTTGTCCAGCCTGATGCAGATTCCTTACTCTTTCATTTATAAGAGGAATACTGGTATGATTATCATCACCTCGAAAAATTACTTCAAGCTCATTTTGAGTTACTTTCGAATAGTACTTAGGATCTATTATAGGTTTACCTTCCTGTTATATACATATCGTGCATATAGTAAGTTATCAAAAATAATTTTGCAAAGGATAATAATAAATGAAATACAATATTATAATAAGATAAAAAATAACTGATTAAAAAATAATATAAACAATTCTTCTAATTTTTTAATTAAGAATATATAATTAATAGGTAAATATTAATTTAACAACAATATATCTGTGAAAGTGTAAGCAAAAGAAATGTGAAAAATATGACAGAAATATATGACAGCTATATTCATTCCAGTAGTAAATATTAAAATGACATTTGATAATTGGAATATTATCTAAATCCATTGACAATATACAGTAAAAAGAGACAGAATAGACATTAAAAATTTATTCAATAACTATATAATATCCTGTAAATATAATCTGAAAAGCCATATTAACTTTTAATTAAACATAATGGTATGGACTTGCAATGCTACTGATACAATAAGTCTCAAAAAGCCAACGTAAGTATATTATCGTATAATAAGAAAAATATATAAGTAACTATTGAGAAGCACAGAAAATTCATGATTTTATTAGAGCTTTAGATAAAGTAATTGAGAGTATTCCCAAACCAAAGGGGGCTATTCCCAATTTTGGATTACCAAAATGGAAAGTAATGCCTTTGGAATCAAAGATTCCAATGGTACCTGGGCCAGAAGGTGCCTATAACTTTACACGTCGTAAAATAGGAAAAAAATTGTGGACCAGTTCATCGGATGCAGAATTTAATTTATATGACCCATACTGTCATGAAATCAAATTTACATATGATTCTTTGCATGATGAGCATTTGGTACCTTTTTTTTCCAAAGCGAATAATATTAAACATTTACTAAAAGCTGGATTAATTACACGCAACTTGGAAGGAAAATGTTCTTTAAAGGATTATAACATGTACAGAAAATATTTAAGAAATTTACATATTGACAGCATTAAACGTGAACTAAGAGAAAGGACACGACTTTCTCATGAAAAACAGATATTAGAATATGCTGAAGAGCAAGCACAAAATGAAGTGAAAAAGTACGATTTTATAAATAAAATGAAAATCTGCATAATAAGAGAAATATATTTTTTTGTAATTTTATAAATATTTTTAATAATTTTATTAGATTAGAGAAAAGAGAAAAATTAATGGAGGCACGTAAGAAAATATGGAAAGCACGTAAATTGCAAGAGGAAGAAAAAATTCAAGAGCAAAAAGAAAAAGCAAGAAAATTGAAAGAAAGAATGAAATTATTAAAAATTACAAAACATGAGGAACAAATGATGCGTGCTGCAAAGGCAAAGGCACGTTCCGAAAGTATAAAACAAAAGCAAAAGTTAGCAGCTGAAATTGAGCAGCAAAAGAAAATTCATACATTGGTAGATTGGCGTAAGAAAGAACACATACGTAAAAAAGCAAGAGAAGCAAGATTGAAACATGATCGAGAACAAAAGATTATGGCTATTGAAGAGAAGTAAGCAGATGTAAATAAATATTTAAAAGTTATCTTACTTTTATGGATGTATATTGATTATATTTTAGATGGAAATTAAGACATGAATCGCAAAAAAAAGATATTGAGAAAGAACAATTTCTATTTGATTGTATTAGTAATCAACGTGCAATATTTATAAAGAAATATAATGAAAAGATAGAAAAGGAGAAAGAACGAATGAATAGTATGGAATTTCTATCTAAACATTTTTTTTTTTTACATAATGGTTTAGACACGCACATGCACATATGATAAATATAAATAATTAATAATTTTCTATTTAGAACTTTTACAAAAAACGAGAATATTTGTAAGATGTTATATGGCACGGCGTTTGCCAAAAGGAAAAGAAAGAATTTGCTGTAGAAGCTATCATGGTGATCAGGTGAAATTTAAATTGCTTCTTTGCTTAATAAATCTATCTATATAAATTATATATGCTTAACAGAAACCTGAAGATAAAAGTAATAAAAAATTGTCAACGATATCTACAACTCCTTTGATGTTTTCAAAAGACAAGGAAACAAAGGTAAGACTAAATTAATCTCATGCCAAAATTATAATATTTATACATATATTAAAAGTAAAAATATTTGTATATGTATAAATATTCATATAATAGAAAAGAAAAAAGCTTACTGAACATAAGAAATCATCAAAGAATGGAAAAAGGATAAGGAAGAAACCTAGAAGAAAAAAATTAAATGGGAAAATAGATGAAGAACAAGTGCAACCAGATTTAATAGAAGAATATGAATTCATGTTCGACGATGATTATGTAACAAAAACAGAAAAAAAAGAATCGAAGGAAACATTATCTTTACCAGATGATAAATGCAAATGTCAAATTATTAAAGCTTCAATCAAGTAGTTAATAACATAATAATATTGCAATGATTAAATACTGATAAAAAGTAAAAAAAAGAATTGTACTAAAATTTATTCAATACACATACTTATAGAAATTATTTATAGAAATACATAAACTTACATCTACAGCTCTCTTAACCGCAGCACACAATGCAAAATATCCAGTTTGTCCGTTGACCTTCCATTTATTAATATTTTGTTCTGTCCAAAATGAAAAATTTAATACATCTAACAAAAATATCCAATCAATGGCTCTAGGGTCATCTGGTTTGGGATGAAATTCATGTTGTGAAAAATTATTTATATGAATTTTTTGATTTTTGATACCTTCTAAAATCTGTAACGATAAATCCTCTTAATGCTCAATTATTAAAGAGAGAGAGAGAGAGAGAGAGAGAGAGAGTGAGAGAGAGAGAGAGAGAGAGAAGAAAACAAAATAAGTAAGAATAGGTAATAATAGATATACAAGAGTACAAGGTAAGAATAGGTATACAAGTGATAAAGGAATGGAACAAAAAGATGCACAATATATGTACATAACTTGTTGCTATTTACTTACCGTGTAAGTGAGATTTTTCACACCTTCGTCTTCAATAAAAACATCTTTCGACAGAGTGGCAATTAATTTTGCTGATTCTCTTGGCATTAAAACCATGTTTCAACGATAATAGCAATAACTACTTAAATGAAAATAAAACGTATTATGAAATATAGATAAATTTCACTGAAAATTACAATAGTAAACGTGATAAGGAAAATCTGGCGTGTCATTGGAGCGTGCGCATTTGTGTCACGTGATCGATGCTCAGTGGCTGTTTAGCAACGATCAAGTTATAAACAAATATGGCGGCTAATGTCAAAATTAGTCACGTTAAACGATTTATTTATTTACGATGTGCGTGAAAGAATTAATATTTCTTCTAAAAGAGACACCAAAAGATTAACGCCTATATTTTATATACAGGGTAAGTAATTTGTTTTATTTCTAAAGAATTTGTGTCCTTTCTATTATCTACACGAGATAAGGTAACCACGATCTAGTCACGTTGACGCACACATGGATGCACATTGATTGTTTACATTGTACGGAAAGCTTACCGTTGGAATTTTTACTATTAAAAAAGGATATTTTGTACACGATGTACAGTAAATTCAGTTTATTTCTGTTTTACTTGCTGTCAGTTTAAACAAACAAGATGACATTTTCAAAGAAAAAAATATTTTTGTTAATTACTTTTTGTTAGGTTAACACACGTTGTCCATGGTAAACACACAGAAAGATGTAAATATAATTCATTTATTGTATTGAAAGTAACATTGATATAAAATGCAACATTAAATGAAAGAATAATGTTTGTAAGTACAGAGCCAAAGTATAAAGTGTCATGTCACTTTATTCAATCAATCATAACATTTAATAATACATAATTTAAACGATAAATGTATTCTGTGTTTAAATTTTTACATAAGGACATGCGTTTCTTATTTTTACGATACACTCGATTGTAGGTAATACCTAATTTTGTTATTATAGGCAACTATTTTCTGTAAAGTTTGAGAAGATTCGAAACTTCAACACTTCATTTGTAATTTACATACGTAATAGAAATTAACACGCGAGAATAATAACATGTAGATCTTATTTACATGTATTTTTATTGCAATAGCAATAACAATGAAAACTATTTCCCTTCCGCGTTTACTATACTACAGTACTTTTAGAATATTCGATGAAAGTAGCTGCAGTTGGTTTTTTATTTTTTACGAATAAAATATTTCCAAAAGATTTGATATCTCAATTAAATTAAGAGTTTTCTGTAATTACGATGTAACTTACAAAATTTGAAGACTATTACACACATGTTTCGAATCCTTGTGTGTGACAAGTCAAATGGTGATGTGCTTTGTCGCATTCATTCATTCAAATAACATATGTACATAATACCCCCTCAACATAAAATGAACAGATTAAGGCTCCAGCAGGCTATAGGCTACATTCTACAATGTACAATGCATTATGTACTTTGTTAGTTTCCATTTTCGCGTACATGTCTGGCTGTGTAATGTGTGGCAAGCGATAGCACCAAAAGATTTCTTGATGGTCCTAATTAATTTGAATGATTCATTGAGTAACTACGCAATACAATTAACACAGAAATTAAGTTGCAATAATTAACACTTAATTTATTCAGTATTATTAAACTTTGCAACGTATCTGCGCTGTAATAGATATACTTATTATAAAACAATATATCATCATAACAAAAGCGTATAAGTTTATATTTTATGAAATGTAAAGTTGAATAAAAATCGTAGGCTTGTACTGCCTATCGATTGTTATTGAAGAATTGAATTGTATCGTTTTCATTGTTTATTAACCGATTGGCGTGAACACTTAGCGAGATTTTAAATAGAATTTTTACAAATTAGAAATAATCAAGATACGAATGTCTTTTCTTATCAGACATTGACATTACCTATGGCCCCAGTCTGCTGTATTTGCTGACAGCATTAAAATCAACATAGTGCTTTTGACTTTTTGACTTTATTATTATGACTTATTATTGTGCTATTTTGTTGTTACGAGGCTTAGGTGTTAGATGAGATTTCTTTCTTGTGCAAACTATTCAGTTGAAAATATTAATTATTAACAACTCAAATCTTGAGTCTCTTCAATAAGGATCTCCAAGTTCTTGCAATAAATCTTTTTCTTTATACCATGCAATATTGTAATTTGCACAGTCCCTATATTTTTATCTTTTTAATAATAATATTCACAAAATCAAGCAACACAAAATCAAGGGTCCCCTTTACCTCATTAATACGAATATCGATTATAAATTGTTTTTCGAAGTCTAATATTACGCATAATAAACTCTCATCACAGACTAATATGGTCATTCAATAGATTTACGTATATTTTCTTCTATCATCTTTTATTTATCCAATCAGAATGAAAACGTGCGATAGTGGAAATATATTTCGTCCCAATTATCTGCATATATATGATAAAGAAAATAAAAGTTTAATCAAGAATTTTTACATTCTATATGTAAAATTTTCCTAAAACTTAAAATACATGGTAATGTCATAAAAACAGAATTTCATTGCCTCTTATAGCAACCGCAAGTAACAGAGATCTAGAGGAACCTTGAGTAGCATGCATGAGTTTCAGTCAAATATATATCTAACAGAATATTGTTGTTTCATACTATTGTATTTGCCCCCGCGCACATCACACGTCCAGACTTCACCCATGCAGCAAAATGCGCTTTTCAATTATTTCTCTTAATATTATATAAAAAAATCTATTTCTATTGACTTTTAAGCTCTTTGCCAATACTGTACGATACAATTTTGTTCCAGTCAATTTTTGTTCGCATAACAGGTAATTGCCTTCGCAAGGCCTTGAAGGTTGTGTCAGACATTGTTTGATAATTTTCCGAAATCGCAGTTTGATAGTCATTCTCTGAATCCTCAACTAGTCGGATCAACTCCTTGGCAGTTTGTTTCTCGTTCGAGATCGATAAGCTTTCTCTTACTTCTTTGCTACTGACCAATTGTACATTTCCATCTTCATAATAATGAACTTGTACTTTAAGGCTACCTCTTAATTCTGCACTTCCAGAACTTGGACTGAAACTTACAGTCCATACAGAACGCCAACGACCGTTCCAAAAATTTTTAGGTTGAAATTGATGATCTTCTATACATGCAGTCAGCGTTATATTACCTGTAAAAACATAAATATTATTCTTTATTCTATAATTGTCACGTTACATTCTACATAATTTTGTTATAAAAATGTAAAAAATAAGTATATACACACACCTCCTTGGCTTCTTCCAAAAACCGCACATGCACCATGTCTATAATGATTTTGGGTATAAGTCGTTATCTCATCTTGTAAAACCGATCTCCAAGGTTCAGCTACAGGATCTGGCTCATAGGGTTCATAATCCTGCGCTTCTTTTCTAAGGTGATCATACTTGAAACTTTGCTTACTACGCGAATCATAAAACCTTTGGCCTCCCAAGTCGTTATGTTCTGTTATAAGTGCTGGATAATCGCTTCCCTCTATCTGAATAAAGAAAGTGGACACAATGTATATATATATATATTTTTTTTTTTAAAAGGAATACAAATTGCTTGTACAAAACTATTTCATTTTGATGAGAGAGATACAAAAATAAATATATAATAAATGCAAGCGCAGGAAACAATCAAGGCACAATATTACAATAAAAAAACTTTCTACAAAAATGATATTTCTATGAATTAGACCAACAAAGTAAAAGATATTTCCATATAAATGAAATGAAATCTCATTAAATAGTGAGAAAGTTTCCTTTTATCTAAAGGAAATATAAAATCAAGACAAAAATGTTGTTAAAAGTGAAAATTAATATTTAAAGAAAAATCGACTTCTCAAGATGGCTCTAGGAAAGCATGTAAGCCTTAGATCGTTTCCTAACCTAAATCAAAGAAAATTCTCAAACAGAATAGTATTTCGATGCTTGATAAAACAAAAAAAAGAAAAAGAAAAAAATGATCCTCAAAGAAACTTGTCGTCTCGAAGGATTTTTACGTCTTTCCGATAAAAAATGTTCCATGAAATAATGATAATTTATTTTAAAAAGTACACATTTCTTTTAGTAAGATCGCCAATGTCCCTCTCGTCAAGATGATTTTTATCCACGCATCACAGAAAAATAATATCAATATCATTCGTAAGAACTGTAGAAAGGAATCGTCGTATGTAGATTTTGGTGTAAAGTCAACGTCATCGGTAAAAATTTCAGGCCTCGCGATGCCACAAACAGCCACCGTCGTATTCCACTTTGAAATACGATCTTGCATCGAGGCGACATGTATCTTCTTCGTGTCCTTCGAGAAAGGAACACTTCCTTCTTTTACGTTTACACGAGAGATCGTGTAAACGAGTATCGGATAATAGGGGAAAAAAAAAAAAGAAAAAGAAAGTATACCAAAGGATCGAGAGAAATGGAACGATTGTGTGTATTGTACGAGGATATGTACCTTAACAGGCGTGAGCTGATCCTTGTTGTATTGAGCGAATGCCCCGGACGCGCCTTCCTTCAACAGGTTGTCGTTGTTCAACAAGACCCTGACATCGTTGAAAACCTCGTTGAACTCGCCCGGTGGCGAGTGGAGTATAAAATCCGAAACTATTCGTACTTTTTCTTGATCGGGGATCAGATCTCCGTCCGCCGCCATCTTACCTTTCCACTGGCACGCACACTCCGCCGATGTCAAAAGCAAGGTTCGTGCAGTGCAGGTTGAGCTGACGTGTTCCCCTAGCGCTCTCTCATATACCCGGTGACCACCGCCGTCTCTCTCTCTTTCGATTCTGATTCGAAATCGTGACGCATCTGGACGAGGAAACACGATTACCTTCCTTTTCCTCTTTTTTCTTTCTCTCCTCTCCTCTTCTCTCCGCCCCCTCCCTCTCTCGCGCGCGCTCCCTCTCTCTCTCTCTCTCTCTTTCTCTCTTTCTCTCTTTCTCTCTCTCTATCATACACACGCTATCTTTCTCTTTTTCAATCGCACAATGTTCAGCCCTTCCTTTACTTACGAAAGATTCTTCTTTAAAATTTTTCATTGCGCTTCGTTACATTGTCGTTTTTTAAAATCTATAAAAAGAAAGGAACTATATCATTTAATTTGTCTATAGTACGTATATAAACAATCAAAGTCGATAGGATCAGTTCTATTGGAAATAAATCGATTATTCGATTAATATTGAGGTGACTAACATTGTTTCGATACTCGAAAAAAGCATTCTAACGTGTGTAATGTGCGTTTGAACTTTTTTTTTGGTTATTTCGTGTAAAAATATTTCAACGATATTAACGACATGATAAAATCATTAAATGTTCTCGCAGTTTAAATTCTTATGGCGACAAATCAGCAATCGTTTGTCCGCGAGTACTTTTTTATCTTTATATTGGGTGTCTCATTTTGTTCAAACTTTTATTAAAGGTATGAGCCGAACAATTGTTAAATATATTTGTATATATATATATATATATATATATATATATATATATATATATGTACAAAGTAAATGTATATTATACAAGTTTTTACAATGTTATACGTGACTATTACATTGTTCACAAGTAATAATAAAGTAAACAGAATAAGTAAAAGTAAATAAAATGAATGAAATGGAAAGAATTTTTTTCCTTACAGATTTTCCAAGACTTGGAAAACGGCGCGAAATTTGAAAGAAGAATATACGAGATCCCGATGACGGTTTAACAATTCTGGGACACTCGAGAAATCTTGACCGTTTATAACCATCGTAAAGTCAAGGAAAGTCTTCGTAAGTTTACTCAACACGTGTTCACAATCAGGCGTGGTCTCTTTCTCTCTCCGTTTCCTTATCTTCCTATCTATCTTCTGATAATAAATATCGTCGTAATATTTGTTTGTTCCTTCGTTTATCTCTTCAGCAGCATATTCGTTTATATAGTGTGCGTAATTGCTTTTCAATTTTTTTTTTGAATCACGCGCCAATTTTAAATGGCGTTTGGTATTTCAAAATATCCAGTTCGATGCAATTTTCTGTTATATCGATTTCTTTATTACGTTTTGCAATTGTGCTTTACCTTTTGTTTTTATAAATAGATTTATCCTATTGTTATAAAAAAAAATGTTGTATTTTTTTTTTAGAAAGTATGATAAAATTTTGAAGAAATGGCGGACGATCCAAATCGAGATATTTTGCCTGTAAAGGAGGGATCTTGCATCGAGACATATCGTAGCCTTATAGGTTTGTTATGTACATTCCAATAAAATAGAAACATTGAAATGGCACATGTATTTAATAATGTTTAATACAATAAATCTTGAGAAAAATTTGTTAAATAAACGTAAAATCATTAGATCCCAGGGAACGTCGTTTGGTGAGCAAGCTCGATCGTTGTCAGTTGGAGGACAAGTATTTGCGATTATTCGAGGAAGCAAGTAAATTGAAAAAATTATCCAACTATCAGGAAGACAAGATCAAGCGACTGGCTACAAAACTGATGAGAGTAGCTGCTAACCCAAGGGCGTGCGTTTCTTTGGATTGCAACGATAAAAACAAAATAACGGCCCTCGAGGTCGAGAATTCCAAGGTGAACAAAAATAATTCTAAAATCAAGAGAAAATATGTGCGTTTTGTGTCGACATTGGCCTTTTTTCTTACGATTTATTTTATGGTCGATAGAAAAAAAGAAAAAAAAAAAAAAAGAAGAAAAAGAAAGTAATGAATGAATTTTCAGTTAAAAAATAAATTATCCGTACTGAGGAATCAACTGTTGAGTCATACAATGAGCGGTGTGTCACCAACGAGAAGTCGTCGGCCCCACACAAGACCATCCTCGGGACTCATGTGCGTAGAAAGTGTAAATAGACTAAATTCCTTTATTATGATTCACTCGGTATAGATCGCGATAATTCATTGACACGAGATTTTTCTTTCAGAACTTGTCGCAGTGAGAACAGTCGTATAAGGGCCCCGTCCTGCCAATGCATCGTTCAGACACATCAAATACGAAATGACGACAACGACGTACAAAATTATCTTGTTAAAATCGAGGTAACGAAGTTAAGAATTGTCGACGTGATTTAGCATGATGCGCACGAAATAAACCATGGAATGCCGCTATTTTCTGCATTTTGTTATATGAAAATTAATTTTTTAATAGGAATTAGAAACGCAAAAAAAAGAAATGTCGTCTCATATAACAGAATTAAAGAAGGAACTAGAGTCTTATATGGTAAATAATCAGAGGGAGAAAGTAGTTGAGAACATCGAGTATATAAAGGTTTGGCGACAAATGAAACAGTTGAGCGACAAATTGATAGCTGCTCAGAATACAAACGAGTCGTTGAACCTACAAATCAACGATCTCAAAAAAATCCTCGAGGAGACAACAAAGTACACATTTTATATTACACTTTTTTAATTATCAACGATCTTTAATAATATATATTTAATATGAATAATTTATGCAAGCAAAAATGATTACACCACTTATGAAAAATTGTATAATAGAAATGTTAGATGATTAAGGGTATCGTAGATATTTTTGTACTGACGTGTAATTAATTTTTCTAGAAATAATCAGGAAATAACAGTTTGTCTAATGGCAGAAAAGAAACGAATAGCCGGTATCGATGGACAGATGATAAAAGCAAAAGATTCTCAATTAACGTTACGCGAAAAAGATGAACAAATAAGAGATTTAATGAATGAGATGAAAATTTTGCAACAACATAATAATGAGTTAATCGCTTTGAGTTCCAAATATGGCCAAGTCGAATTAGAGAATGTTGAATTGAAAAAGAAGTTTACGCAACAATTTACCGATCAGCAAAGCTTCAAAGTAGCATTTAGTACTGAACAAGCTAATATTGCTGCTCTACAAACTGCTAATGAACAATTGTTAACGAAACTTCAGTATCTGCAGAAAAATATGGACACTCTAACGGTTCAATTAGCGGTAAGTAGAGTTAAAAATTATCGAATTTTCTTCAATGAGATATTAATATGTAATTTTTCATATTTGATAGATCATTCAAGATGATAATAAAAAGCATGAATCAAGTACTAAAACGGAATCGTCTAATGATTCTGCTAAAGCTAAAAATACTTCCAAAGATATGAAATCGGCAATTGAAAGATGTAAAAAATGTTGTGAGACGTTCGACAAGATTCTATACCTCGAAAAAGGTGTGAATACGATACGGCAAGATAGTAAGCTTTTGAGCAAGTGCGTACAAACGGACTGCGTACCTTGTTCAATTTCTATTAACACAAAAGAAGCAGGTACTTCAATGATGACTTCTTCGGATCAGCCATCATCGACACAAGAACATATGATTATAAAACATCAGGAGGTTGATCAAATGATACAAGAAAAGAATCCTTTGTCGCGCGAAAAGATGTTGAAATTATTGGATCAAGCGCAGATCAGTACGCCATTGAAAGCAGGAAGAATTGGACAATCGGATATTCCTTCTGTGGTCGATTGCGAAGCCATGCAAGACTTTAGCCAAAGACACAGGCAAGTGGTCACCCTTGAAAAGCTGCTCTTTGGTGATTCTAACTGCTGACAAAGAATTGCCACGCTGTCGACGAATACCTTTATAAATGGTCCCGCTGGAAACATACGTTGTTTGGTTAGTCAAGAGTGGAAAGATAGATATGTTAGTAGGTAGCCATCTTTGACTGACTCTAAACTCTTAGATCAATCAGTTAGGCTTTTTACGAACTATTTCAATAGATAGAAGGCTTGATTATAGAATTAACATAAACGGAATATATCAGGGCCTAACAAGTCGGTGTTCCTTATTATTCTAATCGAGGTAAAACAATATGACACACACACACACACACACACACTATTGATTCTCCAATCGGTTAGTGCCTTCATTGTCTTTTACATGTATACTAACAACAATTTTGGCGCTTCCATTTAGGTAGATGGTTAGGAAGAATATAAAGAGACTGTCAGAACCTTAGAAAAATATTTGTCTTGCGTTATATTTATTATATTTCAAATTATTGAATTTTGTACGATAGATATTGGAATGCAAATTTTTCGCTTTTTAATATAATTACGGTTTCGTCGTGATACTTTCTTATGAATAAAATATCTCGATCACGATCCTGTATTTCCTATGCCTTAAATATATCATGAATATAATTATGAAGTTCATCGGCAATAATCAAAACGATTACAAAGCAACATCTGTTATTTTAAATTATCACCAGATTATATTACAGAGACGCAGATGTGGCAGATCATGTTCAAACAAGAGATTTAAAGAATTTACTCGCAACGCTCGTCGATGTTCTTCGTAAAGAATATTCTTCATCAAAGAATTTTTTAATCCCCGTTCAAGAACAAACTAGCTTGTATCGAAATCCACTTTTATACAATGAAAAGCGATTAATAAAAGACGTGCAGACGGATATTAACAATAACGATGAAACGAATCGACAGGTTGATATAGGAATACAATTAAGCAAACATCTGATCTTTAAAAACTCACAATACGAAGACAGCCATGATCTATCTTCGGAAAATATGAAAAATTGTAACATGAAAAAGCGTTGTTTCATTAATCAAGATAAATCGCAAAATTGTAATTATTCGGAAGAAAGAAACTTTAAAACAAACGTTACGAGAACTCAAAATCAAGTGACGAGATCTACAGAGACCGGCGAATGTAATTGCACCAATTTGAAAAAGTGTCACGCAGAATCAGATTGTGGTTATTTTTGTTGTACCAATTATTCGAAGCAATCTTATGGAAAATATAGAGATAATGTAAGAAATCAGGATCTAAAAGGTTCGTCTTCGTTGCCGATAAAAAGAAGTGATAATAAATGTGCAAAAGAAATCGCCGACACAGCTTATACGGAACGGTAAATTTATTTATTTTATCTCGATAAGATATTAATTAATCGACAACGTATATGCTAATCTTTTAGTTATATAAATGACGCCATAAATTCTTTCGAATCCTGGAAGATGAATGTATCAACGCAGAAGAACGAAGCTTTTGTTACCGAACATTTGGATAGATGTAAAGAGCTTTTGGATGAGTGTTGCTTGAAAAATACGAAGAAAGTTCGTGTAAGAAAAAGATGCGACGATGAACGATATGACGATCGAAATGATTTATTTATCATTAATCCATTTAAAAGGTGAATAACATGGGCCATTTACGAGGCATGGGAGCAATGAAATCACCTCGTATATGCAACATGCCATGCCGAACGGAAGATCAGATAAAACCCTTAGAAGAAAACGAAAAAGAGTTACGCTGCAATCCTAAGTGTCCAACCGAATGTGTAGATCTACCACCATATCCAACGAGTTCAACGCCTTTATTGATTACAAACGGTCAAGGTCTTGTGGAAATTCATGTTCTCTCTCTGCAGCTTGCTACATCTGTTAGTAAAAAATGGGAAAGCGTTCTCGGCAATATCCCGATTATAATTTTTCATCCTTATGTATATATATATATATATAAGGATATATATATATATATATATATATATATATATATATATATATCGTTACAGGCAGCGGCAGTTCTTTTTCAAGAGGAGAATCTTTCCAACGTGTCCTTATTCGTCAGTTGGAATATCTGGGGTCAAGAGACAGTTTGTACGCCAACGTTAAAATATCCAAAGTTAAACTTCAATTCTTCCTTCGTTTATCATATACCGGATCTATTTACGTTCTTCAATTGCGCTCTGTCGGAATATGTCATCTTTCAGGCGAACGTCGTTGAACAGAATACAACGACTTACGCTGTGGCTAAAGCAAAATTGTCTATCAAGGATATACTTGATTATCCTCAAAATAAGTTACATTATATCGCGCCTATGAGTAGCGTTATATCTTGTACACTCGGCATGAACTTTGGACAATTATCCTTGTGGGTGAGATTGAGCTGTGATGTCGAGCAGGTCGATGCATTCAAAAGGCAGTGCGGCTTGCTTCCATCACTGCAACAGATTCAGAAAGCGATTTTTCAAGAGGATCTTTCTACATTGAAGGAAACAAATGAAGAATATCAAAAAATCTTTAATGACACTGCACGTAGGTTCCCACAAATTCGAGCATAACTCATATGTATCAATTAATTGAATTAATACGATTGATATACATGCAGAAGTGATGTCAGATATTAACGAAAAAAAGAAATGTAAGGAAGAAATTGAAAATCCAACCATTAATTCGAGCAATGTTAAATCTGCTACCTATGTCAAAAATGGATCATTTAACAGTGAAATGATATTACTGTCGAAACAATCTAAGAAAATGTAAAGATTATTTTGAAATGGTTTCTATCGAATCAACATTCAATAGCTTTTAATAAAATAAAATAATAAAACTTTTTGATATCCAGTGCAAGATGGGCAACTAAAGAAGAAGAGAATAATAATGTGACTCAGACAGACAAAGTGAACATCGATGATTTTAATTCTTTTATTTCCCATGTAAGATTTATATTTGCAAAATATGTGCTTGTGAAGAATCAACGTCGAATATTTTTATAAGAATTTTGAACGTGTTCAGAAGCAGCACGATGATGTAGAATTGAATAGCACGGATCTTGACATGTTAGAAGTGTTTGGAGAAAACAATTGGAAAGAATATAAGCGAAAGAGTTCGTTCGCTTATTCCGAAACTTATAGTAATTAAAAATAGCTCGACTTGTTTATATACAGAACTTTTTCTTGAAACTTTGCATTAGATTTAATTTTGCAGAATTACGAAATGTTGCCGATGATGAGCATGACAAGAAAGATCTTTTGAAAAAATATGTACGAAGTTACTTCATTAATTATCCTTAACAGAGTAAACATGATAGATTATGTAGATACATACACAACTCTGAACATATTCATATTTATTATACGTAATGATTCTCATTAAAATTTCTTGTTTAAAGGGAAATGTAAAACAATTTAATTGAATAATCAAATTTCAGCCATTGGAAAAGGATACAATCGTAATTCAGATCAATAAAATAATTCTATTTGAAAATAGTTCAGTCATGCTCGACAATGAGGTTCATTTGCTTTATTTGGAGTATTCTTTTCTCGGTTATCGTGGTGCTGATATGGAAACAGAATCAATAATGAAACCAAAGACAGCCAAAGAGCCATTGATTTATAATTTTAAAAAAAGTAATGTCATAGATCAACGAGTAATCAATGTGTATATAAAGAAACGAAATAATATTTTATATGTGTTACAGTATTTCCGATAGATGAGGAATATCACTCGATCGAAAGGAACACATTGCGAGCTATGTTAAATGAATCTATCAATCCAAACATTAAATTTATTTTAGTGAGCGAACCACTTCCTGAAGAAACAGATATTAAAGATTGTGTGGAAATCGGGTAAAACGATAAAAACAATAGAAAGATCGTAAATAATTTCGAGTAATCATAACATTATGTCTACTTAGGTATGCAAATTTTAACATAAGAGAATATGCTTTGGGTGACAATGATCAAAGCGTAACGCTACCAATTATAGACCAAACGCAAACTGAAAAAATAGGTTCATTAACGGTAAATTCAATAGTATTATATTGTAAACCAATACTTATATCGAGGATATTTTTATTATAGTGATGTATATGTATATATATATATACTGATAATGAGACTTAATGAGCGCGTAACGCTCTTACCCCCACCATGACGCTTCGACTCACTGGTGGTATCTCGATGCTTGGTAACACTACTGCGCAGTCTTTCACAGACCAGTGATGAGTATTCATCGCGCGGAGTATTCATACTCCTCGTCTAACCATTATTTTCTTATTTATTGTCATGTTTAATTATGTCATTTAATTAGGTCATTATTTGGGCAATTAATTTGACGATCTCAATAATAAGCTGAAATTATTAATAAGTTTACAATTATATCGTATATATTTATATCTTGTACGAAGTATTTTTTATAGATATGCGTGCTAGATCTTAATGTCATACGTCAATGTTTGGACGATGCATTATTATCTCATTTATTTTCATATTATTTAATTAGGTTATCATTTAGGAAATTAATTTGACGATCGAGTAATAAGCTATGACTATTAATAAGTTTACAATTATTTCAGACAAATTTATATCTAGTATATAATATTTTTTTTACAGATAAATGTGCAGGGTCACAACGTCATGCGTGAATGTCTGGATAGTAATATACAAAAGTAACAAAGTTTCAAGAAGATATAGAAAATGGTCTTATTCTTTTTTCCAATAAACAATTTATTACAAATCTTTACAATATATTTTCTGATATAATAGTATATACCAATAATTGTATTTTTACGAATAGTTCTTTTACGAATAGTTTTTATTTTTCGGATTAACGTTATTTGACGTTGTATTAGTATTGTTTCCTATTATATTCTGAAGAATAGCCTTCTTTTTTTTCTTTATCTCTGACAGAAGTTTGGTTCTTCGGAATATATCATTAAATATTCCAATAGCCATTTGAAAATTTCGACAGTCTCTTGGCTCATGCGCGACCGACCAAACACCCTGAATCGTATCAATTCCTTGACATACTTTGCAAGAACCTGTGATTAACTAATTGTTAATAAATGAATTTTAAGAAGTCATTTATTAGGTGGAATTTTCTATACGATTACTTGCCGACGAAAATTGCTAAAGTTTTAGTACGATTGTCATAAGCGAGTAAGGAAAATGGTCCACCACGTCTAAATGGCGCATGTCCTGTTACATTCCACGTTGTGTTCAGAAGTCCTTCATGTATAGGTTGAGATATGAGATTTGCCAAGGTGACTATTATACTTTTATTTAAAACCTTCATATCTAATCTCACTCCAGCCTTGTTTGTCACCCATGATCCTGTTAATTTGCAGGGTAGACCTAAAAAAGAACACGTTCAACTTAAACGTACTAAATTTTATGAAATTACTTTAGAAACGTTCACTATATGTATATATGTATATACACCTTCATTATTTTTATCTGTCGAATGATCCATTTTAATTTCTTCTAATTCATCGACAATTCTATTGAGTATCTGATCGGCAACTTCTTTCGTTTCGTTAACGGTAACAGCGATATTAACGTGGTGCACATTTGCAACGTCCTCCTCAACGGAATTCCGATTTCTAATACCGTTTTTACTTTCTATAAATTCTTTTCCCAATTTATCTTTTTCTTTTACAGTTGGTGACTGATCATAAACGCTCGATTTATTCTTCATATTCTTAACTCCCTTTTGAAGTCCACGTCTAGCCATTTGCTGGTTCAACGTCATCGCATCCTTAGATTCATCTTTCTTATCCCCATTTCCCTCGGAATCAAGATAAACGGGATTTAAAAATCTTTCTATAGGTTCAACATGTTTCTTAGGCGAAATATCAACAACCTTTTGTAAAGGCCCGTACAAATTGTTGTTCATATCCATTAGCGTATCCGCACTACTTTCATTATACATTCTAGTTTGAGTTTTGGAAGGATTCACGAGATATAAATGATTTCCTTGATCCTTATTTTTGTATACTGGGATATAATGCAATTGTTGTTGTTCCGAAGGTAAAACGTAAGTTTTTTCATATGGTTCCGAATAGATGTTTGTAGGATTTTTTAATTCAATCGTATTCCCTTCGTTGTCATTGATCCGAGGTGTAGGAATTTCCTCGGAATGTAATTGAAATTGATTGTTCATTAGATCTTCTTGATTATTATCACTTAAGGGATAAAGATATTTTTCATTGGTTTTTTGCAACAATGAACCATAATTATTTGGATAGTTTTGTTCTTGTCCCGATTGCAATATTCCCAAATTAAATCCATAATTATTATACATGTTTTTTTCATCTGTATCTAATGGTAAAGTGTATTGATTTCCGTTTGATTTTGGAATTAATGAATTAGTATCGAAATTTTCTTGATCCATTTTTGGATCCTTTTCAGTTTGATATTCTTGAACATTTTCATTGTATGTATAGAAATTGTTATTCAAATTTTGATTAGATCTGAGTTTTTGAAGTCTTCTTTTCGAGGACAATTGTTCTGACTGAAAGTATACTGGATTGTCGTTATATGGAGAAGACATTGTATAACTTTGACGAACAGATCTAGCACGAGGATATTTTTCTATTTTCTCTTCGAATTCATCAATGTCGTTGTAATATTCGGCATATTCTGCTCCTTGATCGTCAGAATTTTTCTTCGTTGGTTCCTTCGTAGTCGTCCTCATTAATCGATTTATCATATTTTTCTTTTCGTCGTCTCGTTCATTCTTATTATCTGTTTTCGTAATTGCATTTGCAATTGTGGTTGTCGCCGTATTCGAAATTGTGGATTGAGTCAAATCAATGTAATCATCTGCATCCATAATGACTGTTATATTATCAATTTCGAATTTACCGTCATCGGATACTTCTTGATCCAATGCCTTTTTAATATTATTTTTAGGATAAATATTAGATATTTTCCCTTTAACTGATTTCCCTTTTACGAGAGTCTTTTTTCTTTTGGAGTCGTAATCTGCCTGAATGAATAAACTCTTAAGTTTTCAGAATATTGTATTATGAAATTTACGTAGAAATATCGATAATGAACTTTGCACAATAATATGAACGATTATAATGGAGTCTTACTTACCTTAGCGGATGTCTTCTTGGACCATCGAGGTTCTCGATGTTTCTTCAGTCGTTTACGTCGACCTCTATGCCTCTTCCGTTTTTTTTTCTTCTTACCTTTATGCTTCGAAGATTTCGAATGATTTGGTTTTAAATTAGATTTCTGTGCGACGTCTTCTTCCATGAAAATTAACGAATACCTATCAGTATTGTTCCGAGAAGAGTCAATATTCACGAGTTTATTTATGGTTTCTCGCATCTTCAAAGACTTAAGAGCGTCGTTAGCAAATTTCTCTGCCAGTCTGCTGATCTGAGTTGATTGCGATTCGAAGAGTGTCGTCTCATTGACGTTCATAACTTTATCCGTATTATTTTCTTCATGTTGCCTTTGTTCTCGAGTCCCTCTGATCCTAGCTCTTTCCATTTTCAAATCCGTATTCCCTTGCGAGTTCTCTCTTCTCGTATTTCGAACGATCAGATTGGCTTCCCTCGATCGAACGTTTCTGCTATTTTTAAGATCGTCCCGGATGCAAGTCACGTTAACTAGTAGTGCGATCATCGTGACAAATCTGCTTTTTTTTTTTCCATTAACCGATATTATTTACAAACTTAACCATGAATAAATTAATTGACAGGTGCGATTTACCTGAGTAAACTTGACTGCATTCCTCCGAGAGGTTGACAAATCGTATCATCGGTTTCGTGGCCATTGATTCAAAACTGAAAAACGACGGCGTTTTGTCGTTTCCTATATCGTTTCCATATGACAGAACGTCACGATCTATACGATAAGAAGGTTAACGTTATGCTTTTATTTTATAGCTCCTATTAAAAATGGTGTCTGATATCAAACAAATTAGAATTTGTTAACGCAGACGAAGGCCATTTCGGCGAGTAAACATTCTTTCGAGGGAAACTGCTCGAATGTCAGGAATCACAGGAGTGGAAGAAGAAGAAGAAGAAGAAGAAGAAGAGAAAGAAGAAGAAGAGGAAGAAGAAGAAGAAGAAGAAGAAGAAGAAGAAGAAGAAGAAAAAGAAGAAGTGAGGATAGGACGCTTAATTTCGTCGCACAAACCGTACATGTGTACTTATATATACGGCTCGCTCGTAGAGTCTACCGACCGATCCACTATGTACGATCAAAGGCGACTTGGGCCAATGCCAAGTACACGCGTCGGCCTCAATTAGTCGAATATTACGTATAAATGTCATACACCGAGCTATCGTACTTACAATTAGCCGTATAGTCAACGGGTAGAGGTGAAAGAGATGCATTAAGCCACCCTCGCTAATGCGACTACCACTGTTGTACCTCAAGGTATATATATTTACTAGTTCTAAGGAAAAGCGAGTTCGACGTTCTCGCAACCAAATGGATTATCATCCGTCATTTTAATTAATTATTATCTTCGCTTCATTTACTTCATTAATTATTTTTATGCAATTAACGTAATTGCACGTGTAAACATTTCAACCAATGAAATTCCAATTTAACCGAACAATCTTGAAACGTATGGCAGACGGTGATAAACAAAGCGTCGTTCACGTTCAATCGATTTGACAGACGCATTCGAATGCACCGTGAAATTTGTTGATTCCTAAGATGTTAGATCAATTTCTAACGTTGAAATATGTACTGCATAGATACATAGACACGTAGAAATTATTTTTGCAAGGGAGTCGATTTGATTTTGTATTATATACATAGTCACACTCGTAAAGTGATCCTAAATCGTACATGAATAAGATTTAGGAATGTGTATAATCTATACAGAGGAAGAGAAGTCGAAGGAAATGTTCTTCTTATAGATTATATATGTATGTATGTATGTATTAAAATTGAATCTGCACACAAATAGATTCTCCGAGAAGACGATCCGTCGAAGTACCATCGGCGCCTGGCGAAACTCGGCTACACGCTTGAAAAAGGAGAAGTCACGGATGGTCAGTACCGGAGAGAAATTATGGCTCGGGAGAAGGCATAGCGAAATACAACGTATGTATCGGTGCAGCGTCGAAGTGAAATCCCTGGAGACACGGGAGCATTGATTATTATTAGAACCAGCTAAGGTACAACCGTACCATCTTTACCGTTCGGTCAAATAACCATAACGTTTCGTTCGATTATGGATCCTTCAAGAAAGATCTCTCTGATTAATTACATTCATCGAAAGATTATTTAAAGAGACGCCATTATTACAAATTGTTTTCACATTGACACTTTCTATATGACACAAAGTTTGACGTTCTCTCGTAAGTTTGTTACGAAAATGGTTATTCCGAGATACGCATTAATCAAATGGCTAACTACCAAGCCGCTTGAAATTACATTCGATATAGACGAATGTAATTTTATTAGATCGTAAATAATAATATATTCGAGTTGGAAATTCGTTCGATCGTTGAAAAGAGGAAAAGGATGCAAATCGAGAGAATCCTTCAGAGAGTATGAGGGCGACACTTTGAAGATGAAAGAGAGAAAGAGAGAGTTGAAGAGGAGATCGACGGTGACGACGACAACGACAACGACAAAAGCTGCAACGTTGAAAAGGATGACGACGAAGCTGAGATAGAAGAAGAAGAAGAAGAAGAAGAAGAAGAAGAAGAAGAAGAAGAAGAAGAAGAGGTAGCAGAGAAGCGTGGAGGGCGTCTCGACGTCTTACTGCTCTGGCATTGGTAGCAGTCTCGAGATAGCCGCCGGCTGGCTTCCTTACCACCTCGGTGAATTTATTCGGGGATTCCGAGCGTAAAGCGCCGAACGATAAATCCGATCGATCGTCCGTAGAGTGATCTTTTTCTCTTTCTCTCGTTCTTTCTTCCTTTCCTCTTTTTCATTCCATCTCCATATCCATCTATAATCATTTTTCATTATTTTCCTTGAGAAACGATTCTTCGATTAACGAAACGCAAAAGAAATTTCTTAATCCTTAACGAACGAAAGAGAGAAAAAAAAAGAAGTTGATAAAATTTGAAAAAGAAAAGTGCATCGAAGTGAGTGCTTCAAAGGAAAAAAAAAAACATAAATAAATAAAAAAAAAAGAGAGATTATTATCATATAGGTGAGTCGAACTTTTGCTATCTTATCTTTCTTCTTCGCTTCTAAGACACGCTTTTTTTGCTTTTTCTCTCTCTCTCTCTCTCTCTCTCTCTCTGTCTCCTCCTCTCGTTTTTTTTCTTCATCCTTTGCCGTCGTAGCAGCCCCTCTCCCGCGGCTATTTTCGCGCGTCTGTTGTGCAAGTGTCGAACGCATTAAGGCGGCATTCGAAAATCGTGCCTACCTCCGATGCTGCTACGGCACGTCGAAAGATCGCGGATCCTCCTTCGATCGTCTCGCCTTTTCTCGACACGTCGTTCGATGAGTCTACCGTTTAAAAAAGTTTAGGTTTCGTATAACGCCACTCTTTGATTAATGTTGAACATTCTATTCTTCTTCTTCTTCTCTTTTTCTTTTTTCTCTTTTCGTCTTTTTTTTTTTCTTTTTTTTTTTTTACTTTTAAATTAGAAAAGACATCGCTCGTTTCCAATACATGTTCGTGAAAACAACGATGATCGATTTGGAAACATGTATGTCTAACGAGGAAACACTCATAATTATCCTTTCGAGTTATCTTTTTATTTCGTATAAAAAGTCTAATTCGTTAATTATCATATGTCAACGATAGTAAAGACAAATCGAGGATTATGTAAAAACAGTTGTCTCTTAATTAATATGTACATATGTGTAAATAATAAGACATATAGATCAATAATCTCCAAGAGGAATCGTACGATCGAACTTTGACTTTTCTCGTGTCGATACCGTACACGAGTCAACTTTTCGTTGCACCTAATAATGCTTGACACGCGATGACATCGCATAATAAATAGAGAACTCGGCTCTGAAATGAAATTCTGTGTTACGTGCTCAAGGTGCCTCGTAAAATAGCTACGCGCTATTTTCCTGGCACAGTTTCTGAAAGTCAAGCGTCCAGTGAATCAAATCGCGGGTCCAGTCATACGAAGGCCAAGTTTTTAGCTTCTCCTCTTCCTAAACAAACCGGCCTTAGTCATTAGAATCACAAAAGTCACGATACATGCCAATGTAAAACGCAGAAAATCTCCGAATTGGAAGTCATTGATTAAAATGAAATCTAATGCTGAGGGAAGAATTAAAAATCGTCACATAATTATCACGTTTCCCTGTTTACTTATTTATTTATAAAAAAAAAAAAAAAAAAAAAAAAAAAAAAAAAAAAAAAAAAAGAAAGAAAGAAAGAAAAACAACGAGTCGTGTTTTTTTTTGTATCTTGCAACATTGTTAAATAAAAAAAAAAAAGAAGAAAAAAGAATAAACCAACAGAGTAATAGGTTGTACAGGTCTTATAGTCTTTTAGTAGGTGATCCCAATAAAGAATTTGTTTTCGTGCCAGGTGACAAATAAAGTCAAAGCTGTGACATACCGATGCCAGGAGAACGAACGATCATATCACAACAGTGTGTATGTATTTTGAGGACAAATATATTTTTTTTAGATGATTTCAAAAGGCGCGCTTCTGAGATCTTAGGTTTACGAGGTGCCTATACGATAATGCGTTCCTCGTTATCGATCGAAATTCGGTCTCTCTCGATCAATCGTTTAGAAAATTGTTCTAAACGACTTCCGATTTACTTATTCCGTTCGTTTCCTTCATTCGTCCGTATACGAATATACCGTATATAAGATTTTCGGCTGGTGCGTAAAAATCAATGGCGGAAGTGACCCGATTAGCGGGAAAGTACAAGAAAATGCGGCCAACCCCGCGTCTTCGGTTAGCGGGCTAGCCAATCGGAGCTACGAATACGGGTTCTACGTGCCGGAAATAGATTTTGCTCAAACCAAAGGTTGATCCACCGACGCCACTTTCACCAATCTCTACGATCCATCGTCTACATTTTATCGATACGCTTCTCTTTACAATTTTTCATCTATTTATTAACGGATTTAATGATAACCTCGCCGATAAACGATGTGACGTGAAAGAGAAAGATAAAAAAAGCATAGAATATTCTTAGCTATGGTATGTATCGTATGATGATCGTCCAATCGAATCATTTTTACATCTCGTATAACCTTAATTACGATATTATAGGATAGAGATCATCGTGAAACAATCAACTGATCTCTTGTTTGTAACGAAGCATAGATCTTCTATAGATTCTATGTCTAACAATAACGAAAGAACGACAAGAGGAGCCAATTTGTTAATAGGCTATGATTCATACAAAAAATATCTTGTTTTCGATGTTTGAAACATATTCAAACGCATATTCGTCAAACATATTCATGTTTGATTTTTTAAATTTCAAATATTCCATCGATAATACAGAATCATACACGTTTTCGTTCTGTCATATTTCAATATTTTAATAGTCGGTAAATTACCAGCGATTCGGTTAAAAAGAAACTCTTACAATTTTATCTTACGAAAGATGCAGAAATATAAATTTGAATATATGTTTCCTTAGCGGGTGCTTCAGATGGCAGCACTGTAACGATTATTGAAATTCGATTAGTTTGAACATATATCGACAATGAGTATAAAGCGCGCGAAAAAGTGACGACGTATCGAGCGATCGTTCCTTAAATATATATCTTTAAATTTTACTTTTTCTATAATTCCACTATTCAATTCGAATGGAAAAATGTAGCGTAATTGTAACGTCTTATATTACAGAATAATGACGTAATTCAGCATCCATACAATGGCTTACAACAAATCAATCACGAGCGTAACCTCTAAAAGGAAAAAAGGTATTTGATATCTATTGAATTTTTATCGATAGCTTAGATCATATCTTTTTACCAAACTATAATGAAAAATCATTGGAATTATAAAGCATCGTTCCATTTTTCAGAATACACAGAGGAAGTAAGCAAAATCGTAGCGAGCGAATCGAGAATCCAAGAGAGAAGATCGACGCAAATTTTACAATCGACGCTTAGGGTAAGTCATTCGATTTTTTATTTCCACCGCGCGAAATGATCCCGAGCGAATCTTATAAAGGAGAGATTTGTAGCGTATATATCGATGATTGCACGCATACATCATGATCGTTTCCAAACGATTAATTACAAAAGAAAAAGAAAAAAAAGAAAGGAAATCAAAAATTAGATGATAACTTTGACGAAGGAAGTGCTGCAAGCGTAAAAGTTTTACGCGCTAATTGATTATCGCGGCATAGGTGATATTAAGAAGAGACAAAAGAAAAAAAAGAAAAGAAGAAGACTTTAAATACATTACGTCACGACAGGAGGATCATCTAAATTAAACTAAAACCGTGGAGCACCGCGTAGTTAGATAGAAAATATCTGGTTCGATGCCAAAGTTTCTTGCCGAGGAAGAAGTACAAGAACCCACCGGCAGCGCCATTCCAATTACTCCCGCGATGCACCGGCACAGCTCTAATTCTTCCTTTTTCTTATTTTTCTTTCATGCTTCATTTCGAAATGATTTCTTTCTGATGAATTTCTTTTTCTTTCTTTCTTTCTTTCTTTCTTTCTTTATTTATTTATTTTTTTTCTTTTTTTTGAACAGTTTCTCCAATTTATAGAAAGAACGTTCGTAGAAATGCATCTTTTAGATAAGTGTGATTGATTGTATATTGTACAATAGAACTGTTCAATTTCAATAACTGCAAGATAGTCGAGATAACATATTATAGATCGTAGATCTTGAATCGTGTTTATGAATGTGGGAAACGGTCAGACCGCTAGAAGAAGAAATGTCGTTCTGTATTATTCTTTAGTTTTGGCTGGACGTCAAAAACTTAAAGTTCGTGCCAGTAATCCTTCCTCGCGTGTCAGAAAATTTGTGAAGAAACGAAGAAAGTACGACGTCTTTAACCATGTCTGAGCTTTCAATGTCGCAGTTATATTGCATTTTCGGTTACTCTTGACCCAACTTAAAAATTTTCAAAGTTATTTTAGAATTCTTCGCTGCCGAAGGCTGATCTTTTTTGCAGTATTACTTCTTTCTTTTTTTTTTTTTCATTTAACTTCATCGTTCAGGTCATTCATTTAGAAAATGAAGAATATCCACGATAGATCGATCGATAACTGTATGGATGAAAGTAAAAGATGGATGTGCCAATGATTCGAGGATCTCAGAACTCGCGATAGAAAGAAAATAAATTACATTGTCGTGCTAACATATTGAACTCATCCGGACGGAGATCACTGAGTTTGGCAACACGTCAAATCTACGTATCGCCGGACTCTTTCGATGTGCCAATACCACCCATAGAGCCGTTCAAGAAGCAACTTAACGTCAACGTAATGCAAGTAAATCATCTTGATTTACCGTTGAATAATGAAAAGGTCTACTATTTGATGATTCGCTTTCGCGTTGCGTGATTTCGATTGTTATATATCTACGTTTTTTCTGAATAAAAATTTATCAAAGAATTATCAGACGAATAATGTGCTGTCATTTTCCCGACTCTCTCTCTCTCTCTCTCTCTCTCTGTCTCTCCGTCTCTCATGCCGTATAAATTGTCCTTTCGATCAGCTAAACATTTTAACCACCATATAACGTTATTTAGTAACTTATGTCAGATATAAATTATAGAAACCGCAATCCAGTTAAGAACCTTAATAAATCAGAATTAACCTTGGCTATCGTGATAAATCAAAACGAACGATCGTGCTACAAAACATTCTCGGTACTCTTTCATAACAAATTTGCATACTCTATAAAGTATTTTCGATATACCGTGATCGAGATATACAATACACTGTATATTGCAATGTTTCGCACTCTAAAGTTTATCACCCATGTCTCTGGCATGCCAACAATGCGTCGCAAACTTATTTGAGACCCATCTAACTAACAAAGCGAAACAAAACGGCTGTTTTATAGAAATTATACAAATAATGTTTTACTTCAGATTACAATGGAAAAGTGTGAAATTCATTCGTCTTTATGGACATCATTAATTGTTACACGGTGAATATAACAATAAAATATTAAAATTATCATAAAGGATTAATTTTCGATAGA